CACATTACGTAAAGTAACGCGTAACGCATTTTATCGATCGTCTATTTCTGTTCATGACCGGTGTTGTTCACCCTCGTGATAATCGAGCCCGTCGCCGAAGTAAACAATAAAAAGTTATAATATTTCCAGGAATGATAACAAAAAAAACCATAATTTCTAGTGGGGTGAAAAAACCGCTCGTAAATATATTTAACATCTTTTTCCATTTTTTTCCCACCCCCTCCCCGCGAGTGGATTTGCATAATGTTCCTTTTTTCACTTCTTTGTTTTTCCTTTTTTCTTTTTTCTTCCTTCCGAGTAATATCGAAAGAGAAATAATAAACAGATCTCGCGAATCGATTACGTATAGAGGCTGAGAATCATTCCTGGAAAGTTTCGATGATCATACATTGTTAAATGGAAAAAAAAAAGAATATCGGTACTTTATCAACAAAGCCTTGTATGCAATGATTTGTACGTGCAATTGCACCCGAGGCTGCCGATCAGCAGTTCGAACATGTCCGAACATTTCTTGACGAATGTGTCAGGGTCGGTTGTTCACTTTTCCACCTCACGTCCTCGTCCTCGACCGCGCCTACATTTTCTCACATTTTTTTAAACAACTTTAAATAACATTACACACGTTACCGAGGATGAACTTTGGGTACGAGAAAATTTTCTGTAACTTTTAATTAATTTTGGCATCTAAAGGCGGCCGACGTTTGGTCGAATATCGCCTGCACGGTCAGAGGAATCTCGCCCGTATGTCGAAATAGCTCCCTGCTCAAAGGGTCAACGAATTGAATTGAATTAGCCGCAAGTGTAAAAAATTTTCCACGATTCTTAACGAGTTGACCATTCCACTACGCCAGGAAATGTTTTGCGATAAAAGTCGTATTGTTTCCACTGAGATTGTTTAATCTAAAAAATAAAAAAAAATAAAAAGAGAAAAACCCTCGTCACGTCGGACGCGCCGCGCAAGGACGCCTGATAAATTGAAAGCACATGCAAGATTAATCGGCAATTTTAGTCTTACGAGTACGTTCCTGCCTTGCATGTGATTGCCTCTATTGGTCTCAATGAGTAGCGGTGTGCCGGTAGTTAAAGTAAGTAAGCACCCTATGTACACGGTGTACAATGCCGTACTCCACCTCCACTTTCCTCCTACTCCTCTTGACACGAAAGGATCATTCAGTGAATGAAAAACCTTAAAATCCTTATCAAAGTCCCCTCCACCCTTTCATATCACCTTCAGTTATCACTTTGTACATACAAAACGTCAAAATATTAATAAGACTCACATGCTGAACTTTTCATCGGTGCATCCACTTTGGAAAAAAGTTTCATATCTATATAGAACGATCCTTTCATATCACTTATCATTTCTGCAGGTTTTAGGTATAACCGAACTCGAGGGTGGGAATATCTTTTTTTTTATCACTTTAATAAAGAGATTTCATAAAGCTCGATTGTGTCGCCACCCGTTATAGAGGCCATCTTTGCGCTTATGAAACGAATTACAATTACTGCAATTGACGTTAACCACGAGGGTGGGAAGTCACGTGAAGGTTATCCATGTGCGATAGTCCGATTGTTTCGGCGCTCTTTATATTTTTATTTATTTTTTTTTTTTTTTTTTTGCGAAGCAAAATGGCGAAGGTCGGCCTTAACCTTGTACATTGCGAGACACGCCCGACAATCACCATACAAAGAAAAAAAACGGCGAACAAATAACCCGACTAGTTTTTTTACTGCCACGGTGTAACAGCGAGTTGTTATCGCCTTTATCATTTTTTTTTCGCCTTAACACTTAGCAATTCGATTTTTCCCTTATCAAGGAAGCCAACAATTAGTTGAAGCAACAGGTGAGAAAAATTGCGCCGTGGCAAGAAATAAATAAATAAAAAAAACATTACGCTCCTGATAAAAATCCAGAAAATGAATGCATTGTTTTAAAAAAAAAAAGATACATTGCAATTTCATAACGTTACACGTACAATTGACGAAGGTTAATAATTTATAAAAAGGTAAGGATGTTAACAAGACTCGTGCACTTTTCGGGTCGACTTCGCAAAATGGCCGATTTCCTAGGGAAACTTAATTTGCATACGTCCAGGAGTCTTCCTAGAGGAATATCCACGTGTTAGGAGGAGAAAGTCTGAATTACCTAATTAGATTAAAATTACGTGGCCGGAGTTAAGTCGTTTGTTAAGCCACGCCGCGAATCGAATACCCGACGAGGGAACAAAGTCTCATACAAGAGTAAACAAAATTCGTTCCAATCAACGAAACAATGTTCCTCCTCGACAATCGTTCTCCACTGTAAACCTCGAAATCGATATATAAATTCTGAAGTTAATAATTAATACGACGTAACCGAAATTACCGAGGAAATAAATTATGGCGGCCACGTGTGTGTGTATATATATATATATATATGGCGAAATTTCTTTGCTGGGCTTTTTATGAATTTCCGGTCCATAATTAATATTAACGATCCACTTAATCGCACGAGTACACGGAAAGGGAAATTCCGATACGTTCTCGCACTCGAGTACGAAGAGATCGAGATATCGAGTCGAGAGAGGCCGTCATGCCGGAAGTGGCTTCGATCGACAAACAATCCTCACATGCCTTAACGCCACGTTAGGCACTTCCTGTTAAATTAGCAGTACGATCATGTAGTGTAATTACACTATTACTACCAAGCACGACCTCTCTCGAGCGAGGTGAACAGAGAGGAGCCCGTCGGCGGAACAATCGAAAGCTCGTGCCCGACAATTCGCGACAACACGAGCCGGCATTGTCGCACTTGCGCAATTCCCCCATGAATATTCCAGTAGTTGTCCCCAGACCTTGCGAATAGAATGCCAGCTGTGAAATTCGTCCGTACAATGTTCGCGGATCGAAAAGTTCTTCTTGAATTTAGGGAAAACTCGACGGAGAGTTCGATGCCCGCGTGAGTTGCACAAGCGAGACGCGGAAGAATTGCATCGCGTACGGAAAGTATGATAAAAAGCATTAAAAAAAAAATAAGAAAAAATTTCAGTTGTCTTGGGAACTTGTTAATAAAATGCCAGCTATGAAATTCCTCCATACAATTTTCGTGGATCTAATCGTTGTTATTCAATTTAGGGAAAACTCGACGGAGACTTCGATGCCCGCGAGAGTTGCACAAGCGAGACGCGGAAGAATTGCATCGCGTACGAAAAGTATGATAAAAAGCATTAAAAAAAATTTCAGTTGTCTTGGGAACTTGTTAATAAAATGCCAATACAATTTTCACCATACAATTTTCGCGGATCTAATTGTTCTTATTCAATTTAGGGAAAACTCGACGGAGACTTCGATGCCCGCGTGAGTTGCACAAGCGAGACGCGGAAGAATTGCATCGCGTACGAAAAGTATGATAAAAAGCGTTCAAAAAAATAAGAAAAAATTTCAGTTGTCTTGGGAACTTGTTAATAAAATGCCAATACAATTTTCGCGGATCTAATCGTTCTTATTCAATTTAGGGAAAACTCGACGGAGACTTCGATGCCGGCGAGAGTTGCACAAGCGAGACGCGGAAGACGCTCAAATGAACTAGATGCATAGTTTCATCGGAATTGCTCTTCTCTTTTTCTTCATCTTTTTCCCTAGAGTCCCTAGACGCCTGTCGGATTCCCCACGCATGTCGAGACTGCCCGGAGGTAACTATGCCAAGGTTCTCCGACGAGCTCGTGTCTCGGGCTCGCCCACATTCTCCTGATGCACGCCGATGCACGAGGATGCACCTTTCTCTCCCCGCACTCGTCGAGGATATCCGCAAGCGGAATGTCGCGAGAAGAGAGCCCCCCCGCGGAACGAATGCGATCGATGACCGATCGAGAAAGCGATTCGCCCCCATTTTCTTGAAAATATACTAAATATACAAAATCTACTAGATTTGATAAATCTGCGAAATGTAAAATATACAAGATCTGCAAAATCTACGAAATTCGCGATATATGCACTATTCGCGAAATCTACGAAATCTACGAAATTCGCAAAATCTGCGAAATCTACGAAATATGCAAGAACTGCAAAATCCACGAAATCTGCGAGATATAAAAAATCCGCGATATCTGAGAAATTCGCGAGACCAGGAAGATTAGTAAAATTTGCGAATTTTGCAAAAATCGCGCAAAATTCATCGAAAATCTGCATAGTCAGAAAAATAATAAAAGCGCGTAAACCAAGTAAGAAGCGTGCAAAACCCCTCTCGATACTCGTCGGCCTCGCGTCCCTATCTTTCTCTCCCTCCCTCCGGCCGCTTTCACGTTCCTTCCCTCTCTTTCTCAAAAAGCCGCCGACCGGGCTCGCGAGCGCTTCCTGACTGCGCCTCCGAGGTCGCCGCCGCCCACCTCTTCTCGATCGTCTTTCAACCTTCTTTGAACCTTCCTTCAACCTTCTATCGGCCTTCCGACCCCGAGATACAGCCCAGACACGACCTCGACGAGTTTTCCACGTAGGAAATTTCCTCGCGAGAGAAAGAGCGAAAAAAAGAGCAGAGCACTCCAAAAAGAAAAGTCTACCTAGCCCTTATCACTTCAAGAGTATCAGAGGAGTATCACATGTCAGCGGCATTACTGCCGATAATAGGGATACCGGTTAAAGAGAATCGGAATATTCTTGTCAATTTAACTGGATCGCGTTATTAAATCTCATAATCGTTACCGATTGTCAATATGAAGGCGTATGGTCGAATATCGCGCGCACGTGCAGGGGAATTTCGTCCGTATGTCGTAGGGGGTCCCGTATGTCGAAAGGATAAAATCGCAGGAATTTAAGTGTTAAGTTAAAATTAAGAGTTAAGTTAAAAAATGTAAATTCTCTATCTGTAATTTAACTGGATCACGGCATTAAAATTTCTCTCATTATCAATTGCCAATATAAAGGCGTCCGACGTATGGTCGAATATCCCCTGCCCGTGCTCAGGAATTTCGCCCGTATGCCCGAAAGGATAAACTCGCAGGAATTTAAGATGTAAACAAACTCACCATCTCTCTCTCGGTCCTGCCTCAGGTGCGGCTGGAGCTGGTGCAGATGAGCGTAGTAGTGGTGGTGGTGCAGGATGCACTCGAGGTCGGTGCAGTTGAGCATCTTGGGGCCGGCGTGCGACTGGTTCCGGCCGCGACGGCGGCGCCGCCCTCAGCCACGCGACATCCGCCCTCGACGCGGAGATAACCTCACCCCATCCTTCGGGATTCTCCCGAGTGGACCGACCTGGCCGCGTGCCGACCTCGAACTGCGCCGAACGGTCTAGAAGGTGACCCTCGCGGTGCACCCTGGTAGGCGCCTCTCATCGGCAGGAACTTCTGTTTTCGGGCATAAAGTATACGAGATTAATAGATCTATAATACAGGACGGATCGATAAAATTTCCCGAGGGAGGTTATGAAGATATCGATTACAAGACTGGATATCGATTTCGATCGGGGAGGTTATGAAAAACAAGTTCCGATCAGGTCCGCGGTTAGAATAGTCGTTCGTACCTTTGGAGGTTAGGACGACCTCTGATCCACTTCCCACGACGTCCGCAACCCGACTGACCGTTTCTATCGGGGGAGGTTATGGCGCCCTCTGATCCGCTCTCGACGACGTCCGCGAACCAACTGACCGTTTCTATCAGGGGAGGTTAAGGCGACCTTTGATCCGAGCCCCACAACGTATGCAACCCGACTGACCGTCTCCGCCCGGTGAGGTTACGAGCCGTTTCCCTCGATCGCCAAATTATAAAACTGGATTTTTAAATCCTTCGATGAGGCCCATCATAAATTAATCCTGGCGTTAAATCCTCTCGATCCCTCTAAAAATCGCCTCGATATCTAAAAATCGTTTAAATTCCTCCATCAATCGTCTTGATATTTCTAAAAATCGCCTCGATCTCTAAAAATCGTTTAAATTCCTCTACCAATCGTCTTGATATTTCTAAAAATCGCCCCGATCTCTAAAAATCGTCTCAATTCCTGCGCCAATTATCCCGATATTTCGAAAAATCGTCTCTCGGTTACGCCAAGAGAGATAGAGAGAGGGAAGCGTCCCCGCGCATGCGCATTCCAGGTCGGGCCGATTTCACGAGGAGCCGCGCAGGCTGCGTCGCGCGCTTCCCACGGCGATGCTTTCTAAATCGGCGATCCCGCCTCTCGCCCCGTCGACCGGTACGACTTTCTTCCAATTATCGGCGGCGCCTTTGAGGAGGCTCCTCTCGAAAAATAACTCGAGAGAATACCACCCCGAGGCGAGCTTCATAAAAGGGCCGCGCGGGGCAGCTGCGCGCGCATCCTCGATTAGCGCAGCCAATTAGAGGCGCCGGCTCCAGGGGAAACGGTTCCGATTTCCGTCGGAGCGAAAAGGCGCGAACGAGTTTAAACGTGGTTTAAATTGAATAACCGACGTCCATGTTTACGACCGGGCGAATGTTTCTCCTTCCTTACTGGCGAGACGGTGAATGGCACTTTCCGCTGGACCCGGCGGAGGGGATCCCCTCGTATCCCCGTCGAGTCTCGATTTTAACCGAATAAACACATTAGTCACCCTCCCCGACAGTCCGAAACTCCGGTTTTCTCGATTTACCCGCCACGGGTAGTTTCCACTATCGGCGAGCAAAGTCACCCCGCTTTCCGTTGGACCCGGCCGGGGTGAAGATTCTCCCTCGAACCCCCGCTTGAAACGACTCGCTCTTCCTGTCTTTTCCCACACTCGGTTTCACTAAATAACTCTCACAATCACTGACCGATGGATTTTAGTATCCCCTCAACCCGCGTCACTTTTTCCAGCTCTTAAGATTCCACTCTTACCGTCGGATCCCGCCGGGGGTGCGTCCCTCTGCGCGGGTCCAAGATGGCGGCCGCGCGCACCGCTCTTAGATCTCGGTCCCGACTCCGACCAATCGCGACCGTATCCACCGGAAGAGGCGCCCTCGGTGGAAACGCCGCTTCGCGAGGACCGACTTCCCGATTTCGAACCACCGAGCGCGCTGGCCTCTCGAACACTACGGGCCTACGCCACTTATCGTTCCGTCCTTAGCGGTCGTCGGGAACGGTATGTGACGGTGCCGGTGTGTGGGTCACTCAGTCACCGGCGGACACTTACTTTCCAGTCGCCATGTTGCCGCTGCCCCTCCCCTGCCCTGCCCTCTCTCTCGCGCGCCCTGCCGGCACATACCTCCCTCTCTCTCTCTCCAACGCGTTTCCATACAGCGGCGCGGACTGAAGGGGACTGAAGGGGACCGATGCCGGTTATTGCCTGCACGCTGCCAACCTGCTGTCCATCGACTGCCGATCGCTGCGACGCTGGCCTATCACCTGACACTGCCAATGGCGCGACTATCGCCGTTCTACAAGGGCGGGCACATAAAATATTCCTACGTGTACTATAACTTTGCGTTGAACGTACTTCATCGACATGTTTCTTTTTTTTAGGGTAACAAACAGTTTAGGCCACCCATGTACAATCAACATGTAAAAAATACCATTTTACAAAGGTGAGCAATAAAATATTGCAACGTATGTTATAACTTTGTGTTAAACAATACTTGATAGACATGTTTCTATGAATGTAGATTCGATTCGAAAAAAAAATGAAACTAGTGGAGTTTCTTTATTTTTTTTTTTATGTACCCATGTATAATCAACGTGTAAAAATACTAGATAAGACTCATTAGGCGAGTAAGGGACTGATAGATAATTAGGAATAATTAGGCGATGGAAAATAAACAGCCTTTCGATATTTCAGATCAGGTTTGGAGATGCCCCCCGAGATTCTCTTCCCCGAGTCGCAAAACCGACTTCTGCGTCGAATTCCGGCCGAGGAATCCAATCAAGCAAGGAACTGGACCTCGGAAGAAACAACGACGTGTCCTGACCTCGTGATTTCGTCCCTGGGCACGAGAAAACTTCCCCATAAAAGAACAAATATCGATCCCACACACATAAGAAAGTGCCATTGAACGAAAGGAAATATTCCCTTACTTCTACCCCGAACACCAATTGTCGCAATCCCGAAAAAACGCCGCAATTTATTCCAATCAAAGTAAATTAATTATTCCCTGAATTAACAGGAGGCTTCTATGGTTAAATAGCATTTTTTTCCACGGGGTCGAGGGTGTTACAAAGCTGTAAAAAAATTAACGAATTGTCGAATCCCGAAAAAACACCCCACGCAATTTTTTCCAATTAAAGTAAATTAATTAACAGGAGGCTTCTTTGGTTAAATGGCATTTTTTTTCCACGGTGCCGAGTGTGTTACAAAGCCGTAAAAAAATTAAGGACACTAGTTTCCTATTCTTTTACGGCCGCTTGAATTTTATAGTCAGTGGGTGAGGTCTTAAACAAAGAGAGACTGGAATTATCTATGGGATTATCGGCACCGACCAAACGGTGAGGTCGGCACCGAGAATCGAGAGAAACTAGTCGTCCTCGAAGTCGAGAGGCCTCGAAGAGGACGCCACTACGAGTTCTTTGGCAATTAAACGGCTCAAACATGGTAAACCCGGTCGCAACGAAACCTGGATGACATTTTTCTCCACGTTAATGCCGTCTGTCGTAACACCTCGCCCTCTCGAAGCCACATTACCGGCGTAACGATAAATCGTAGCGATTTGGACATTTCGGCTAAACGCGTAGGAATAAATTGCACCGATTTGTTCATTCAGGAAAAATGGTTCAACCGTTATCACTGATAATAACTAGAAATTTGTTAAGACGAACCGGAATTCCTGCAAGAATTTATATTAATTATTTATATTAGATCAGTTTTTTTTTCTTTACTTGGGTTACGAAGACTCGTCAGGGTGGAATACTCTCCAGTCGAGAAGACCGCTTGGCGCCGACGAGGAGGTCTCAGCCGGTGGAAGGTGAAAGGTGTTAACGTTTCGAGTCGCTTGCATAATTGCAGCCACGATGAACTCGTAGTGGCTGGACTTCTCAGCCATGTTATCGATGAGGAAATTCAGTCTTGGTGGTGCCATCGATAGGGAAATTTGGCTTCAATTTTGCTTTCGATGGTATTAATGGTGCCATCGATGAGGAAATTCAGTCTTGATGCTGCCATCGATAGGGAAATTTAGCTTCAATTCTGCTTTCGATGGGCAAATCTGGCATCGATGAGCAAATTCAGTCTTAATCCTGCCATCGATGATCAAATCTGGTATCAATGGTGCCATCGATAAGCAAATCCTGTCTTGATGCTGGTATCGATGAGCAAATTCAGTCTTGAACCTGCCATCGATGATCAAATTTGGTATCGATACTGCCATCGATGTCAAAATTTGGCTCCGATGCTCCCATAGATGCTTCGGTCTGGCATCTCCTGCTCCGAAGCATCTTCTCTTCGCAACCCAGAGCTGCCTCCAGATCTGGAGGGTCGTAAACCGATAGCGGAAGCGTCTCGATTCATTTTTCCTTCCACCAGAGCTGCGAACACTGTACACTGCAGGTCCCAGTGGCCCAGAATCGTTCACCTCGAAGTGAGGAGAGCAGGATCGAGGTCGCTCGGGATCCAACCGGCTCTTCCGACGATTCCGCAGTAATCCTTAGCTCTACAAGAAAACAGCTATCGACATTTTACAACCATCATACATTAAGCTATTACCCTAATATCGTCTTACGTTTGTAAATATCTCCCAGAGGGAAGAAAGTCGGACTTCGGGGCGACGAGAAAAGGTCTACCGGTGCACCCGGGATGGCCTTAGAGCGAACTGGTTCACCGAGAGTGATTCCGGCCCGACCTTGATAGAAAGGCGAAACTGGGTGCACCTATGGAGCACGCGGTAACGACCGATGACGAGTGCGATAATTATCTTAATTATCCCCGAGGTCTCTGACTAACTCCACCCGGGATTCTCGAAACGGTAGCTGGAAGTAATCGATGCCGGACCTCCCGTCGAGGTCGCCATTATTCCGCTCTCTTAACAATCAATTATTTTTACACTCTTACTGTTATTACCTTACGGTCTAATAACATTCAGAGATGAAACGCAACATTTATACAGTGCACTTAATCAATTTCATTAACAGTGTATATCAATATATAGACCACATGCGCAAGGTATTGCAGTATGAAATTAACTAATTATTAAATAACTAAAACGAGGAGCTTGATCGACGTCGGTAATGAAAATTCTTCCAAATACCTACGTTGCCGACGTTTGTTTTTATATCACCTTAGTTACAGTTGTATTGTATTGTTTTATGTATTAAAGTGTTCTTAGATGATAACAAGCCACGTGTCAATGTTTGGACAGAATGGTCCAGTACCCTTAAAAAAAAAAAAAAATGCGCAATTAGGCGAAACGTTTAAAGGAAGGTCCTTCGAGCCCTTGGAGCTCATTAAAAATCGGCATCCGCGTTCAAGCGGATCCGGTAATTTACATTTCCGCATTCGAGAGTCGGTGCAAAGAGTTACCTTGCTTTCGACAATGACCCAGATTTCAGATTTTCATCGGTCACCAAGATGGCGAGGGACTCGTCCACGTTTCTCGACGTATCGTCCTTCTGTCATCGAATTACCGAAACCTTCGTTCCTCCGGATTTGCCTCGGCGTTTGCAACGAGAGACTCTCGGTATAAATGACAGAAAATCGATCGTCGATTAATAAAACCTATCGGATTACCCTTGCCCGACCTTCGATCACCTCGCTAGTGGGATTCAATTCGCGAATGGATTTTCCCCACTTTTTTTATATGGACAATTGCTTCATTGTATTGATATTCCATAATCCAGAGTCAATGTTCAGCGGTACAATGAAAATGACTGCGCAGTGTATAATAAAAATGAATACGCAGTGTATAATAAAAATGACTGCGCAGTGTATAATAAAAATGAATGCGCAGTGTATAATAAAAATGACTGCGCAGTGTATAATAAAAATGACTGCGCAGTGTATAATAAAAATGAACGATTATCTACATTTAAACATTATTAACATGAAATTGGTAACCAGAGAAACCGCCCAAGGTTTATGAATCATTCCCTTCCAAGGGCGGGCAAGGCCTTAGGATATAATTCGCGAATTAAATCTTTTCAAATGACCGATTAGAACGACGTTTAACGTCTGGGCGATTTACGACGCCCCGCGTCGCAAAAACCGACGACCAGCTCGAGTTCAAGGCGACGCAACTATTGTGAAAGAGTTCAGAAATGTAGGAAGTCGGTGCCGTAACGATCTTGAGGTTTTCTGGCCGGCCGAGTCCGCCATTTTTTTCTTCTTCTCTTCCTTCCCCTCTAAAGACCGCTTCTTGCGCGTCCTTCGAAAAACGTCGAAAAGTGATTTTCCGAGGCCGCCTTGATACTTATTCAGTCGTGGAGCCGACAAACGACTATTCTCGAATATTCTCACGCATAATCGGATGCTGTACAACTCGTAGAAATTAATTTAATCAAAGCGAACCAGCCGGAGAGTCGGCCATCTTGGATTGCGTCCTCCGAGACGAACAAAATGCAGGACGTCCTCAGCGGTTTATTTCATCGAAACTAATTACATTTTCCGGGAGAAACTAGCACAGAAAGAAGCTGGCTATCCGCGAAAATTCAGTTTTTTCAGTTTAGCGCATTAGGAAACGAGATATCACGATCTGAAAATCGACCTACAAGGGCCAGAGATCCAAGATGGCCGACTTACGATTTTCAGAAACCTTAAAGTGGATTTCAATATTTTAAATAAGTATTATAAATACCCGAAACGTATTTATAAAGGTATTTAAAAAAAACAAGAAGTGTTTAAGTAGTACGGAGATAAATGCTTTCTGTCCTCTAAGTACTGCTTTACTTAGTAACATAAAAGCCAGCAGGAAGTACATTACTCTCCTCGCCTTTCAATTAACCGCCAGCATTTATTGCGGCAAACTCTGTGCAATCTTGTTATTGCATTTTCTTCTTTTTCCTTACCACCGATCGATCTAGATTCCACGCTTAGTGGTGCAACTGGCTCATAAAAATATTAATGTTTTGTTAACGGGAACTTTTTACAGGTGACAAATAGCCTTAAGGTCATTCTACGTATTAACATCTCGACAGGTATTTCTTTTTTTTTCCCGGATCGAAAAGTCAATGCTTCACGACACTAATTAAAATGAACAATGTAATTCCAACAGAAATGCTGGAAAAATTAGCTTATTAATTTTGCACGCCACGTATAAACATTTATATTCTTATAGGTGTAACGATAATTAATTTTCCTGATAACGAGACATGGAAAGTAATGTATAAAAATGCGACAGAGGAGTTAATTACGGAACGGTGTAGAAAATTATTCTATCTTGAAGTATCGGAAGCCATGATTGAACCAATCGACTGATCCCCTCCGCTCTTTATTCCATCACTTTCCTATAAAAATCCATAACTCTCTCCGTGTACAATAAATACAAGGCACAATAGTAGCATACGTTAGACATTAATAAATAATGCCAGTGATAAATGCAATCGCAAAATATTCAATATAAAAAATTCACTCTCTCGGTTAGAGAATATGATTAAACCTGACTCTACGTCCAGGAACATCAAGCTAAGGTAAGTTCCTGCAAAACGTTAATCTTAACATTAACTCTTCGTGCCGTTTCCAGATTTTCAAAGGAAAATAACCAACAATTAAATCGCATTAAATTAATGTAAACACTAAATAATCGGGACCATTAATGGGCCCCAGGGAATCACTTTCTCAGACTTCGGTCGGATCTCGTTTATGAACGTTCATCTCATTATCTCGAGGATGAACATTCTCCGGATTCGTCGATGAACGACTCACTCTCTGTCTCGCCCTCTCGGCTTCTCTCTTCATCACGAGTTCTTCTGTTAGAAACGCTTCACGTTTTATTTGGTCCCTGAGTTTCCTGGGAATACCAGGCAAACACCATTGCACAGCCAGAGTTACCAGCCCGACCACGTTCTGAAATGAAACCCCAGGATAATATAATTAATTTCATAAATTAAGGCGATACGAAAAATGTGATTTCCTCCAAACAGATTTATAATCCTTTGAAATTTCATATTTTATGCAAAAATTAAAGTTTACAAATTTAAGGAAAAAGGAAAAAAAAATGAAATTTCATATTTTAGGCAAAATTGAAGTAAAAAAAAAAAGAAATGAAATTTCATGATTTTACCTGAAATACCACGACGAAGGCAAGCCTGGCAGTGAAGATGTGCCAATAAACGGTGGGTCGTTTATAAGGCAAGGTCTCATGATCAGGTGGATTTCTATACTCTGAGTATCGGCACATGGTGACGTTCTCGAAAGAGGACCTCTGAGGCTGCGTCCCATTGAAGAAGTCAGCGGTGTTGAAATAAGCCAGGCTGTGATTTAGAAATCCAGCGTCACTCTTGTCAGGACTAACAGCAGCCATGTACACCAGTCGAGGAATCAAGCTCGACGAGAACGCAATTATAAATGCCTAATTAATAAAACGGCTCCAATTAAGATGGCGAGAAAAATTCCTATCGCACTGTTTAAACTGCTTAAGTTACTTACATTAGTTGTCACGGATATTCTTGTCAGGCTGTCCAGGATTCGTGCCCAGATCCCGATGTCCCTGGTTCGCAGTGGGACTGGTCTACGATAATGTCGTAAAAATTTCGTAGCGTCCAGCCTCATCTCCAGGACGTTATTGGCGAGTGCAAAAAGGGGCGCAAGAGGAAACGCCGCGACGAAGAGGGTGATAAATCCGAACTGGATGACCATCTCCAGGTACTCGTCGTATAGACCTCGTGGGCCTTGATTTGGAGACGTCAAAATAATTATAAAATTGATCTGGATGTTAATCGAGAGCAAATTAAGACGTAATTCGACATACCCCAATCGAGGAGCTTCAAATCCCGTATCCAAGGTCTGCGAGGTGCTATGGGGTCCTTCTGTTTAAGTCCTGTATGGATGCGAAACAAGGCCCACCATTTGTACAATATGGGCAAGATCATCTCCATGGCGGTGTACAATCCTTGTTTCCCAATCATAATGATGGCCAACTGGATACACAGCTCCATCAGGCATCCTCCAGGCGAGCACTCTTCTTGCCTGTTAATTGCACCGTTCCACATTTAGGTAACTCTCCACCGAGTCGATAACCCTTTAATTAAATAATTCTCTACCCATGCGTACCTGTATCCAAGGATGCGATTATACTTTTTAGGATACCCGATGAACTTGCCTTTCAAAAAGGCGACGTAGAATATGGATGCGTAGTAATTAACAAATTGGAAAATGTAGATCTTGAGAGTCAGACTGTCGTCGAACTCAGCTTGGGTTCGCCATAACTCCATTTCTGTCAAGTACAACGCCAGCCAGTCGTAGACATAATTCAGGAGTAGAATACAGACCTGTAGAAAAGGGAGGATGTACATTTTTTAATACATCTCGACTTGTATTCTTGGATAACATCCTCGTAAATAAATAATATGAACTTACTAGGTTAATCGACGCAGCAATGGCTGGAAGGGCGAACATTTTGTAGCTGAACGTGTCCACTTCTTTGCCGAAGAGGGAACTGCTGGTTATCATCGACATTCTGTACAGCACGATAGCAAACACAGTTGCGACAGCGACAGCAATTAATAGGAACACCACCGAAAAGCTGAAAAACGTTGCGGGGACTCGAACTCTCCAGAAACTGACGTGCGGTTCTTTCTCTCGAGTGATTGCGTTCACCTGCAAATCGTTACATCTTATAAATTCAATTAAACTAGAATGGACAATTTACTCTAAAATAAATGTAAACAATTTCTTTCTTTCAGAACCGATCGCCTTTAATGTCATATAATAAACAAGAATGTAATTCAGTGACATTTAACCTCAAAATTGTGACAACGTTCCAACGATTTTAAACTGATTTCTTAGGTGAATAACCCCACAAATGCCAAACTAAAGTACTAAATAATGCCCTTCAAGATAAATTACCTTCTCCTTGACCTTGAAGAACTTAATCTTCGAGATAGTACCCAAATAGTGAGGTCGAGGATGATCGGCAGTTCGGTCCCACTCAGCCAATCCCCAGTGATAGCTCAACTCAGCGGAACGTCTTTTCCAAGTTTCCAGATACAAGCTCGCCCAAACGGACATAAAGATCGCAAAACCGACAGTAGCAGAATTATCGAACAAGTGTGTGACTTTTGTCAATAAACAGGTTTCACTGAGTCGCCAGTAATCGCAAGTGAAGTCGCACTGAGGACACATTATCACATCATCGGCAGAGGGATCGCAGGTGTCCTGCACCAACTGACTCGATCCCAAAGTGAACAGACCTGTCAAAACATACATTTCATAAATAATTATACATAACAAATAATGATTTATATACAAATCTCTAAATTACCGTAAAGAAAACAAAGTAAGCCTGCGATACTGGCAGGAATGAGCATGTATGTATAAAACCCAAGCCATGCGAAGTACATGGCAAAGTGTACACCAAAGTACTCTTGGATCGTGTCTAAGGGCTGAAGTTTCAGCCACTTCTTCGTCGAGCCCCATTCTTCGTACAAAAGGGCACGAATGCTTCCTGATTGCTTGTACGTTCCCTAAATTTCGTGGATGAGTCGAATTTGGTACTCTGAACATGGATAAACATTTATTATTTGATGCCAACTCACATCGTGAAGTGGATAAGCAGCCGAATAGGCACCTTCGGCTATGAGTCGTTGGATGCCCAAATATTGACGCTCCAAAATGAAATTGACTATCATCGCTCGCACGTTTGCAGGGAAGAAATTTTCATCGTCGGTGTCGAATCTAATAAGAAAGAAAATGTACTTAATAAAGATTTATTAAAGGGAGAACATTATACCACAGAATAAACGTCAGATATAGACCACGATACTTACAAATATTCTTTATCCCTAGAAAATTCCGTAGCTAATTGGTACTCTCGTTGGGGGAACTTGGAATCGTTCAACTTAACGAAGCTGAATATTTTGCCGAACCATGATTTAGCATCGTCGAATATATCGGTGGTCTCATTGATTATACTTTCCTCGGGTAAATATTTAATCGGCATTCGCAGTTTCAGTATCTCGCAGTATCTACATAGCACCTCCTGCAATGTGTACGATTAATATTTTCTGCATCTCAAAGTGGCACTAAAAATAATCGTAAATCTTTGAAAGTACCTTCGGGGCATAAATCTTAATGAAGCATAGAGATTGATTGTACTCGTACTCCAGTTCCAAGCCTTGATCCATGAGATCGCCTTCGAATACTTCTCGTTTCTGAGCGTGATTTCTGTTTCCATTCTGCATATGAACCAACACGAAATCCACTCTACTAATGTTGTCGATCTCTTCTGGCTGAGATGTAGTCTGTAATTCATAACGACGATCTATAATAATTGAATACAATTCTCACATGTAAGATAATATCCAGAGTGCGTATATAAAACTTAATGCCAACCATCGGAGCGGGAAGATTTTCTTGCTCCAATGATATCATTCTTTGACTTAACTCCCAGGGAACTTCTAAAGTCTGATAGGACAGCTGGCCGTTTCGTGATGAATCCATATCTCAAAGACTACGGAAATAGAAAACCCCATATTAATTATATTCCACATATTTGCAATCGACAAGCTAAGCTAGTAATTACTAAACATCGAATTCAAAGCTTAACGAATAAAATAATACTTCAAACATGGATAATATCGTAGCAAATAGTAGTTTAAAAGCGGAATGACGATATGGATGAATCCTAGGAACAAGATGTATTTGATATCCAAAACTTGACGATTGGTAGAAAAAGCATTCCGTACATAATGCTGCGTAACTGCTTATTTTAAAAAAATACTGCACTGCTGTTCGATTAACAATAAGTCGCTTATAATGTACAATCCCTGCAGTTGCGTAAAGTCACATGCTTGTTCCTCGGACACAACGGAATCACTGATATAACAGTTAATATATACGACGTATCGTTATGACCCACCATGAGTGTTAAACGTAGCGCTATGTACATGTGGTTAAAAAGAATCGTGCCTAGTACTGCCTGCATTCTTCCAGATTCTTTACGCTCGATGAAATAATATCCTGTGCACCAGCATGCGAAATCCAGATAACTTGGTTAAATAAGCCAAAGAAGAAACGATAAGAATCTCATACACAAGGTGGGCAAGATAGCGAGCAAGATGATTCATGTCGCAGCGATAACATCATATTGTACTTACTTCCTCATATTAAACTGTAATTCAGCAGATAATTCCTCGCAGATTTAGGAAGAAATCAACTTTCTCACTTTCGATTTCCTCTTCAAGGGCAGAAGTGAAACCCTCGTGGCGGTGAAAATCAAGTTGCAATGCCAGACACCTAACCTCTAAAGTTCACCGATCTTTAAGACATCTTGCGCCGAACGTCGCGAGAATTGGACACGACTGTTTATTTAAAGGCATGTCGTTTCTTTCACAGCATTCGAATCACTTGAATGAATCAGAAAGTTGGAGTATTTCCTATTAGGATCGTATGACAGATTTAGCGATTACGAGATGAGGTTAACATGGTCGAGAGTTAACCGTTCGTTCGCCAGATGTCACCGCATGCCAATTCTAAATAAATACCGCGAAGTTTAAAAATCCGGCAATCATATAAAATAGGTAGTTACAAAATAAGATAAAATATTAAAGTCATGCATCAGAATATGTACTATAATCACTCCGGATGGAAAATAGAGTCACATGCTCTTGACATATATTTACAACACGTTGAATTGGTGCGCTACAAAAATATATATACACATGTATATATGTATATTTTATAGAATATTAATTTATGCGAGGCAGACCGAATGCAACATATCAAACGATGGAACGATTATTGTTCCGAAATGACAACCATGACATCCAATGACAAATGGAACCGGTCAACATTAATTATTGATTATAAGTACTCTCCGATTTCCATCACAGTCTACGCAACACTGACATAATTCGTTAACTAGATATAAAGACACGAATATATACTTATTTGTCTATCGTAAAGGATTTCTCATTGCTGGATTATCACTTGTCAATATCCCGAATTTTTTTCGCGACACGTTTTGTCATTTTTGAGCTGCGATTCGAGTTAGATTTGACATTTGCTCTTGTTGAGTGGGCAAAGATGTGTCTTCCATGAACTTCTAAAGTATTGTCACTGTTTTCCTGTTTAGGAATTATCGAGCTCGGTACAATTGTTCGAGAAATAGGACTCAAAGAATTTCGACTCCGCAGTGGTACAGCTGGTGCCGTTGTTAAAGATCTGAAATGAATTCAGGGAGACTTCGAATAATTTAATGAAACTTCTGTAATTGAGATAATTAAGAATTACCTGCTTTTACTATTTGAGAATCTAGAAATGTCAATCGGTGCAAGCTTCACATTTTTTGGCCAGACCGTTGGGCAAACTGGAGCATGCCACGCAGAATGAGGAATTTGTGACAAAGATAATTTCCTTGCCGATGTAGTTTTGAATCCTGAATTCCCATATCTACTTGACCCTGACAAGAAATTTCATTACACTATGATATTACGAATCTATTTCTCACTCTTTAAATCGCACTTACTTGGAGCTTTCGAAACGTCTGCAGATTGTCCCATAAATTGAATTGGCATGGTTTTTAACGTTGAAAAGCTTTCTCTGGTGCTAACAACAAAAGGCACTGGGCTGACGATGATTCTTTCGTTGAACACAGTTCCCAATTTATTTCTCCCGAATTGGGGAGTGTATAATCTCTTTTTTTCAAGCTCTACTCCGTCCTTTTGGCTTCGTGCCGAAACAGACAACACATTTTCACTAATAAATAAGAAAACAACACAGAAGCGTTGTAAAAATATTGAGATATTAAAACTTGTGTTCTAAATCTAACCTAAACCACGTTATTTAATCTACCTTAGAGGCGATACATCTTCCTCTCCAACAGATGCTTGCTTAAATACTTTACTCGAGTCTTTTACATCCCGAATGTTCTTAACATTTTTAACACCATCTTTCTGAATGATCTTCCGGCCTCTTCCACTTCCTTTACCATTACACGTGGGTGCTGGAGTTATCCGTAAAACCGAATCGAGATCCTCGTTCAAAGAATCCTCGTCCTTCTGCGTGATCAGTACTTCAGCATATAAGAATCTCAAAATTAAGTCAAAAATCTCTTCCTTGGCTCTCTCTCGTTGATCATCGGTTAAACTAGAGTGCAATTCCTGCATGAAAAATTCATACATTTATAAAAAAACTAAGAACGATCAATTTAAATCATTTCACCTCTACTTACCTCCAGCTCCGGGGAATCCTCGATGATTATCTCCTCATTCTCTAGTCTCTCCTTGCTAGAGTTCTTCCGTTTAACATCTGTATTTAAATCGCCAACCTTCTCGTTAGCTCGATACGCAGGATTCCTGCCAACGACCCTTAAGTGCGGAAGCTGACTTCTCCATTGAATGCACTCATCTAAGATCGGTCCAGGCAGAACCTGATCCGCTTCATCGAACAAACTCCTGTCGATAGCTTCCCAGTGTCTCGTAATCCTTTGCGTAGCAACTTCCTCTAACTCCTCAGGCCAGGAAACAGAAGTAGCACCGCTGTGTCGATCCCAGCTAAACGAATCGTTCCTAAAAGCTGGACAAGGGTACTTTGACTCCTGTGGGCTCGATTCGATATACCGAGCCGAATGGTTATTTCTGTTCCCTTGATGAACCGTCATTGTCACTCTATATCATGACACTTCTCCTTCCCCTGGTAACAAATGATTAATATAATTACTTAATTTTATATATATACCTCATTTTATAGATACCTTCTAAGCCATTTCATCTGTCTTCATGTGCTACGATTAAAAACACATGTTACAATAAGGAATGAACGTGTTAGGTTAGGAACGCGTCTTCACTAGAAATTTTCATTTACAACTCCTGTTATTACGTTTCAGAATTGTTTTCAAAGTGCACGGAAACAATCACGACGAAATAATACCTTGGAACATTTTATACGCGGTTGCTTTTCCCGTTATCCCCTCCTCACGGCAGATTATTGATTATTTAATCAGGAAATTTCATATTCATGGAGTCGAGACCCTTCTTGTTTCCTGTCGACCCTTTAAGCCCTTTAAGTGCGCAATTCCATTAATAGTCGTACTTCAAGCGGTCCATTTAAAATCTCCTCCAATAAAAAGAAATCCAAGTATGACTCTTTTTAATCTTCGATACCAAATAAATAAATGTTAATCCATACAAGCAAAATATTCACCAATTGTAACATCAAGGTATACATATAAACGCCGTCCCTTTATTTTCTGTATAAACGTAAATATTATAAGGACAATGAACCACGCATAAACATCACCTTTAAATAAACATTATGACTTTTATTCTCTTATCCTAATGTTATAACCTACAACGCATAGCTTGTATTTTGGTTTTCTGAATGAGTGAAGACGCAATGAAGATTCGTCAAGACCTACATGGTGCTAGCTGTTTATCACAGTCAAAGAAAAGGTGTAAAATAAGACAAAGATCTTCTTCCCCTAAACACTCCAGTTGTGCCTCACGAGTCTACACGAAACATCGTTCAAACAATAAACGCAAATATCCTCGGATAACCCTACTTTATATACTCACGCAATGATGCACCGTTCAAAGATTTTACAAATTTATTGTATCAAAGCGTACATATTTACAAATACTTCTGCAAAACCACCAGTATTCCTGACAAACTCACTGAGCTCCTTATATTAAATGATCTTTAGAATGACATGCAATCGAAAGAGATACAATTACCAGACATAACCTCATCAAGTGCCGAACAACACTCCGATTGTCTCGAACACTATACAGCTCTATTAGAAAAGTAAAAAAAAGAAATGAAATCGACTCCTTACAGAGTAATAAATTATACAGAATGCAAAGAATGCAGGAATTCACGATATTCTTCGGATTAAACCTTTTAGTACGTCTGGAATTTCGACAGTCTCATTAATTAATGTAAGCAATAAAGTCCTGGCGTGACGAAAGCATTGTAAATGTACGATTAATGCAGTTCGTGCGAGTGTTGTGCCGAGCGCGTTATTTGTGTCCAGTTTAGAAATATCCTATATATATATATATAATTTATATATATAGTTTATATTAGATCTTTGAACTTAGGCTCAGAATGTCTTACGATGTATTGCCCTAGTACTCTCCTCGTCGTATTCGCGTTTGCTCACCCACATCTTCTTAAACGTGTCCAGAGAAGCCAAAATAGACCCTCCGATCCAGGTACTGTACAAACGTTCTTGAGGAGCCGATATCTAATAAAAAAAAAAGAAGTCGATAAACCTATTGACAGCACTACGAAGTTTAAACATTTCTTACGATAATTCGATCCTCGAATGTTAATTACTTACCCTAATTTTGATGTCTTTTGGAGCCATCTTTCGAATCTCCGAAAGTAACCGATCTCCAAAACCCTGAAAAAAATTTGACATGTCTTTTTTTTTCACCATTGTAGAAATTTAATAGTCACGATCTGATCTATACTCACTCTGAACAATGTCGACCCACCAGAGAGCACAATATTTTGAAACAATACCTTTCTCAGATCCAAGTCAGACTTTTGAATGGAATACATTAATACTTCGTGAAGCCCTTCGCACTCCTCGCCAATCAAGTCAGGTCTAAAAAGCACTTCGGGTGCTCTGAATCGTGCAGGACCGATCTGTAAAGAATTTGCATAGCTTAGGATCTAATATACGCATTTTAACAATTAGAAATCTCACCTCGAGGTGACTTCCATCGGGCAAAATGTACGAGAATTTCTCTAGCTCGATATTCTCCTCTTTCTGAGGATTACTCGGAAGATAACACGTCCGTTCCTTTATCGTCCTGACGATTTCAAACTCTGCGGTGGTCTTGAAATTAATGCCTTCCTTGCGCAGCAACAGCCTGAGATACCTCGTAACGTCACGACCAGCTATGTCTACCCTCATAATACTGTGAGGCATTGCAAAGCCTTCGTAAATAGGTACAGCATGAGTGACGCCGTCTCCAGCATCCAAAACAACACCGGTAGTCCTTCCTGTTGCATATCTGAGGCACGAGAAATATTAATCAAGATATCTCAATTATATACCCCATAAATTCCATATTTTAATCCCAATGCAACTTACAAACTAAGTACAGCCTGCATGGACACAAATAAAGCCGGGACGTTGAAGGTCTCGAAGAATATTTCCGCAGCTTTCTCGCGATTTTTCCTAGGATTAAGCGGAGCCTCCGTTAGCAACACCGGATGCTCCTCGCTAAATGTAGCTAATTGATGCTTGCTGTAAACGTATGACCAGATCCGTTCCATGTCATTCCAATCCGTGACGATTCCATGCTCCATGGGATAGCGAAGCGAAAGAAGGCCTCTGTGTTCCTCCGCTATCGGTCCAACGAATAAATCCCCTTCCAGGGCTCCCGCCATAACACGGACATGTTTCGGCCTGCCGATACTAAAAGTTGAAGAAATATTAAGTTAATCGCAGAAGTTTATCCCTTCAAATTTGCATTTTCTCTTTTTTTTCCCTCAACAGTTGGCGAGATCGATGTCACCGCCTGTCGATAACCCCCAAATCGGAGAGTCCTGTTTAGGAATCTGGTCACGGACTTTAACCGTGGTACTTACTAATTTGGAAATCTGCATTTCGGTATCTGGTCTCCCGCAAATCCCGCTTTAATGACACCTGAGCCCTGAGACATGAAAATAACAGAATTTAAATATACGTGGAATCGATTTTAAGTTGACGAGGACTCGGTCATTAAAATTCCCAAAAAAGGGATAAATTCACAGCACCGTCATAAACTCAGTACAACAAAAATAATACTTAAGTGACAATGGAAATGATTTAATCGGATCTGTTTAAACGTCGAGAGATTATTCGCAAAAATATGACGAATGGTTCGGCCCTCGATTTGACACATGGAACACGGCGAGTCTGTCACTCTTTTTATAGGCTTTAATTAATTAACAGAGCACTCACGTTGTCAATTACGACTGGCTGATTAACGATCACGTCATAAGGCTCCATTATTCGCGAGTTAAAGCTTTGTTCCTCGGCTTAAAACTTAGAAAATCGACTCCAGCCTCGACGAGCACACCTAGCTCTTCAGGTGCGCCGTGAAGGAAGCCATTCGCGGCCATCTTGGATAAGTCGCGTCGAGATCGACCAGAATCGATTATCGAACACCCTGTACTGCAACAAAACGCGCAACCGCCCGCAATTTAAGTCTAAGTAAGAAGATACCGTATTGCTGCAAAAATATGCACTTTAATAGGTTCATAGTGTTATTACAAGAGTCGAACAGTATTAATTAGAGCTAACTCGTTCATATTTAATTCTATTAGTATTTTCAACGAGTCACAGCCAAAATTGGAACAGTTTAAAAGAGAATCATTACGAAGGACTATCATCGGATGATAGTCTTAAAGATCAATTAAATGCCTCGGTATTCTAAAAATACCCCAAACCTTCTACAGGATAATTCAGAAAAAGTCAAATTCACTAAGGAAATGCATTTACTCTTTGCTTAAGTCTATCGACTTAATCAGTCTTAATTACATATTTCTTTGTGATATTTTTCTAATAGATACTGCATTATTATCAAAAGTAACGCAGTATAATGATTTGAATATAAAAGTCTGTACCGTAATAACGAAACACCTATTCCTTTATTACGCAGTTTATAGTTGCATTAAATAAACTGCCTGTTTAGAATAGTTTTAGAAGTGCTTTTTCTATTCCATCGCTATCTACTCGTACTCTGTGACATTTGATTTTGCATCTATAACTCTCTAAAGAGAAAATATATATTTACACTAATATCAACCTGCAGCTGATACTTCTTAAAACGATCCTATGTATGATAACGTAAGAGACTGCGATAAACGACCACTAAAGTGACTAATGTCCATTTTAAATTCATATTAAATCTAGGACCCTATTTATCAAATATATATTACTTTGTCTGCGATATAAATCCTACACAAATGCTTGTGGGCCATTGGAAAAGACTAAAGTGTTGCGCAGGTGTCCTACGAAGTACGTTCCGGCTATTCGATCGATACCTCCGCTTTGAAGTGTTTCACTATATAAATTAATAAAAGACCTTAATAAATTTCTGCCATGAGTAGAACAGTCAACGAAGTCCACCCAGTGAACGGATGACTGCCACGACCTTCCCCATTACTGTCAGCATAATTTTCCCAGACATAACCTGACTTTTTGTACACCGATATGACGTTTCTGATTAAACACTGCCTAAGATCGGTATAAATCTTCTTTGCCTTGTCCTGATAAGGTCCAGATATTCTCGAGTACCGATACAAAGCCCTAACCGTCAGATAATTAATATTCATCCAAACAGGCCCTCGCCAATAAGGTGCATCGTGTTCAGTATTAAACTTCATATAAAGTGGCGAAGATCGAGCAAGCGATCGAAGGCCATATTTCGTCCACAGAAGATCTTCCTTCACTAAATCATTGAGAATCTTCTCCAGCTGCGGCGAGTCGGGCTCAATTATCTCCAGAATAAAGGGAAACAAAGACACGTAACCAAAAGTCGAATCCACAAAGCGCAGAGTTGGATCTTCCGTGACGACTCGTACCATTTCAAGATTAGGTGCATGAGACCGAGGCACTGGGGCAGGTCTTCGAAGAACCACTTTATCGGTGTGTAAACCAAAGTCTGAATAAGTCTGCGTAACAGGTGACCAGTGTAGTTTGTTCAATAGTTTATTATCCGATAGGTAATTATGAGTATGAAAGTACTTCTCATTAGGTCGATTCAGAACCTCTCCGATGCGATACATAATTCCAGCAGCGAAGGCAATCCAGCATCTGAGGTCAATGTGACGTTCATCGATGTTCGGATGAGAAGCTCTGGGATAATCATCCAAGCCAGACGTCAGAGTTTTTGGATTGAGTTCTCGATTCGTGGTGCTGTCTCTCCCTCTCCAGCGATATGTTCCAGGAAGGTCTCCGGTCTGAGTCGTGTTGAACCAGTCGAACCATGCTTGCAATCTAGGGTACAGTTTATCCAGAAGCCTGAGATGATTCTCCGTCAACTCTGTCCTGTAATTCTCCAGGATGAAGTTTAAAGTTAGGAAGAATGTCGGAGGATTGGCATTTGTGTTCACTTGAGTGACGAACTCTTCCGGCACTTTTGACAAAGCCTCTTGACCTAGTATCATCTCTCTCGGTATCCAGCCTTCCACGTTCATCAAGTCGAACCAATGACTTATGATGTCGAATTCGATATCTAAATCCCACGCTGAGATGAGTAAACCATGGAATCCTTCATCCCACAAGAAGCCTCTCGGAAAGAAACTTCGACTGGGCACGGCAGTGTATAACGGAGCCTTCCAATAAGGTACCGGACCTTTGGTGTAGGAGCTTTGCACTTGTGAACTGCCATAAAAATATCCAATCGAACCAATTAGGTTAGAAAATGCCATTTTGGCAAATGCGATCTCGTCTTCCTTGTAGCCTTTAGATCGGAGCTTGAATATATTCTCGAATTTCTCATCGAACGTTGATCGTTGCTTTTCCAGAGCTGCGTCATAATTTTCACCTGTCAATTTTTCAGGACGATTGATGACACTACCCGACTCGAAGCTTACTTCTATCTCGAAAGGAACTCTCGCAGTAACTTGGGTGACAATGAAGTTCGGCTCCACTTTGTTCCCTTCTGGAGAAACTGGTAATTGTTCACCGGCCAGAACGATCCTTTGTTTCAAAGATCCCTTGTATGAAGCGAGTCTCAGGTTTTGAAGTACGACTTCTTTTAAAACGTGCAAACCTGGAGCTACGGTTGCTAGGAATGAACGTTCTTCAATGACACCTTGCGTGGGATTAATTGTTAATCTGAAAGCTCCAAGACCCTGAGTGACTCCCTCGACTCCTGTCAATTGATTGTCGACTCCGAGAGTTGGTTTAATCCAACCGTTGGTTTTCTCTTCTACGGCTGTATAAAATAGTAAAGAAATTATCTCTCCTTCGTGTTCCAGCTTTTCTGATGTCAATCCAATTTTTGCAGTCCAATCTCCACCGTGATTACCACCCCGTCTCTTTACAAATGTCGTTTTCAAAACGATGCCACTGTCGACTATCTCTTGAACGCCAAATGTCCTCCCGTCGTGCTCTAACCAGGCATACCTAATTATAAATCATATTTGTCAGGCAACCTTTAGAATAAATATTCAGGTATTGATTTAATTTAGTACATCTGCAAAAGTTAAGCATCACTTACTTATCTAACTTATCGCTTTGCTCGCACCAGTGACGAATTCCACCTCCAGTCTGCCGCAAGTAATGCGGAAAGTACCACATAAGGCCGTTCACCAAAGAATTTGGATCTCTGGTTTTCATGCCGAAATATAAACCTGGGCGATACGTATTCCAATATCGAGATGTATCGCTCGACCCACTAAATGTAATCAGCTAAACGAACGAAAATAAGTCAAATTATACTGTAAAATATTACTCCAGTGACATTTTTTAACCTCTCGTAATTATACAGTCGTCGCAGCGAGAGGATTAAAAGGAATTATACAAAAGCAAACCTTCTCAGTTTCATATGGAGTGTTAACTCGAGTTTCAAGATATCCTTTGTAACTGAACCAAGCAGCGATTCCAATGCAAACGGTAGTCAAAGAAGTAACGAACGGAGACATTTTCAGTTTATCCTCCCTTCTGGAATCGGTTTGGCCCGAAGACTTAATCCTGGCCTTTGGTGGTTTCTCGAATCCCTTATTTCGAACCATTTCCAACAGTACTAAACATACAATAACATAGTTGTTTCTCTTAACAGGAACGCACAATTTTCAGGAGGAACTCGTCAGCCAAATTAAAAGGTAAAGAACCAAAGCTTATTTCCAAAAATACAATCAAATTGCCCTTCAATATCTTACAATTGTATAACAACCACTAATAAATACAATATCGTACAATATCGTACCATAAAAAGCAACTCACCGATCCAACTCCAATATCATATAAAGTAACTTGGATTCCTCCTGATAAATCTATCTCATCGTTCTGCCAGATTTAACCTCAGCTTTTGACATACAAAATGTAAAACCCCTTTTCCTTAAATAAACTGGGATGAACCGAAGGGGAACAAACCTTATGCTTTGTTAAACATCTCACAGAGGTGAGTTGGAAGCAGAGATGAGTTGCGCGATCGCGTCCTGTGCTGCTCCCTGGTGGAGGATGTGGACAACTAATGCACTTGTCACCTGATACCTCTTAGTCGATAAAGAAGAAAGGCCGTCTCTAAAACAAATAGACATTCTGGTACTGGGCCTACAGTAGAGGCCAAAATCCAAAAAGATACAGAGATATATATTAGGGTCATGAAAAAATTACAGCAAGTAATGAAATGTTATTCCTACGACACTGATTAATTTATTCTAATTAACTGGACACTGAACGAGTTTTGTTAAAATAAAGTGGGAAGGAATGCAAAAATCAGGATCGCTGGTTAGAGGTAATCACTTGACACTTTTTAACGTACTATTCGTTGCACTCGTAGTTATTAAAAGAGTTTGGTTCCAGAAGGTATTACAAATATATTGTACAGTTGGATAGGAGTAAACATAAGTTTGATATTATCTTCTTTGCGATTGAAAATAAAAAATTCATTCGACACTTGATGCGCTTATAGGTTGCCGTTCTACGTTTGGTTATATCAGAACAATGACCGATATTCAAGGAACCGGTAATCATTTAGAACGCTCCATAAGAAAGAAATTAGAGGATTCACTGAAACCTGAATTTTTAGAGATTTTAAACGAGTCTTACATGCATAACGTACCAAAAGGATCGGAAACTCACTTTAAGGTTATAGTGGTCTCCGAAAAGTTTGCGGATCAACCTCTCATCAAGGTAATCGTGATAAGGATCCTCGATAAGGAAAACCATATTTGGGTACGATGAACTACTTATCTCTGTATTTCTTAATAATTTCTAGCGCCACCGGACGGTGAATGAAATATTACAAGTGGAATTACAGAACGGAGTGCACGCTCTTTCGATAGTGGTAAGTATTGAACGGACTTGTCGAGTTGTACAGGAAGTATAGATACAAAGTTCACGTAACACATGTCCCCTTTCCGTATCTACAAAGGCGAAAACTCCTGCGCAGTGGAAGGAAAGTAACAAAGTGGTCTCACCTACGCCAGCGTGCAGAGGAGGTTTCGGAAAATAAATTCACAGTAATCCACGCACTAAACACCTTGAAATCACGACATTTCTACGAGATACAATTCTCCCAGTGAATGTGCCGATGAAACATTTATACAGATGCAGTAAATTAACGACGTACAGGTTAAACGAAAAAGTGTTCATCAATGTCACAACGAGAACGTGTCTAACCTTAATTTTCCATCATTCTCTGTGAAGTAAAGAATATCTGCCATCGATTGCTCAGCAATAGCCTCCTCCGCTTTGACATACATCTGTAAATAAAAGGGAAATAAAATATTAAACGTTAAATTAAACAATAAATCGTCAACAGTTTTTTCTTTTTAACCTCGACGTAAGTGAAACTAATGCATACTCCTCTAAATGAAACATCAGTCGGTGGACATTTAAAGTTGGGTCCAAAGTTCACAGAAACTGTAGCACTCTTATGGATCGAGACCGTTGGAAAGTAAGCTCCTCCGTTGACATCGGCGAAAGCTTCTCCTTGTGAGACTCCATTTTTATAAAATATTATCTTACTCCCTAATAATGGCTTCAGTGCTTTCAGTGCTTCCGGCACTTGATCCTTCTCTTCGTAGTACAGGTGGCTTTTAAATTTAACCAAAGGCTGTCGAATAAAATATGATTACTTGACTATAATTTGTCCGTTATAATATTCACTTACTCTATCTTTGTAGGTATTAGGAATATGAGAGACTTCTCGAGTATCAGGTAGAGATATTACGAAGCCCAACGTATCACCTTCTCCATAGGCTAGGCTGTAATGTTTTCCTCTGCTTTCGTGGAACCTTGTACCCTTTCTGGAAAAAAAAAAAATCCATATATCATTGATATTCGTTGCTATGGCGTGAAAAATACACCACCACAAAATAGAATAAAACTGAATTTTAATAACAATTCCATTCGCAGTACCTAGACCTCCAAGAATATCCAAACTTATCGTAGCCGAGAGGAGCCTGCAGGTTGGCGTACTCTTGACCCCATCCCAATCTTGTCGCTGAACCCTCAGGCATCTCTTCGATGGTGGCTTCCCAGTACCAAGTACCTCTGCTGACGCCTAAAACGCAATTAATACCGTTTAATATAACCCAATCTCCGCAAAACTGTCAAATAGTACTTAGAGGTTAGATCTTTCGTACAATGCGTAGCTCTGACCATGCAGTATCCTTTTTCCCCAGTCACCGCAAGCCTGTCTTCGGACACTCTAAGCTGCGGTGCTCGATCATGTAATGCGAGTAATACAGCACATGGACTCAGCGGTCTGTACAGCCATCCTGGAATTGGTTTTCCAGCCCAATCGCTGCTCTCGTCGAATTCCTGAAATTAACGTAATTAATAAATAAATAGGGCCGTTCCATAAAAACAAGATAAAATTTTAAATATAACAAACCTAAGAAGGATTAATCTCAACTTTTACATTTTCATCGCAACTGTTTACCTGTCTGAACGGAGCATGTGGATCGGGTTCTGCCAAAATGTATCGATACCCATCTTTGTTGAAAGGATGTTCCAAAGGGTATCCATGTGCAGGAAGTTTCGGTGTGGTCATGTCCGAGCTCCTTCCTTTCTTCCCTGGCCCGGTGCCTGCTCCTTCGCCAGGGAACTTTCGCTTCGCATTCCGACCACGAAGTCCTCCAGTCAGCGGCACTGAGTATCCCATAACAATACAAATACTTAGACAAGAACAATCAAGTAATAGTATTACCTCAAGACGAATCGTATTACCCATATTTCGATCACAAGCTGATCAGACGTTAAATTAAATCTGCTCGGAAGCATATAGAGCACTCTCAGTAAATGACAGTTTACACTCCGTCACTGCTTCCCACCACTTTGACATTACATGACAAAACTAAACTTTACAGAGGCAATGAGTTGCTTCGCACATAATACTTAGCGAAAGTGATAGCATTGTGATACCTATGCCAGCGATAAGATAAGCACATCAGTGTGTAAGTAGTCGCGTTGAAAACCTTTAAGAGTGCATAATAGACATTTACAATAAACCGAAGAATTAAGGCGATTTTTATGATAGGAGATATTCTTTTTAGATGTAATTTCAGTTCTCGGAAGCATCTTGTCTCATAACCTCATCGAAAGATTTTTTCTTCGGATTAATGAAGGTTTGCACATGAAATGCTTCTTGAAATTAATGAAGGTTTACACACCGACGTGTTGTACGCCCATTTCGGTGACTTTCAGGTGTCCGCCTTTAATCATGGCCTCGTAGTTAGGCTTAATCAGGACGAGATCTGGCGTGACGAGACCGAACAATTGTCCATCCGTGTTGTTTTCATCCATTGTGAAGAGTGTTCCCACGTCTTTTAGAAGCGCCCTGTGTATCTAAGATAATAATATATAAATAAATTAGAGCATGTTATACACTGGATAATTTACTTTGTTAGTTTGATTATAGGAATGTGGAAGAACGTACCCTTGCATGCCAAGATTGCGTGACCCTGCGTGGCATCGTTGTCATGCTCTCCCAGTGGCACTCGATGAACGGAATAATGTCTTTGTCCTTGTGAAACAATGTTCTGTGATCGCTGTCCTTCTGACAGATCTGAAGTAGATTTGCTATAGCCGTTACGCACATCTGAGGGAACGCTGCAAGAAAAGGAATAAGTTTCTCAGAAATGACGTTGAAACATTGAGAAATGATTTTAGAACGTACGAGCTTGATTCTTCTTAAAACTTTCCAGGCCAGTCGGTGAGCAATTTTTACACATGAATACGTAGTTCATCATGAAGGGCACCAGTTTCCCCAGTTGAAAACCGATACACGACTCGTGGAACCACCTCGAGCAACTGGCGCACAAAAGCTCGGCGATATTAAGATTCCTATCCTTGCCGCTAAAAGCAGGAATAGAATTAGTCTCCGATACTCGGTGTCGGTTAAAGTTGAATTAATAAAAGTGAATAAATACCAGTAACAATTCCCACCGTCGTTGTTGTTGTTCGCCCTACCGTTACACTTATCAACGGCATCTTCCGATTTACCACCCTTCTGTCTAGACTTATCTTCATTTTTAATCTTTAATCTCTCCTCGCTAGAACCGTTCGTTGAATTATCCGCCCGTTCCATTGCACTAGACATAAACAATGCACACAATGATTACCCTAACCTCCAAGTTATTTATTTTGCGAATACACAAATACAATGAATTTTTATTTCCAACCTTGAGGAGCAAAACTAATACTAGTACCTCTCTGATTTCTGCCCAGACATTTTCAACTGTAAACAATGCTCTGGTCGGATAAAACCCTGGAAAAACTCTCGATGCAATCCTTTCGCAGTGGACAGCGGTCGAATTTCTAAATCTCCATTTTCACGCGCTTAAAATAAATCCCGAAAATATTAACAGCATTTTTCCGCCTTAAAACCGACTTCTCTTACACTGGTTTCCCAAGGAATTATTAAATCAATTGAAATCAACGAGAGAATACCAGGAAGACGAAAATCGGAGTAACAGCGATGAATATAAACGTAAGTAAAACTGTGCTCATGCTTTATATTTCGAACCGACTAGTGCAGCCATCTAGCGGTGGAGCGCTCAAACTTCTACATCTACCACTCGTCCTGAGCGCTTTGCGTTGACGCGGGGAATTTGAACCAAACAAAATCGCGGTTGAAGACACGTGTAAAGCGCGATGACATTATATCGAAATAGTATACACTGTATGTACGTACTGTAAAGCTCCTCAAAAAATTATGCAAATAAATATTAAATAACCTAAAAACTACGATAAGTTGTGGCTCCTTCTAGACGTGAACCAGTGTATGTATATAATTATGTGAGTTGCTATAAAAAGTATATATATAAATATATATGTATATCAACCATGTCTCTTTCTACATTGGTAGGTCGAAAGAAAGGTTCTTGCAATTGGTTGTAAACTATTATGTATATGGATAGTACATCGGAGAGCCAAGCCTTCCATGTAAATGTTCTAAATGCACATATTCATTTATATGTACTTGCTGGCGTACTGGCAAATACTTAGAATTAGGTCTCAGAAAAATGTCGGTGTAACGCTTAATATTTATAATAGTGCGGGGAATTGCGATAGTGATAATATCGGTTCACATACAGGGTGGATCGATGGATTCGTAGGTACGTTAGAAAGTCGAAACGACGGAAATACGAAACTTCGAGTCGATCTAAATCAAACTTCAAGTCACACGTTTTCGTCGTCGTTCTCAGCAGCAGCCCTCGTGGCGTTGTAACTTCTTTTCAAGCTATAGCCAGAATGTTGGGTCTCGTACATCTTCCGATTCTCCAGATACCGTCTATAATTATTCTCCCTCTTCCTTCTCTGCTCTTCGGCTTGCTGCCTCAACTTCTCAGGATTCATATGAGTGGTCACCATGTGCCTCGTCAAGGAGCTCATGAATTTGTACGTAATGCCACATACATCGCAGGCCAATATCTCCTCGTTAGCCCCTTGCTAAACACACAAAATCACGTATATAAATTGCCAAACCCTAATAATAATTAAGACCCAGGAAATAAAATTAAATCACCAGTTAATTCATTTCTCACTATATATGAATCGCAAAATCCATGCAACGTTACAAACCAAAAATATCCCAAACTATTCTGACCAATGATGACAGTTCATAATGATTCATCGATGGTACTAACATGTTTAATTAAAATTAACATACCTGTTGGTGGACCATCATGTGTCGTTGCAGGTTATTTAATCTGTTGAACTCTCGACCACAGACTTCGCAGTCAAACTTCCTGTCAGGATCGTGATATTTCTTGTGCATGCTTAGGTCGGTCTCGTCTAGGAATACCTTGTGACAAATCTCGCAAGCAAGAGAGCCTTGATTAGTCGACAAGTGTGATTCCTCGTGCCTAGCCAAGCTCGACTTCTCCATAAAACGACGGCCACAATAGATACAGGGTAAAGGACGCGATTGATTGTTATGGAGAGTGAGATGTCTTCGCAGCGCAGTAGAGGTGGGGAAGCTCTTGTGACACTCGAGACACTGGTACGGTCTGTCACCAGTGTGGCTCTTTCGATGCCGAGCCAATGTATTCTGATCGGGATACCTAAATTTGAAAATGTCGCATTAAATTACTTTCGACATGAATTTACATACACTTCTTAAATTAGGGCCTACAAAATACGTTAGACGTCGAAGAACTTAATTCCATACGTTACCTTTTAGGGCACAAGTCGCAAGGAAAATTCCTCGTAGTGATATCTTCCTCTCTCGCATGCTTCAGTCTATTATGTCTCAATAGCTGAAAGGACGTCTTGAAACTCTTATTACAGATCTCGCATTTAAGGTTGTCGGTAGTTGGAATGATGACTTGAGTTCGCTTCTGTCCGTGCTCATCTTCAGATATTATCAGAGATATCGTAACAGTATTATCCTCGTTGTCGACATCATTAAGAGACGATGCTGGTACGACGGTAGTCTAATAGAAAGCAAAATATTTAAAAACATAGATATCTCATTAATTGAAAATTTTACACTTTCAATGTTAAAATTACATACCTGTTTACTGTTAACTCCAGATCTCATTTCCAAGCTTGGAGCAAGAGCTCCGGACTCCGATTGATTATGTTGTACGACTTGGGTCTCGCTCTCAGGACTGTTCCTGTCCTCGTTACTGTTTTCAGCGATGGCATAATTTCCATCCGGGGTTAGATAGACAGGTTGCAGAGTGCCGTTGTCATCTTTGAAATAAAGCTGACCATCCTCGTCCTCGTGCAAGAAAATCTGATCCTTTAACGAGTAATAAAATTACGTTTCAACCAGAATGAAATTAATAGCAGCCTGCGAAGGACCTTGACAGAGTCAGTACCTGTGAATTCTCTTCCTCCCGTTGTTGATCAGTGCTTTGATCTGCGGATTCCCACTCTTGTTCCTCCTGTTCCATCGAATTGCTTCCGTACTGGTACTGTTCATTGTCGTTGCTGGTCTGTGACATGTACAGAGTCTCGATATCATCCCCTTCGTAGTAAATAGTACCCTCGACTGGAATCGTATCCTCCTGTAACTGCTCCATCTAGTTTATTAGAACGTGAGTTTCAATAACCCAACATTTTTAATTATTCTTGTTAAACAATCAAAATATTTTCCACGTTTCTACCGCAAATTGTCATTTTTAGCCTTGGCAAGTAATTTAAAAACACCGTTTTAAATGTGAATATAGTTTGATGGGTGGACTTTAAATATTGCAGTAAAATATCTAAAGTCATACCTTCATGTATCTCGCAGAGGAGAATTTATCCTCAGATGTTTTCACCGGACCACTTTGCTTCTTCGAGCCCAAAACTGTGTAGACTAAATTATTCTCAGCATTCTTCACGATCTCGTGTTGGCTGCTGTTGGCGATCTCAATGGTCCTTGTGCCGTTCATGTGACGGTCGTATTCTAAAAGTTTAAACACTGATTACTCAATAGATTCAAAGATTTATTCCACTACTTAAGTGATAATTACCACTTAAAGATTCACATCTCTTCTGAGACTTTGAATTAATAAACTCCTCGGACTCCGTTTTATTGCCAAGCAACCGAGTCGCTTTAGGATCGTACTGATCGTGCTCGATATCCTCGTCTTCCCAATCTTCGTCGACATCATATGTCACGACTTGCTTATTACTATGTTTCTTAGCTGGGTTTTCACTAGATTTCTTAATTGGCTTTGTCATGGTCTCAATTAGCATTTCGCTCTCTTTATGGACCACATAATCTTTCTTGGATAATCTGTCATTCTCTTCCAGCTCCTTTTCTATTTCCATGTCGTCACCTTTTGATAGTAGCTCCTTCTCGACGTCGTCCTCCTCGACCTCCTCGATTTCTTCTATTATTTCCACGATCTCTTCAACTTCTGCATCGCTGCAATCGTCCATACCTCCGGAGTTATATATAATTTCTTCCTCCATCTCGGCTTCCCTCAATAATGTGGAAACTTCTTCGGAGACAACGGACAGTCTAATCGCACTGCTTTCCTTTTGCGGTAGCTCCATACTTTACTGCGGGTTTCATAAATTCATTACATTAGAAAAGCTACTATCATAAATAACTAAAATCAAATCTATTTAATCTTTAATCACAAAATAAAAGCATAAAAAGACTGTCCTAATATTTCATAAACCGTAGGTAGTAAGATTGAATTTATATTCGCCCGACGGGCGCTTCACCAGTCGGTACAAAAATTCCGTGGATTTATCAACGGACAGCAAAATGGCTACGAGTGGCCGAGGAAAGCGTTTCAGCATCGACGGAGCCATAGTCGACCCCGCAAATTATTCTAACCAATTATCCGACAATAGGACTCCATTTTTCCTGAGAAGACTCCAAAATGCCGAGACAGGAGATTGGAAAAATGGGATTCTACTCGGTCGATACGCACCATCGTAATTATATCACCCCTAGCTTCCACACTCGGCAACGCAAGAACGACGCATTCCCATGCCACAACACAACGCACGGCGGAAAGGAAGCGAGAGCGCGGCGGCCATCTTGTCACTCCTTAAAAGCGCCATTGTCGCCATCCGTGGCGCAGACGCGAACTGCGTCCACTTTAAACGCGCGCGATCAAGTTCCCACAATACCTCACCCAGGGCGCGTCGAAAACAGACAGCCAATCAGAAGCGCGCGTCAGACATGACAGCCAATCAGAAGCGCGCCTCATTTAAAATAACCCCCAGCGCTGAAACTTCCTTAACCTCGTCGAGCAATGAAATAATTTGGAGAAATGAGTAAGGACACTAGACTTTCCTTCATTTTATACAAATTCAAACGAGTTTATCGGTGCAACGTATACACTAAAAGAAACCAATTAAAATTGAAAATAACAGCGGGGAGAAAACAAAAAATTGCTCCCTTTCTCCTTCGTCCTTCTTTACGAAACATCTCAAGACCGATTATATCTCCAGTTTAGATTCGAATTTCATATCTAAACTCCGTGAATCATTAATTCCTAGGTGAAACATTAAAAGTGGTGATCTTCCTTGCCCCATCGAAGCACTAACTTTTGTTTGCAATCATCGCCAAGTTATGAATGGTCGTAACATATTTACTGATCGTACAGAAAATTCGCCACCGAACGGACTAAAAAGTTTGCGTCCCCTAAGACATTGAAATTACAGTTGCTTCCACATGTTTTTGTACAGTGTTAATAAAATTAATATCTCATCCTTCGCGATTACTCGCCTATAAATTAACAATTTCCGGTCTTAGCCTGAGCAAGAGTGAACGAAATACCACGAGCATGTATAAAAAAAGAGAAAAAAAAAAGAAACCATTGTATGTCGGTGCTATCCATTAACATTAACCACGTAGGCCGAAGAAATTATCCCTACGACTATGGCTGGATTGATATTCGCATAAGCATTAATACGAATGTCCACCGTAAGATTAATCTACGATAATCGCACGAGAATCATTTGCACAATGAATATAATACTTGAAGAGCCGTGAGAAGTTTAAGGGGATGTCAAAGCGAGGTCAAAGGGATCTTTACGAAACTTTCCGCCGAACTAGGTGTACAGAATCGTTTCAGACTTGATAATATAAATGTAAAGGCTTACAGGAAGGTCCCGACACCCATGAAATCCCAATTTTTTCAAGGAAATTTATAAAGCAGGTATAAACAAATAATTTTAAAATCGAGATTTCATGGACGTCAGGACCTTCCTTCTATCCTCCGCCTTAACATTGTAAAGTATGAAACGATTCGGTACATTCAATTCGTTCTAAAGTTTCATAAACGAGACCTTTGACGCCGCTTTCGCATCGCCTTAAGGTTTTTTATTAAAGAAAAAAGGGGAAGAAAGGAACCCCACGGATTATAGAATCACAATTTTCGGTGCCTGAATTCCAGAAACGGCGTGACAAATATATCTTAATGAAACGCAACGAGGCCCCTGAGTGGTGAATAATTCTCGTGGTTACATGAAAAATTTCCTCTCTTTACACATGAAATCATAATAACGGCAGCATTACAAGTGTTAGGACTTGTAACATCGGTTTCTCGGCAGCATCCGTTTTTCAAATTAACAATTATCCTCTCCCCCGTTCGTCGCGTTAAGGTTTCATGAAAGTGGGACCGCAGTCAATCGTTCATGAAACTTATCTCCAAATTGGTAGCATTGAATTGTTTCAAGCTTTACAACGTTAATATGAAAGCTGTAAGTAATGTCCCGACACCCATGAAATCAAGACCTTCCTCACAGTTCATGTTGCAAAGTCTGAAACGATTCGGTACAATGAGTTCATAAAAAAAGTATCATAAACGAGACCTTGTCGCCACTTTCAGACCGCCTTAATAAACACTTAAACCATCGCAGCTTCGGTTACCCTCAACCTAATCCTCGGTTATCCTCGGCTTAACCCTCGATTATCCCGGCTCATACGGTAGAAAAAGTAGCGATTCCAGAGCTGCAATTAGGTATTGCGAGTCAAGTTCTTATTCCCCCCTCCCCGTTAAAAGGATCACACAATCCAGAATTGACGTTTACATGCGAGACATCCTTAAACGGATCCGAGAATACTTGAATTACGAGAACGTATTTGCAATCCCAGGTCACTTTCCCCCCTCCTTCGTCTCTACTTTATATGTGTGCAAGCGACACACACACATATATTTGACAGTTACACACGCTCATGACTAACACAGTTACGTCGTAAAAGGTGACGCGTTATTTTTTTTCTTTTTCCTTTTAGTTTTAAATAGCGCATTGTAAGATGATTCATTAAGCCGACGCGAAAGTGGAGTCGAAGAGTTCTTCCTTTAATTAAACTCTTCTCCAAACTGAAAGATCCGAAACGCTTCAAACTTCAAAATATAAACTCGTAGGACATAAGGAAGGTCCTGAGGTTCACGAGAGTTGGATACTTTTTAAAATTTCTTCATGGATATTTTCAAAATTTGTTATAAAAATTGAAATTTCACGGGTGGAGGGACTCTCGTTGTGGCCTTCGCGTTCACTGTGTGAAGTTTGATACGTTTCGGTAAACTTAGGTAGGAGAAAAGTTGCACCGGCTCTTCGGATGCCACTTTCGTGTCCCCTTAAGGGTATTATGATACAAGATCCGAAGAGCAGCACTTCCTGGTTAACGGTGCGCGGGACTCGTTAACGAGACCAGAAGAGCGCGCCGTTTCCTTTCGTCTTGTGGAAAAGAAGGATCATCCGCCATCCTTAAGACAAGACGCGTCGTTGCCTCTTTTCGGCGATGCGATGCACAGGGTCCGAGACTGGACGTTGGTTAGAGGGTGGCCGAGTTACTGTTATCGACTAGCGGCGATAAGGGTCCCACCTTTCTGCTACCGCTGACCATCCGGTCGGTTTCGTAATGGACGTCCAAGGACAAGCCTGCAAATTAAACGAAACCAGTGATTATTCTAAATATTAAGCGTATATTTTATCAACAACTGTAGTTAATTCATCTTCCAATTCAGGCTAGACAAAAGAGAATATTTAAACATTGGAGAAATTAAAGTGTCGGGCCCAAGCCAGGTCTACGATATGGTGATCATGACCACGACTGATAAATGTTCAATTATTTTTGCCATCGTAGCATTATTAAATTTCATAACGAACAGTCAAGGAGAAGCCAGGAAGTTAAACGTATCGAGTGATTATGTTACAACGTGTAAATTCCATCCATAATCTCGTTATTTAATCTTCCAGCTCAGAAAAAAAAAAGAAAAGAAGAGACGTAAGTTTCCACGCTCCCGAAAGTATTGTTTCATAAACTTGTCGTGTTAACCAGTGACGTACATTTGTGATATGCGTATTTACCGGAGAGCCTCCGGGAAGTTGAAGAATGGTGCATCGGCCCCACCGTCATGGGACTCGCTTCGGGAATGAAGGCAGCGACCAAAAGTGCACAAATTACCAGGAGAGCACCGAATACGAACGGTGGCCCGGGTACCAGCTGGAATAAAAATCCAAGAACAATTAGAAACAATGAAGAACAACCGGGAACATCATTTGCCCAAGACAAGACACCTCGATTTACAATAACAATACATCTCGCTCAAATGTACTTGTCGAAGAGGACTCGTTAACCTGGGGCATGATGTCAAGGTGTTGCGTGACGGTCCCGGTCTTATTGTTCTCGTCGAAGAGCGCCGATTTCAAAGGCAGGGACGACGAGTCATCGTTGAGATCGACGTGAAAAAGATAGAAAATCAGGCCAAACATCGCAGGACCGAGTCCGTTGCAGAGTCCACGCATCCCGGTGACCATGCCCTGGACCAGACCCTGTTTGTCAGCATCGGAGTGCATCGACACAAATGCAGAAATAGCTGGATACGTTATGCTAGACACAGAAGCCAGCACCCCAGCAGCCCACATCATCCTAAACGAGGAATAAAATAAACTTAATTAATAAAGAAAGTAGAAATAACGAGTTATAGAATTATTTCAAGTATTTTAATAGTCTATCGAGAGCAAGATAAATAATAATTATGAATTACCATGTCTGCGATCCGAAGCCATACCACATGAGTTGGAACATCTCGAAGAGGAGGCCCAGCATAATTGTATGCTTACTGCCGAGAGTCTTCATTAGCAGCCCTAATATGATCTGAGCACCGACACTCAGTACACCGACTATGGCAATAAACACAGCGACCATAGTGACGGTGAAACCCATTGTTAATCTTAAGTAGACAAAGATGCAGCTGTATTGTCCCGCCTCCGGCAAGTAACTTAAGAACACAGTGACGCACAGCATCAAAATTGTGTGATCCTTCCCAACCTGACAAAGGAAACGATATCAGGAGATTCAACAGACGGAGTATAAATGACATTTATTTAACCAGATTTAAATTTATAAATAGATTTACCTTTCCGAGAGCTGCAAAAGGGTCTGCTTGTTCCCAAGAAATAGGACCCGGTGGACGAGCCTTCTCTGGCAAGCTCTCCGGCACTGCGACTAATATGAAAAATACATCCAAGACAGCTATAGCAGTTGCTAGTGCAACGACAACATTTTCCCCATACGTATCCATCGTGAAAGCTCCCAGCGAAGGACTTATAACCATACTTGCAGCGAAAGTAGCAGAGACCTAGGAAACATTAAAAGCATATCGATATAATTACCATAAATAATACAAACAGATAACGTCTGATTCGTCTCACAATAAAAAATGTACGATTATTTCAAATTCTATTTACCAATTTTTTATTTAACCTCATCACCTTTGTGATATAAAAACACTAGATGAGAGCACGAAGTAGACGTATATTATACAGATTGTGATAGATATTGAATGTGGAGTACGTACTAGACCATAGGCTAGAGAACGTTGACTTTCCTCGGTGACATCTGCCACATAAGCGAAGACAACCGAGAAGGTGCAGGCAAATACACCGCTGATTGATATCATGGCGAAGAACCACCACGTGTTAATACTCATTAGTGGGATAGGTGCGCAGGTGAAAGCCACCGTAATGAGTAGGAAGAACTTCCTTCCCCAGACATCGGATAAGGCACCGATAAGTGGCGCCGAAAGGAAGGATAGGATGCCCTTAATGCCCATTATCAGGCCGTTCATCAGGAATGTGTGATCAGGAAATGTCTCGTTCAGTACGGAGATGATCGGCAGAGTCAGTAGGCCCCAGGCAAAGAATTCCAGAAATATCACCACGAGAGCGTGGTACACACTTGCCTCTCCGATGCCAGAGCTCTGGAAAAATAAACAATTCTAGGTTAATACTCGCTATAAATCAACTCTTAAACAATAAACATTAAAAACATGTGCAGAAAGCTCTGCCTCGATAATCTTATTTCGGTAAACCTTCTAATAAAAACATCCAAGTACAAAGGTACGGAAAAGTGAAGTTAAGTCGAGACCCTGTCATACAAAAGACATAATTTATAATACAATTTATTCATACGTGTGCAGCACAGCATTTCGTTCCACTCGGAAGACTCATTTGATGGTTTGTGATATTGTAAAATATTTTATAATTAATAAATGTTGTTAATTTATATGTAGGATATAAGTAAAGTTAATTTGATCCTGCGGTTGTAAATTCTTAACTTGACGAGGATACAAGCTGACCTTTAAATGACGATAGCATCGCTGAGGTAGAGTAAGCGGAGGTACGAGTTTAGTGACGGCAGTCTCTTGACTGCTGTAGGCATCGGAAGACGACGGGCCAAAGCCCTCCGCTTCGTCCTTTGCCCCTGAGGGCATGACCAGCCAATGGTATTATTACAGGAGTCTTTCCATGATACACCATAACACGGCTTTATTTTTTCACCCCTCTTTTAGAAACACGTGTAATTCTTCGCTTTCGTGTCCAATGTTTCACCCGACATCGTTACGTTTGAAGTTAATCTTTGGAAAAGTTAAGAATGTTTTAATCCAGAATTTAGAATTATAGTCGTCGAATCACTCCATGTTTTATATGTCCATCTTTTCACTCCTACTCTGTGACTTCGGGGAATGTAACAAAAATGGTTTAACATTTCAGAATAGAATTTAGGCGTTTATCGTTCCCTGTTATGGCTCATCCGAAGAAACTTCTCTTCGAGCGATGAATGCTTAAGTTAACACTTCGGAAGTTAGAACGTCGATTAAATGTCTCATATTTCTTTGTATTCGTTCAAAGTATTCTGCAGAATATTTATTTTATCATCGATTCATTCCGAACGTTCTTCTTCAAAGTTTGAACGAAAGTTGTCAGCTCTTCTCTAGGTACTGGGACGTTCCTTTTTCTTGAGAAAATAATCATGGTCCGATTATTGGCCCAATAAAATAATCGTAATGGCTTTAAAACAACACAAATACTTGATTTAAAGATGCTCGTACCGAAGCAAATCAGTTCAGAGGCATCGATCTCAACTCCTATAAATTGCAGAGATCAAGTTATGCACATGCTGTTACTGTAAGTAATCTCAGACATCTTGACGACAACAGTGACAACAATTAGAATTTCATATCGCCAGTACCAGCAAAATTATCCATCTCCTCCGTTAGGGTATTCGTTCCCAGCATTACAGAATGCACAGTACAGGTATAACCTGCAGTAGGTCAGTCAGACTTGTCAAAATCGACGTTCCTTTAATTCGACATCCTGGCCAAGACATTCTTTTTTCCGCCACGTAATAAAAAATCTCAATCCCAAGACAATCCGACAAGGTTGTCATTTCCTCCCCGCCAAGGTCTGGCTTCCCAGGCGATGGCGAATCTTCTCACCTTTTCACCCTCTCCATACTTTCCGAGATCCCGTGACAACACCTCACACACTCGGACAAGTCTTAGGATAATCCATTTTCACATAAATCGCTAATAGTGTCATAATGCGATTAATTAGCTCTACGTAAAAATAAATTCCCGATCAGTGAGATTCCAAATTTCTCGTATGCGCCTTCCGAGGTGAACCTTTTCACATTTTCACCCTGGCCAGGGTCGTGTCTATGATAGACTAACGACGTGATATCCGTCGACGGTGCACGGCCGTGAGTCAACTTCTCCGTAGACGAGGAACTCACTATTATATCGATATCACGGGGGTGGACAAAGATCCGCACGCCAATTGGCAGTGGATATCGCGGAGGTGGTGAGGATTCTCGCCGATGCTGGGGCGAACCGCCCTCCCCGAGCTTTTCCACTGTCCGCGCACACCCCTAGCACTGGCATGCGCGCCAACCTCGCGTTTCCTCGAGGTAACCGGCCGTGACCTAGGGTTGACCCAGCCACTCGGAGGGCCCATCACCACCCACCGCCACCCACCTAACCATTTGCATATATGCTTTTTAATGTATTTGGCGCGAAACTCTACAGAATTTCTTGATCACGAAGGATCGAAAGGAACATTTAAAGTGAATACAAAATTAATCTAGTGGATTCTTTAACGCAAAGAAATTTTCAGGACTGCTTGAAAGTCGTGGAAAGAAGCGATTGGTGCACGTCATGATTGTCCACGTATTTGTCAACTGATTGAGTCCAGGAAATACACGTTTCAGATAAAAGCTACAAGCTTCTTACGTAGATGTACGTGGAACGAAACTCTGTCGAGTTTCTTGATATGCTTTGATTTTTGTATGTAAAAAATTATAGTTCGTCAAGAATAATGTATAATGTATATAAATATGTGTTTAGCGTATACTTTTAATATGCTGGTGGACACGTACGAATGACTCATTGTAATATTTCTTTCGATAACGAGGACTTAACTTAAAGAATACCTTTGGCACAATTTCGGCATCCCGAAACCTCACTTACCTGAATTATCAAACAATACCCTGTGAAGTACATTATTTAATCGTGCGATACTTTGCACATTGAATAGTTTTCACACATTAATACTAGAATATCTAGGTAATTTAATTTTAATGCAAGGGATTAATTAAAAATACCAGAAGTCTCGCTTCGTCGTCTGCTCATACTCGTCCATTCAACAAACGTACGTCAATGTATGTCACCAAATCAGGTTAATCGCTCTTTACTTCCTTTTCGAAGAATATTTTGAGTTAATCGAAACACGAATAAAACCGACACATAATTTTGAAAATACATACGTCACGAAATAAAGATACGGAATATTCAGAGAGTTCTCGTCTCTTCATAGACCTTAATTAATTGTCAGCGGAATATAATAATATCGAACGAGAGCTACATTAACATCGTTGCGAATCAACGTTTCCATTCGTTAACATCGGAAGAGCGTTCGGTGATTTTTATCAGTGCCTCGTCTGCTAGTACGTCCGTTCGACGGTACATCCACATGTTAGGTTAACAACATTCAGTCTCTGGTTCTTCATCGGCAAGTATTTTAAATTCATCGAAACATGTTGAAAAGGAACTACATGGTATTGTGCAAACACAGCCATAAGTAAATAAAGATACTAGGTAAATAAGTACCGTGATTACGCCGTCCTTCATGATGGATTTTCGACTTCGTATAATCATTCCTACGACCTTCTTGGAGACCTTCGCTGGCATATTCAGGCACTGCGGGCAAAGATTCTTACGCTTTTTCAATTTCATCTATTCCTAGGAACGTAACAACTTTGTCTTTGCCATAATTCCCGCCAATCTTTCGGCTCGAGTACTAAACTTACATCGAACTCCTAACCACACTCATAACGTTAATCACCTCCCCACTGATATCAATCACCCTCGCTGCTATTTGCAAGTCTCTCTGCGATTCACAAAATACACCGTACTCTTAAAAACAAGCCACTACCTTAGACATAACACTGATCTATACACTAACTGGATAGATAATAACCTACAAAATGGCGTGCCGTTTTGGAGCCACCTAGTTACGAACGCATCAACTAACATCGTAGCTTGCGACTAAAACACGTTTACACCTTAGCGTATACATATATCCTGCATCTGCGCATCCGCCATATTGAAAATATAAAATTAAAAACAATTTTAAACGCAAGCGCTAAATCAATCTATTATTCTATAAAAGTATTTACGTTTTTAATCCTCTAATTGTCAAGAAATACTTTCCGGTGAATTTCATTCGTGAATTTCGAAAATTTTCCATCGATTAGCCATAGAGTTGCAAAAACGTAAAGTACGGTTTTCGCGTAATTTACATCGCGTCAAAAACTCGTGATATAGAGTACCTAGTAATTTAGTGGAAAGAAACTAGATAAATTACCTAGGGTATTTCACTTACCCTTGATTTCTCCTGTCAATATCAAAAAGACTGAGAAAAAAAATCGAGTGAGTAGTTAACAATAAATTAAAGGAGATTTAATTTAATTCTATGATTTTTAACTCTTTCTAGGTGGTAGAAAAATACGAGTGCCTCCTTACTTGTAATAATGATTTTCTGAGGTTTTTATAAACTGTTCTGCGACACATATGCTCTTTTTACTCTCCAGTGTCACATCTGTCACGTTTTGTTGTGTTTATTAATTTTCTAACGTTAAAAGGGATTTGCCAATTCCTCTTAGATATTATTTATAAACACGTATCAATTTTAAATGATTGCATTGAAGCAGTCGAACCGTTAACCAGGGAATTGTTTAGCGAAGGAATTTTAAATGTGCAGGTGAATCGAGTAATCTAACTTTAGTACCGAATAAGATCGTTAAGTATATTATAAGGATTTTTTTTTGTAAATTAGTTTAACTCGGCTCTCCTGGTTAACGGGTAGAAGTTACACGAGTCCTATATAAAGATGTCACCGTTTCGTTTCCAATAGGTAACCGTTAACATTGCGAGTGCCAAAAAGTTTGCTACCATTGAAAATGTCTATGTCCGTGCCGCTGATTTTTGCGGAGCAAGATGTCGAGGGCGGAGGAAAAGAAGAAAAACAAGGAGGAATACAAAATGACATCTGTTACAAAAACAACGTTCACAGTGCGGATGTTAAAATTCGAATGGGTAACTATTCAATTTATAAAACCTCATAGAAGTGAAAACTTTTAGTTTTCTCCACGTTATGACATGGTTAAATTCAATATTTCGTCTCAACTTTGTTTAAAAATAATTGGAAAAAATTCATGTCATTAATTAATATTTCTAATGTAATTTCACAGCTTTCCTGCGGAAGGTATACGGACTTCTAAGCGTACAATTGCTTATAACAGTCATCATCTCCGCAGTTTTTATGATGTGCGAGCCAGTGAAATTGTTCGTCCAACAAAAGTAAGGAATTATAAATTTTGTGCTCTTAATAAACACTAAGATGTATTTTCTATTTTCCAGCACATGGATGCTCGGTGTGTCTATTGTCATGAGCATAATAACGATATTCGTTTTGATATGGAAGGGAAAAGAGCATCCGACAAATCTCATACTTCTGACGGCGTTTGTAAGTCAATTTCAATTCATCTCGCATATCGATACACAATTAAACCATCTCATTGTGTTGATAATAATTTGAGACATTAATTCCATTACTGAAATATTCTCTTTACAATTTCAGACCCTCTTTGAGTCGCATCTTATTGGCACGGTAGTTACAATGTTCGACACAAACCTGGTTCTCGAAGCTCTGTTCATTACGTTGTTCATCGTAACTGGTTTGACTGCGTATACTTTCCAAACCAAGAAAGACTTCTCTTTCATGGGATTCGGGTACGTCTAATACATATAACATTAACATTACGCTGCCTGTAAAAATATGCATACATGATTAATACTTATTTTCTATTTACAGATTATTCGCAGGTTTGTCTGCTTTAATGGTTGGCGGACTGATTCAGATATTCGTCCAGAGCACAGTATTAGAAGTCGGTATGAGTATCGGAGGAGCTCTATTGTTCAGCTTGTTCATCATCTTCGACACAAAACTTCTTATGAACACTCTTTCGCCTGAAGAGTACATAATCGCAGTCGTTAATATTTATCTGGACATTTTGAATTTGTTCCTGTACATATTACGCATCTTGACAGCAACCAGAAATTAAAAGCAATATGACGTATACATTTTTTTTTCATACAAAAAAAAACCAAGATGGGCAGTTAAATATTAATATTGTATACTAACCACTAAGAACATACTTGTAATAATTATTGTGATGTACTAAATTACTGGTCATTGGTGTTTTACGAATTGATAATAAATTCGATATTTAAGTTCGTGCATTTTGTTAGATAGAACCTCACAGGAAACATTTATGATGAGTGAAATTACTGCAATGATTGCTTTGAAGGGTATACGTTTTTCTGTCAATTATAAAATCTGTTCAGATGTTTACAATTTATGATATAATTAAGGATTGCGTAATAAAAATAAATACAATTATATTTAAGAGTTACCTTTTAATCGATCTTTGCTTCCTCGTAGAACACTTCGACTTTAGCTGCGAAGTTATGAAAATACCATCGCTTGTGATTTTTGTATGGTTTATTGCGATACATAAAAGGAAGTTCTTAATTTATGACGACTCCATGGCTGCTGTCGTATCTTCTGTGTACTTGCCCTTGTCTTTACCCAAAGCAGCGAGTCTGCCTTTGCACCTCCTGCTGATGATCTTCTTCCGATCTTTGTCCATTTTCAGTTTTACGATCACCGTCTAAGCAGAACACAAAACATATTCTTCGTCAATTTGAACCTATCGGGATATAATTTCTATAATAGTCTCATTTCTGATCAGTGCCAACTTTTCTGCATAGAATGAAACCAAGCGAGACGAGCCAATCCGAATTCAAGAGTACCTTAAACTCAAAATTGCAAGTCCGGCTTTTCGTTTCACTCTCCGTGAATGGTTTGGTTCATCATAAGTTTCCGAAACTTAAACGTTCTTTTTTAGAGTTATAAAGTATTGCTTCACAAACCTTTGACGGATCGATTCCAACGTATACACTCGCTCCGTTTGCCTTTTCTCGTTGAACCCTTTCAACGTATATAACAAACTTTTTCCTGTACACCTGGATGACCTTTCCAACCTGTTGGCCCTTATAGTGACCTCGTACAACCTTAAAAATCAGTAATATCGTTTATTACACTTACATAATAAATATAACATGACTTAAATTGCTATACAAAGTTCAGTGCCAACTTTTCTGCAGGATATAAACCAGACGCGGCGATCAACTACCGTCAAAGAGAACCTTTGAAGTAATTTTCTCACTCACGTCTAACAGTTTACATCGTCCGTGAATGGGTTAATTCATCATAACAAATGCATCGTCATTAAACATTACATACATAAATCTTATAACTAGCTAGAAGTATCTAATTCTTAAATAGTAATGCAGTTGTGTATCGCTTTAACATCCTACGTACACAATGTCATCGAGGTTAGGTTACCTGGACTTCGTCGTCTTTACGAATCGGCATGGACCGGACATTGTACTTTTGTCTCAATTCTTTTGAAAGAGGAGCAGTCATCAGTCGTCTTCTAATATGCGAAGGTGCAGTGAAATGCCTCTTACGATTTTTCCTCCGAGAGGAAGAAACCAATCTGTTAAACTTCATGTCGAGGTATCTCCTGAAATGGAAAAAAGAAATCACAGCTGAATATTCGAGCCACAGGAAGCCAGAACTGAAAACAAATCGGTTGATTTCAACTCCATAAGAGGATTTATTTACTTAAAAATGGCTTAAAAGGACGTTTCGATTGGCACCGTTACATTTTGGGGTTAAAAATATATCAGTGAATTTCTCACGGTAACAGAAATATTACTACCACCGTTCGGCGGAATATTTACAAGTTAGCTTTTCTTTAAGCTTTTCGACATTAGTCGTCTCACACGTTGGATTAAATTAGATATTTTAACGAAAAGCTTACCGACTCCAATAACGTTTCACGCACCTACCGGAAAGAAACCTTGTTGACGGAAAAGAGATTCGCTAGGCGCACAGGCGCAGTTCGATGATCGTAAATGGCGCGAATATTTGAAAACCACCAAACAAGATACGAGCTATCAGTAAATGTTTTTATCCTCACGTAAAAAATTGAATTTACGTATTTACGTGTTTATAATAACACAGATTCATTCGTTGAATTTATTGAAATTTTAAATTATCGGCTAACCTTGCAGTCCAATTTCAAGATGGCGCCATTTGGTGAAGTGGAAATTCCGCAAGATGACGTCACTTGATTTAATATATTAAATCGACTCGTAGTCGCCTCTCGATACCACTGTGCTGTACATTTTCGAAGTTTTGCAATTTCTTACAGCGCTTCCGTTGTTGTCCCTCTCAGGTGTTCAGCCCAAGCGTGATAAATGGTAAATTCGTCGGTAAACAAATCGGCGGCAAAGCCCGTGCGGAAAAATGGTTGAAAGCTTAACACAATCTGGCAAGAAGACCGCCTTTTTAATTGGTTGCACATGTGTTGGTGCACTGGTCGCCTACAGGTACTGGAAAAAGAGAGAACTCAGGTCGATCGACGAAGGCTTCGAAGAAGTTACCAAGGTTGGTAAATTCAATTAACATTACATGTTTACTCTCACCTAAAATTACCTCACCGAAAAGCTGCAAAAAATTCACATGGTTGATTTTCAGCCAATCGGAGTGTGTCGCTAGACGCAGCGAGTGGAAATGTAAAGCCAGGTCCTTCGATCTTGATTTTCTAATGTTTATTCGCAGATCGGGGACAGCTATGAGCGAAGAGTTCTCCTGCTCGGCTTGGACGGTGCTGGAAAAACTTCAGTGATGAACCAAGCGATTGCCTCTACGGATGAGAAAAGCTTATATATTGTCCCGCCAGTACCTACGCATGGCTTTCGTGTATATGTGTTAAAGTATGGGCCCTATACTTTTAATATTTGGGAAAGTATGTCAGCTTTAATCCTTCGTCTACAGTAATTGATTTCGTTATTATTAATCGGGTGACTTTCGTTAGTCGGAGGAGCAGACGACACTAGGAAGTATTGGAGCAACTTTCTACAAGACACCGACTTGTTGGTTTTTATGGTAGATGCTTCGGACACAAATAAACTGTCGCATGCCGTGTCCGAGCTCAAACAGCTCTTGGGTGATTCCAGAATGGACAACGTACCGATCCTAGTTATTGCAAACAAGCAGGCACGTGTAGCTTATTTTTAAAAGTACTTTCTTTAATTCATTTTAAAAACTTATGATAATGTTTATGTTAATATCTACAGGATCAATTGGATGCTCTAAGGCCAAACGAGGTGAAGGAAGCTCTTGATCTCGTCAGTATAGCTCCTAAAAAACACAAAGTCGAAGTAATCGGATGTCAAACTCGACCTTTACCGGAACTCCCAACTGAATGTGCTGACTTTAATTGGCATCATCCTTCCGTGGATGTTGTACGAAAGAAAATATTTTCTATGGCTACGTCTTCCTAGAATTAATTTATTATCATTTTAAGATATGAATTATTTTGCTGATAAAGAGAGGAAAAAGACTATTTTTATTTTGAGTTATGGAGATCGTAATGGAAGATGTTATGAACGTCGTACATTCGAACAGAGATTCAATGTCATTCTTTATTATAGATGTGTAACTCGAATGCAGCAAATGTTACCTATACTGTTAATTATTGTCTTTCGGTAATTGTCGCAACTAATAGCACGACTTTAAACTATAGTTGTCAAAAGAATAACAAAGCAAGGAACGAAATGTCTCAAAGTTTATGCATATCACTTTGGAGTAACTGCATAGCACAGTGGTAGAAATTTCTACACTTTTGATATTTCCTTTCGAATGTTGTTTAGATACGAATGCAACGCCACCTGTATGAAATAAATTGTTCGATGTAAATCGTGTTTCTATTTAATTTATGCATTTATACAAAAATCTGGAGGTCTAGATGAATTTAATACCTCCTTAATTGCTATTTCTTTTTCTTGCGCTTTTTAGACTTTGACTTTCTTGAACTACTGTTTCCGATCTCATTTAATTCCATCCCATCGCTTTCGTTGCTTTCGTCATCTGAGAACAGTTGCATCTTTTTCTTGGAGCCTTCCATTGGCTGGCCAACTTCGTGAACTAGATCCTCGGTATCGGTGCAGTCCATTTCTGTTCCTTCTTTTTCATCGTCTCTGTTTATACTTTCTTCCTTCCACAGCGATTCCTGAACAATCGACTTCTTCTTTTTAGCGCAATACTTCTCCTTATTTTCCTCTGCGATCTTCTTCTTGGTTTCTTCCAGTGATTCAGGACTTTCGAGCACTATTTCTCCGGTTTTCAGAAGATATTCCGCATACTGCTCAGGAATACTCTTGAACTTATTAATCTTCGCTCGTATCTGCCGCCAGGTCATTTGATAATAATTCTTTTCATCCCTTACCATTGCCTAAACGAGAAAAATATTTAAAAAATCATATCTCTATCACGATGAAACGATTATAATTCAAATATGTACAAAATATACCTTATAATCGTCTTTATATTTATCCATTAAATACGTAACGAAGTGCACTTCACTCTTGGGTAACCTAAACATCCTTTCTCGAGGAGCTTTGGCATCCGCTTCTAAATTCTGAGCAACGTGAACTTTCAAAGGCAGACATTCCTCCAATTCTTCAACGGAGTTATTTTCATGGTCCGATAGTTTACGACTGCCTTCCAAAAAGTCACGTTTAGTATTTGGAATTTGTAACACCTCGTTAGGGTCATAAGCCAGCCCCATTTCACTTAAATTGCTCCGAGTCGACACTTTCTGTTTCCACTCGTTTTTTATCTCCTCGCTGCAAAGATATACAAATTAAATCTTCCTTCCCGGATTAGGGAATAAGGTTGAAACCTTCTTTCTTAAATATTTTAACCCAATCAGGTTTAAATTCCTGAAGAAACTCAAGCATGTTACCCAGGGTACGATTTTATGGTTATATTCACTTACCATGTAATGTTCGGCAGTTTTTGAAGCTTATTTCTTAACCTCTTTCGATTCACATTCACGCGGAACTTCTTCCTGCGCTTAACTTTCCTGACTTTCGTCATTATCGTTTAATAATTAATTATACAATATTTTTATGAACAACCGCCGAAACCCACGTGCACGAATTGTTTGCCCAATGAATTACAACCTTCTCAGATGCGTTTCGAATATTAATTTGTCATCCTAAAAGTAAATGCACGACCAAATCACTAGGATTTATCGATACGTGGTTATGCACCTCGAACGCTTTCTATGATTTTCCTATTCTATGTCGACGATTGCATGTCGCTTCGAATTTATAAAAATTGCTGCACTTGGCTGCAATTTGCAATTAAACGCATTGGAATTAGTTTCTTTCCAGTTATTTATCGAGATAAGACCGCATAATACACAGTAGGGACGACTTCACAGCCGGCTAACCTCTTTCAGGTTAGGTTATCGTGCGAGCTGGAGTCATTTTTAACAGCCTCGTAGCAGACGAATTTGTTCCAGTGTTTAAACAATGTCTTTAAACATTAATAGGCTGCACAAAGTGTCGCAGTTATTTCAGCCGTTAAATTATTTACCGAAGGATGCAAACGTTCGGAATGAAATTACGTCAAAAAGTTATAAGGTATGTTTGGATATGAATATAAATATTAACAATTGTTGACAAATTTCTTCTCTCGTTGTTTCAGCTTATGATCGATATGGGTATTATAAGGCAAGCTAACGTTGGCATGTATGCGTTGCTGCCTCTTGGAATCCGTGTGCTTCAGAAATTAATTAATCTAGTAGATTACGAAATGGCGCATGTCGGAGCTCAGAAGATGCTTCTTCCAGCGTTGACGTCTACGAAGCTATGGGAGAAAACTAACAGGCTTAACAGTAATTCCTCTGAATTATTCACACTTTTCGATCGATACGATAAACAATACATCTTAAGTCCAGTGAGTATGCGATCGATTCTGCTGAACGTTAAGATCAGCTGTTTAATTCCTTGCTTCTAACTTTCTTCCTAATTTCTTTTGAATTTGAAATAACCACAGTTAGGCTTTGTACTGAAATTATGGTTGTACCTCTAGACATATGAGGAGGCTATTTCAGAGCTAATATGCAGCGTGGGTGTGTTATCTCCGAAAGACGTACCTCTTAGACTGTATCAAATTTCTAGTAAATGGAGAGACGAGATGAAACCTCGACTAGGTCTTTTAAGAGGACGAGAGTTTATAATGAAAGATTTATATACGTTTGATATAAATCTTAACGAAGCTGAAAATACATATGAGCAGGTCTGTCATGTGTACCAGAATTTGTTAAAACAGATCGGAGTGGATTTTGTGAAAGGTGCCTAAATTAATGTAATCCATCAAGAGGTTATTTAGGATTAAATCCAACCTTACTTAAACTGGGTTTTGTATAAATATTGCTTCAGTTCTTGGAGACAATGGCATGATCGGTGGTTCGATATCTCACGAATACCATTACTTATCGTCAATCGGAGAGGATATCATTATGTCATGTGAATCTTGTGGTTTCCGTGCTAACGCAAATGTACATGAAAAATCCACGTGTCCAGAATGTGAGAACAGTTTAATGAAAGATAAAGCTATCGAAGTAAGCATGAAATTAATGTCAATTTCATACATTACTCGATACTATTCAAACATTGTGTTAATACAAAAAATTGCAGGTTGGTCACACATTTCTTTTGGGCACAAAATATTCAGAGCCACTAAATGCAACGTGTATCGATCATGGGGAGAGGAAACATTTAGTAATGGGCTGTTACGGACTCGGACTGACACGCATCATCGCTGCAACGGTTGAACTTCTGTCTACAGAACTTGAATTGAGATGGCCAAAGCATTTAGCACCTTTTAACGTTTGTATAATTCCACCCAAGGTACGACCCTTAATGAAAACTGATTGTTATTAATTCCTACATCTTAATATAACATTACTTTTAAAACAATATAGTAGAAATCAGATCGATGTGTTCCATGATATTACAGGAAGGCAGCAAAGAGATCGCATCGATGCAATATGTAGACATAATACATCAAATACTGAGTAGATTAAATATCGATACTATTCTCGATGACAGGATAAACTTGACGATAGGAAAGCGAATGGTTTATGCACGAAGATCGGGTTACCCGTACATCATAGTGATTGGAAAATTAGCTATGCAACCAGTGCCTCAATTTGAAGTGTTCGATGTCAACAATGGAACCGAATTGATTCTAAATAGTGAGGAATTGTCAAATTATTTCAGTCAAAATACTGAGTTGGACATAAAAGAACAACGAGCACAGCTCTGAATAAACGAGTAGAGTGTAAGTTTGTACATAATGATAGTTAAGATTAAATAGTTAAAATAAAAAGGACGAAAAATTGTAAATAATATCATTTCTACAGTCATTGGAAGTTAGGTTATGAACTACTGTTCCAGCGCTACCTTAACCTTGTGGAAAGAGTTGCATAGAAAACCTCTGAGATTCCAAATATGTTTCACACTTTCCGGTTGAACATTGTACGAAGAGTCAACTGCTTTCACCCAGATTTCTGCTTCTGTGGTATTTACGTCAACTGGGAGATCGATGCTCCAAAGTGTCCAACTCCAATGGCGGTGTTGCTTCGCAGTCGGGTCTTGGATTAATTTCGCTGCTTGCCAGGTTTCTCCTTTGTCAATCGATACATCGACTCTTATGATTCCTCTTCCACCACCTGACCAAGCATAGCCTGATCGAACGTTAACTCTTAAATACGTATTTGGCATGGAACTTTATCCAGTCACTTGACATTTAAGTTTAATTCCATTACCTTCGACGGTTACTTGATTATCCTTCACTTTAACTCTTTCTCCTGGTTCCGGACTGCAGATTGCGGAGTTGACGGGCAACTCTTGAATCGCAGGAGCTGATGAGAAATCTACGTTGTGCCAATCTATGCTCGAAGAAAAGGCTTTATAGTCTCCTTGTTGCCACTGCGATTGACATTCCTCTTTTGACACTGTGATTTTAGCTGTCAAAGTAATTTTTAATATTTATCTATATCATTAATAATTGTATTAATTAGGTTAGATTTTATACCAAGCCATTTAACGTTCCTAGCTCCAACGACTCCAGGGACGATTACGCGGATTGGAAAACCATGATCTCTTGGTATAGGTTGATCATTCATTTTGTATGCCAGAATCACATCACCTCTCGGATCCATGGCTTTGCTTATGGGAATACTTGCACCGTAAGGCATTCCTGACGAATCCAAATCCAGTCCTTCGAACTGCCCTCGATTTTTCATTACAATTAAAAATAACATATCTCATTTTTAAGGGTTAACTACCATTTACCTGTACATGATCGTAGTCATTTTCATTGACTCCTAAGTAGTTTAAAAGGTCGCATAATCGAACACCGGTCCATGTTGCGTTGCCTACTGCTCCGACACCCCAACTGAGACCTTTTAGAGGTTTTTCCTACAAACATTTTTCATGCTTCGTACTTTTAAACACCATCGCTTCTATTGTAGTTACATGTAGCTCTACCTTAGCCATTTCCGAGCGTCGATTTCCAGCACACATTATTGTACTTGTAATTGTGCACTTTGGTAGCGATTTCAAGTCTTCGAATTTTAGCTTCTTTACGGTGGTTTCTTCGATAGCTATTTCGAGTTCGTAGTCATCGACATCCACTTTTGGCACGGGGAGGTGATGTCTGACGTAAAACAAATCTCTAACGGGTAAATCAGATTAATATCCCATTGATAGTGGTTTTAGATTTAATTATTTAAGTAGTCTTTACCCTGGAGTTGTAAAACTTTTGACTAGTAGGGACGGAGGAGTCTCGGCACAAAATGGCTTGTGACCATTTATAATCAAAGCTTTATGTCTTTTTGGTTCCCATGCATACGGATCATCCATACCATCCGTGGCATGATTAACATCTTCTTCGGACAGATTTCCAATTCTCATGGACTCCAAAAGAGCATGTATCTCTTTATTGTTGTGATTAGCGAACATCATCCAAAACGGCTCGATGGAGCCGCCAGCTGCCATCATTATCTTGCTAGGACCACCAGGATGTTTATCCACAAAATCTGTGATGTTATAAACTCCATGCTTGAACGTTACCCAGATACCAGTTTTTTTATTATCGTGCTTCCCGACTTCTTCTAAAGTATACGTTCGCAAATCCTCCCTAATTTCCCCGCATCTAACGTCTCGTTCCTTCTCATGGGCATACGCTCTTCTTAATCCTGAATTTGTTAAATAATAAACACCAACCGTTGACAGCGCTACAGCTATGCTTCCGATATACTTTGAATATGAATTATACTTAGAATATCCACCGGATTCATTCCCTCTCGTACATTCAGGTTTATAATACAAGATTCGAGTCGACTCATTCCTATGACTTCTCATTATCGATTCGAATAAACTTCTGAAAGATAGAAAATACTATATTAATCTAATTTTGGCAAGGGCTTAAAGTTAACGTCAACGATACTTGTTTCGCAGACCTTTTTCTTGCAGTGGCGCATTTTATACGTGGATACATAATACCGGTTAAATTATATACAGCTCTCTGTACTTTATTCCCTGTTTACTAGCGAAGAATGTCCGAAAGTTAAGAAATTTATTATCTTTCGAACACATCTATCTAGGGATTTACGCACGCGCATTTTCGCTTAAATAAATTGCAAAACACTTTTATCACGTGTTTGGTCCATTGTTTACATTTAGTAATTAATGTATGTGCACATGTGTATGCATACAGTGGATCGTAGTGTAATTAAACGCGTGGACGCGCTTTGACAGCCGCGCTTTCGAAAGGACGCGTGAGAGGTTATGTCACTCGATGACAGCCAATTGCGACTTACAAAAATCCGTGACGAGCCGTCATTCGCTGTGATCAAAGTCAGGCAAGATTCGTGGATTAATGCACGAGAAAAGGGCTGTCGACCTTTCGAAAAACTTCTTCTTCATAATTAATGCCGGAATGATTTGATCGACGCTGCAGAAACGACGAAACTTTCGACATATCTTTCCTGCCGTTTTCTGGCGCGTTATGTGCGCAGCTTTTCATACTACTTGGTAGGATTTCCTCCGTGTTATCGTAGTTTAAATTTAAGAAACAAGGATTTTAAAATCCGACTTCCCAAAGAAACAATAATAGCCTTGGATGAAACTGCCAAACCAAGAAATACGTCGTTCCCAATCACGCGGAAACTCTGACTCATTGAGGTTATGTCTGTGGGAGGTTTGAACGTATTTTTAGAATTATTTAATAATTCCATCGGTTTGAGTCAGTTATTCTTGTATTTCGCATTATTTCTTGGTGTTTTTGAATGGCTCCGTCTTTGAGTTTATGTTTGACAAAGATTTAAAATCTGTAATTGATCGTAAGCAGTCGTAACCCGTTATTGTGTTAATTATTGGCAGTGCTATTTAAACAATTAATTTAGATCGTTTGTAAGGACATTCTTTTAGTTTTTATTAACTTTGTCATGACATTTTTAGATGAGACAAAGAATATCGAGCAGGATCTGAAAGATCACCGCCGAGATGGCTATGCGCAAGAGAAGTGGGTCTGGCTCTAAACGGCAGCACAAGGGAAAACTTGTGCCGATATATGAAAGCTTTTTTAAAGGAGAAGACTTGACGTTGGCTCATCCGAATTTCTGGAATGAATTATTTCTCATCAAACCGATGGTACATTCTCATTTGTACAATTTTAAACATTGGAGATACAAGTATTCTATGTATTCTTTTTGGATTTTTTATTTGGCTCTTTTACTGGCACCAAGCAGCTAATTTCTTTCAGCTTATTATCGCTGCCCCTGCTGAAAATCTTGAATAGACCTTTCTTTTTCTGTTCTGCTCTAATTGGTGATGCTTCCTGACTTTTACTTTTAGTCTTTTTCGATCTTGATCTGCTTCGTAAATGTTGCATAAATGAATTCGATATGGATTCACTTTTCTCAATTTCTCGCTGATCGGAGAGGTCCTCCCTCTCCGCTTCATCTCGAAGTCTGTTTGGTGTGAATTTACATCTGAATCTGAACCAAGTTTCGCTAGTTTGTATTCTATACTTCAAACATTGCATTTGAAATAGACAGACACGTCCATAATATTTAGTAATCTCCCAGGATGGTAGCGACTGAAAATGTCATCCAAAATAAGAGATAGATCAAAATTTCTAGGTTACCCATGTTGTTCTTTAACTAAATTTATTATCAATACCTGGACTATTTTATTAACAATTCTTCCAATAACCATGATCAGTTTTCTACTCACATTTTAGGTTAGTTATATACTTCAATTTACTGTCAACTACCCGAATGAATTTTTATCGGTCTGAATTGTTCTTTAAAAAAAATGCAGCTGAAACAAAGAACTGATTGCTAGATGTATACAGTGAATTAATCTTTTGTAGTTCCTTATTATTAACACTGTCAATTCCTTTCCTTTCAGGTCTCTCATATCGAGAATGAGATTCTACGCATGACATCGGAGCAATTAAATGCTAGTAAGGAGAATCTAAATGCACTGGTTTGTCACTGCGTGGACACCCTCATCGATGAGCATCCTTTTCGCGTGGTGTATGCTTTGCAAACTTTGGCAGCTGTCATTCAGTCGATGTACAAAAAAGCTAGTCAGGGCGATTGTAGTTTTAACTTAATAGATATTCTAGTCGGCTTTGATTCCGCAGAGCAGAGAATGACAACATTGATGCAGCACTGCAACAATTTCTTGACAGGTGAGTTTCACTTGTGCATAAATTTTTAATGTTATGAATTAAATATTACATTGCAAAATATCTTTTCATCTTTCAGGTGATTATCCAGACAATTTAAAAGCTCTGTGCCTGAAACTTTTATTAATTATCGCGACTGGTACTGACAACGTCAGCCAAAATACTCTGTTGGAATATATAATGCTTAACAGCGCGTTTGAGTCTCTGATACAAGTAAGTTCGAATTGACACTGTCAATTGACGTTACATTTAAATTGATTTAATCATTCCAGTTACTGCGAGACACCACAGCAAGGAACCGTCATGGCAATGATGCGATTCTTTTATTGACTCTCCTCGTCAATTACAGGAAACATGAGAGTGCGAACCCTTATATAGTGAAGCTGTCAATTCTTGACGATGAACTTGCCTTGAATGGCTACGGACAAGTGATATCCAGCTCGCTGACAGAATTCTGCAGACAATTTGCCCAACAAAAAGCAGGTACTGAAATTTCTTAAATTAATTAAAAGCAAAGAAATAATTATGTCAGATTTTTGAAAGTCAATTATTCGAGCTTTTGACTGCAGAAATCCAGGCATCGTGGCTGTCATCTTTGACAAGTATGGTGGGCAGCATGTTTGTCGGAGAAGAGGAGGCCAAAACGCAACAGATTCGAGCGAACAATGCGCTTCTATTGGCTTTATACGAGGCGACTCACTTAAATCGGAACTTTGTTACAACTCTAGCGTACACTCAAAGCGACACAAGTGCTCCACCTTCACCGAACAATACTTTGGGACCCAACGCTGTGGCCCCCGGAGTGCAACCTCCGGATGTGATGGCGCAGCCATTCAATTTACTTGCTACCTTCTTCCAATACTGGTATTACTCTGATTACAAGACTATAAACATTCTTACGCCAACAAATATATAAATTACCCATTTTTCAGTTCAATCGTCATGCAAGCTTTGAGGACGGAGGCTATTATGAATAACGTCAAGCTGTGTTTTTTAATACTGAGCTGCATTGCAGAGGATCAGTACGCTAATAGTTTAATGCACGATGCGAATTTGGCGTTCAGAGTGCAGTTACACAGAGTGCCGATGCATCATAGGAAGATTCACGATAAACTGGCGCCTACGCAACCCTTGGCTGCTACGCTACTTGGTGCGTACCCATTCATATATACATGGAAGGGCTGATTAATATTTTTTATACATTGTAGACCTACTCGTCGAGTTTGTTACTTCACATATGATGAAAAAGTTCCCTCTGGAGCTTTATCTTCAGTGTATCGGAGTCCTGCAGAGACTACTTTGTTACCAGAAACGATGCCGAGTCAGGCTCAGCTATCAGTGGAGAGATCTTTGGACGGCGTTAATAAATCTCCTGAAGTTCTTAACGACGCACGAGAGTCATTTAGTGAAAAAAATGAACGTCTTTCCTTTAGCTATTCAGGTTAGAATGTGAAAATGCACGGAGTTTGGTATTTCTAACCTGAAAGGTTATGTGAAATTGATTCGCTGCTGCGAAATTTCACGAGCTTTTGAGGTTATCTAGGTTATTACTTATTTTAGTGTTTCAAACGAAAAGCTTTACCTAAGGAAATGTTTTTAAGGTTGTCAATATTTTAAACCTGTTTATCACTTATGGCGATACGTTCCTATGGTCGCCGAGTAGCTACGATGAGCTGTTCTATGAGATAATTAGGATGCGTCTAATCTTTACAAATTTAAATGCAATGGGTAAGTTTGACTTTCAGGTTATTTATATATTTGTATTAATAATCTAACGGTCTAGTTTTATGAATGTTTCATGTTTCAGCTCTTAGGTATTCGACCAGTGAGTCTTACGAGTTCAAAGAGCATGCTTTGAAATTAACCAACGCTTTGGTTAACATTCGTGACATCGTTAATCACTTTCCACCAAAGATTGCGGCATGGTTGGCCAGTGAAAGTCTTTCTACACCGACTGAACAACAGATCTTGGCTATTATTATACAAAATTATGACAGCGTTACACTGAAGTTGCAGGATAACTTGGATCAGTATGAAAGATATTCGGAGAAACCAAAGCACACGTCTTTCTTTGAAGAGATGGTATGAAAATTGACCCTTCTTTATGATCGTTTTAAAAATATTCTGTAATGCACGTATTGTCATTATTTTCTTTGTTCAGGTCACCGGAGTTGTGATCGATACCAGAAGCTCGATCGATCTCACCGCTCTTGATACGCAGGCAATTTTACAAGAGCTGTCAAACATTTCGTAACACAAGTGGAAGTCATTGAGAAGGGACAAGATCATACAACTTCACGTCAGTGTACAGAAACATTCTATATTAATATTGTAGTTCTATGTGCATTCCTACAGTGTGCAAAGATAAATGTACAATATCGAAATTAACGGTAAAGTATTCTTTCAGGATTTATTATATATAAATCGAGGCTATGAATCGTCATTGGAATGCTTTTTTCTGCCATCGGTCGTATTTATTCGGTTTTACAGTTCCGTGCTTGAAGATATTACAGCGATTTGAGGAGTTGTAAATTTAATATATCGAGTCGGAAGGAATGCTTGTATTAAAAATTCCACGGTGCGGTTTCTGGATGAAGTGATTATAAATATCGGGCTAAATATTTTATGGTAATTGTTTTGCTTTGGATAATCAGTTTTCATGAAATTATGGAGATTGTTTTATTTTTCTTTTTAAAGGTTAGGCGTGTTTTAAATGCATCGTTTCTTCAATCTTTCTTTGGCAAGAATAGCTACGCCAGCCTTGGATTGATTTTCTCTGCCGAGTTCTTTACAGATGTAGTCCCCGATATTAATTACATTATTTAAATTTATACCCGTGTTCAGGCCCTGTCCTTCCAAAAAGAAAAGTAAATCCTCAGTTGGAAGATTTCCGGATGCACCGGCAGCGTATGGACAGCCACCGAGTCCAGCTACAGCGGAGTCGAACACTCTTATTCCATAATTAAGACTTGCGTAGACATTTCCCAGAGCTTGTCCATAAGTATTGTGACAATGAACTGCAAATCTTGACATATCTCCAGAGGAAATATGTTTCAGTTCGTTTAAGACTAGTTCGATTTTTTTAGGCGTCCCGATACCGATTGTATCGCCAAGAGAAATTTCATAACAGCCAAGATCTAATAAAGCCGATGACAAATTGGCAACCACGGATGGTTTGACGTCTCCTTCGTAAGGGCAGCCTGCTATGCAGGATATGTATCCCCTAATTTTCAAATTATGCTTCTTCGCTTTAGATATAACCTCTGAAAATCTGTCGATGCTTTCACCGATGGAACAGTTGATGTTCCTCCGAGTGAACGCTTCAGACGCTGCTCCGAAAACTGCGATCTCTTGAACGCCAACTTGCAAAGCACTCTCTAAGCCTTTCAAGTTCGGTACGAGGACTGGATAGTTGATACTAGGATTCTTCTTAATCTTTTTAAAGACTTCGGCATTGTCTGCCATTTGGGGGATCCATTTAGGCGATACAAAGCTGGTTACTTCTATAGTCCGGAGTCCAGTTTCCGAGAGCATGTCGATGAATTTAATTTTAATGGAAGTATCTAAAACCTTTGATTCGTGCTGTAAACCATCTCGTGGGCCAACTTCCACAACTCTGATGTCGTTTGACCATCGTCTCACTTGTTTCGTGATATTATGTGCATTAAAAACAGTCCTTAAGGGACAAGAGATGGAACTGAAACTGAAAGGGAATACAAAGTCTTTCGAGTTGTAATTAACGTATACACTTAAACCTTACACATTGAATTTCAAGGGATAATTTACATGTTATACTGAAATTCATTGCGTAACAATGTACTAAGTATACAAATGTGCATAATTACCTCATTACGAGTTAAGTGAATTAAGTAATAATATTGTAATCGCAGATCGAGTAATCGTATTACGAAATTCTCTTCTGCTTATCAAAACCCCCTTCCAGCGAAATGAATTCCATTCTTTCGGTTGATTTATATTATCAAACGTTAGGCAATGCTCAAGTCATGATTGGCATTAAAAAACCGTGCATTTGTATACGTTCTATCAGAGTGAGTTGGGAGATTGCTCACGGGCAGGGTCGCGCGATTGTGGGGATTGTCAAATATATTTCACCACTTTATTTATAGTTATTGCTTTATTATTACAGAAAAAGGAGCGGATTTCCACGTGCGCTTTAGAATTAGTCACAAAGTCTTCTTCTCCGATTTTTAACCGTTATTAAAACATTTTACAACGTAGTCTTCTTTTTGTTCCAGGTAAGTACAGTAATATGCACGCGGGGTAACGCAGTTTGCTCCGTCCTGAACGCATCGCGCTGCGCCCCTGGTGGTCAATGGCCGAACTTCGTCCCGGGCCCGCCATAAGTGTGTGTCTCTTTGACTTTACCCTTGACTTACCTTATTTAAATCACGGGAAGGTGAAATCGAAAGTGAAATACGGTGATTCTGTGCATCGAGATTCGAGAAAAATTGAAAAAAACCACTGACCCCTAACTGTAACCAATTTTTTTCGATGGTTCGACTCGCACGGAAATGCAAGAGAAGCATCGATTCGCGAATGGCTGCTCGGGTAACCAATTTTCAAATTTATTAATCAACTTTGTATCGGACATTTTAGACGTATGATCGTGAAAAATGTATGTGCTTTTTTATCAAAGATCTCTCTTTCATGTGGTCATTAATTTCCATTGTCTATGGGATCCATTACATCTTGGCCGCGAGCAATGATCCGAGATGGTGGTTCCCTTGGGATAGACAACAATGTTGCATACGTTGACCCAGAAGGGGAAACATGAAATACATTCCTTCCTTGTTCATCTCGCAGCGGGCGGCAATTGTTAAGAAGAGGTTCCATCTTCGGGTTATGCAATTTCCGAAACGCTGCGATCTGAACATTAAACCATTGTTGCACTAGATGTATAAAAACGTTAAAGAACAAGGGAATAATCACCTGCTCACTGGAAATTCCCATTGGTTCCCTGCTAACGAGCCAGAGTACGCTGTGGTCGTAGTTCGACGTTATTATCGAGCCCCAGTATATAAAATAATTATTAATAAACGGCCTGAGATAATTTGTAATCGGGTGAGGCATTAATCTCGCAGAGGAATGAGCAGGTTGAACAAATGGCAAGGCTTTGATAATTGAATCTATCGAGGGATTGGATACGGACATTAACTGAAAAAAAAAATCATGGGAAGATGTTAAAACAGAGAGGGAATATTATTTAATATTTATTTCTCCTTCGTAAGGGAGTCGACCTTACTTTGAAGACGTATACCAATATCGCTATTCCATCTTCCTCCCTTAACGCGGCGTCTTGGGTAAGGTAATTGCTCTTGAAGTGAACCGCGTGCAATTCCATCGGGAACCTATGAGAAAAAATGTTTTAATTGTTAATTAAGGGTTAAATTAATTTTAGATCGGGTAAGGTAATTGCTCTTAAAGTGAACCGCGTGCAATTCCATCGGGAAGCTATGAGAAAAATATTTTTAATTGTTTATTAAGGGTTACATTAATTTAAGATCGGGTAAGGTAATTGCTCTTGAAGTGAACCGCGTGCAATTCCATCGGGAACCTATGAGAAAAAATTGTTTAATTGTTTATTAAGGGTTAAATTAATTTAAGATCGGGTAAGGTAATTGCTCTTGAAGTGAACCGCGTGCAATTCCATCGGGAACCTATGAGAAAAAATTGTTTAATTGTTTATTAAGGGTTAAATTAATTTTAGATCGGGTCACCTGGCACCGTCTATACAATGCTCGCTTCCTTCCATGTCCGTTGTTCCCCAGTGGAAATGGATCTGAGAGAATACGTAATTCCCTAAAAATGGCCCACTCGCTAGATAAGGTCTTTCTCGTTGCCACTTTGCGCTGAGAATCGCTTTTCAAAGGATTATAAAAATTAAGGAAACTCCAATTGTAACGAGAAACTTGTTACTTTAGGCTCCCATGGTACCGGTATGACCCGTGTTGGTGAGCTTCATTTTTTTCGGCGGGATGTCCTGATTGAACCATTGCAATTCATTAAGTTCGATCGCTTTCATCTTCCCGATATTCAGGTTAATTGGAGATTCTAATTTCCCGTCGTGATTTGCCAGGCTTTGAATTAATTCCGCCCTCTCTGCATTTGCTTTGTACGAGTCTGATAGGAAATTCGAGATCAAAGAAAACGCCGATTAATCACCTGGTACTGATTTTTCAAACTAATTAGACGTACCTGAAGACGTCATCTCGACATGACAGCGTCAGGATTTATTCCGATTAATGCGCTCACTTCGGTGCGATCGATCATTGATCAGTCTTTTGATCGAGGATCATTTTAATAGATTCAAGATTGATGATAAAGATCGAAGAGAACGTTAATTAATGATCTATTACTGATTATCTGAGGCTATTAAACACGACAGCGCCAGGATCTATCCTGATCAATGCGCAATAGATCATCGATAAGTCCTATAAAGAATAATAATTTTATCGTTGATAAGGCAAATTCGAAGCAATAAACGAGCTCGATGGACCACGCTCGAAGGATCGGTAAATCGTCGGATCGTCGGGATCTAAAAAAAGGATTAACATCCGTAAACGTGATCGATGATCCAATTCTTCCTGACGAGCTGCCCCCGGAAGACCGGCATTTGTTGAATTGGGAAAAATGGCGGAAAGATCGGAAAAAGCAGAAGAAAATATTGAGCACCTTGACCGGTCGCGATCCAGAAGAGATCCTCCTGAATTCCGGAGACAGGATCCGGGAACTCGAAGAAATGAGGATCCTGATGGATCATGCCAGGGATCCAGGAATCCCAGAGGGACTTCAGGGAAATCCTGGATTCTGGAAATTGCCCGCGCTTCTGCCAACCCGGGGAGACCTACCTCCAGTCGGGGCTGCTTTAACAAAAAAGGATTTAAACATTGCTCCGGAATTGTTAAACATTTCCCTGCCGATACTCGAGGGAGAAGACGCGGAAGGTGGTAAAAAATCGGAGCCCAGGTGGAAGAGGAGCAAGTATCTGCGGAAGAGGGAAGAGGAACTAAGGGACAGGATCTCCTCGTTACAGCCCCACAAACTAGGGGAAAATCTAGTGATAAGGGGTAGGAAATTCCGAGCCATGGGGGAGAATCCTAAACTCGGGTTTTCCAGACCCCCGGTGGTCACGGTGACCTCCGGAGAAGAGGTCCCTAGGTCCATGTTCGATTTGGAGTCCTCCATCGCTCTGAAAATCCAGGATAGAGTGATAACCAGGGATCTGATAACGCGTGGAAAAATCCCTGGGGAGATATCCTGGACTCTGGAGTTCCAGGCTTTTGTGAATTTGAGATCGGAGGTGGTTTTGCGAATAGAGAATTGCGGGAACGTGGTGATAGCTTATCAGTGGAGGGACGCCGGGTGGAAATCGGCGTCTCTCCCTCCCCCTGGGAGGAGGGGTCCTTGTTTCTTCTTCGACAAGAACAAGGGGGTGATCCTTCCGGGACAAATCAGGGGACTTCCGGTCTGGTTCCGAAAGAAGGACCTGGGGGTGGCGGTGGAGCATTGGAGGCTCGAGACCGATCCAAAGATCCACCCTGACCCCCTGGTTTTCCGATTTTGGGGATGCGCTCTGGAAGAAGATCCTCTTATCTCCGAGGATAACGTAATCAAAGTCCATGAGAGATCCATCGAGGGGTATTTAGATCGCTGTATACGGAATTCCGCGATCCTGGAGATCCTTGAGAGTATCGTGAGGAACGTCCACAGGAACCACCCTGGACCTTTTTACAAGAGCCTCTTCTTGGACAGGGACGTCTTCGAGATAAAAAATCCTTTCCACTACTATCACGGGAGTTTAGTTAAGGGATTTATGGAGATCCATCGATCCCTCTCGGATGATCCATCCTGGAATTTCTCCCTCAGGGATCTTCGAGATTCTCTCCTGGAAATTCAACATCCGCACCAGAGGCGGGAAGCTCTGAAGAGGTTCAATCAGCTTTGTCGTCAGGGTCTGGAGCCGAGCTTATCATCTCTTCCTGATAAGAGGAAACACTCCGCGGTGTACAATGTACTTTGTACTTTCTTTAACAATTTCCAAACCGAGAGCGAATTCATTAAAGAGAATTCCGCAGGAGTTCTTCTAGATCTTGGAAAATCGTCATTGACCTCATTGACTTTTGCCAAGAAAAGATCAAGAAAATCCAGCCGTGCCGCAAGAAAAGAAAATCCCGAAGATGGACGAGGATTGTCTTTTGTGTTTAACAAACAACAAATGATGTTGTATAGAGAGACTTTCTTTGTAAGGATTTATGATCTCTTGGGGGAGGTCATGGATCAGGTGTGTGCGGTTATTGACTCCTGGAATAATTTGAATGAAAAGGAAAAATAAATATAAGGGAAGACAAGCCAGAATAAAATCAAGATAAAGGTATTAAATCAGTTTTGCGGAAGGGATTTGCATATTTCGTTTATTCACTTGGTTGTTATTATTCCCAACGCTTAATACATTTTGCATTAATTATTTCCATGAATTATTATTATTATCTAACGACTAATTAATTGCCCAAAATATTTTCCTGCCTCTTAATGGCTGCACGGAGGTGCAGTTCGCCATGATGGATTCTCCGTGAATGTTTTTTAATTTACGGAATTCCTCCACCTGTGCAATTAGAATATCGTCAGGCTTGTCAATTATGGTTTGCAGAGACGTGTCGAAAATAAAAACGGTTAATACCTGAGACGTAGATATCCGCAAAATCGTCGGAAAGACGACCCAAAGGACACAATCGGTGGAGGTCCTTTCAGGATCCTGGGTCAAGGATCCATGATAAAAGTAGTATCCCTCGCAAAATATAGCACTCCTCATCCAGGATAAACAATCTATCGATCGCAAAATAAAAGATTAATCTCTTAATGGCATTTAATTAATTATTAAAAAATTTACTAGGCGGTATCTTCACATCCTTCCCTGGATCAACAATGTGTTTCAGGTTATCCGTGATTTTCTCCAACAAAGGATGAGGCCACGTGCTCGTCGCCTGGGAGGGAAATTAATGATTATCTTAATTGTATATATTTAATTCCAGATCTTAAATAACAATTACCAGGAATAAGTAACCGAGTACGCAAAGTCCATCCTTTTGTTGAAGAGCTGCCTCGAATGTGAAGTATTTCCGATTCCAGTGAACAGCATGAGCCTCCATTGAAAACCTTTAATTTGTGTGACGTCATTTAATTAAATATTTAAATTTACACATAATTAGGGGTGTTACCAGGTTCCATTTATCGTATGTTCACACCCGAAGCAATTGTCTTTGCCCCAGTGGAAATGGACGTGGTGGAAGTCGTACACGTCTTGGAGAAGAGGTCCTCCGGATATCCACGACGGAATTCGATTTCCGCATAAATAAACGCTTGCTAAACAATTTTTTTTTATTTTCAATAATGTTATTATTCCTAAGTAAATGTATATGGAAATACCTGTGCGTCCATTATTCGACAATGTAGCTTCTCCATCGTTTAACCAATGTCCGTTTAACAATAATGGTGGAGTTTTCTTCGGATAAACAATTTTGTCATCTAAATCTATCGGCGACCGTCCACTTTGATGAGGAGCTAAAATTCCTGGGGTCATTACAAATGTTTATAGGAATTATTATAAACCAACCTGACATTCGGACTCTGGTAAAACATGAAGAATTAATGTTTATCGTTAAGCGTCAAAGTGTCGAATTTCGCAGTTTATTAATATTGATATAAAATTCAGATTTCCAGAAGGAAGGTTCGTTAAAATTTTCTTGGTTAATGATCGGACAATTCGAATCGCGCCATTGTTTCTCGGGGGGACAGAAGACGTTCCTTAAAGTATATAATTGTTTTTATATGGCGTAAAAAATGCGTCTTCCTCTTCAGAGAAATTCAATTTTCACTGAAAATATTCGATGAAATAATTCCTCCTTGGATATAAATTCTCGTTAATATATCCTTATTTTATATAAATTATTATTGAAACCTGTTCGATCGATATTCGTCATCTTGACGACGCCTTCTTGATGCCAATAGCCGTCCAACACAATAGGAGGGAATTTATTTTTCAACGCCAAACTGGTGGTTAAATTAATCGGGGATTGCCTCCACTTCGGAATGCCCGAGGAGGAGGTGGAGACGGGTGCAAGAATATTTTCCTCTGTGTTAAATAATTATTTCCCTCAGAGCATCGATTCGCTTTTCAGTAGGTTACGGAAATCCCGGTCAGACCGGCTCCAGGCAGTTTAAAATTAATAAACGGTATACTAACTTGACTTTTTCTGTTTCCGAGTCATCGTTAGAATGTCCTAATATCATCTAACTATAATTTAACTTATTTAACGTGATATTAAATTAATTGAGATTTTTAGTAGGAGGCTTCATGTCGCGTCCCTTCCGAGCGTCGCCATCTTGAAAGGACTCCGCCCGAGGAGATCGTCGATTGTTTCGGCTTTTCCCCAAGATCGACCCGTCCTTTCCGCCAAATAAGGCTAGGGAAAGAGACTGGAAAATTGTCAAGTGAGATTTACGCGAGTAGGCGGGAGAAAAAGGCCGAGGAAAATCCGGGAAATTTCGGATGCAGAAACCTCGAGAGCGGAGTAGCCGGACAAAATGGCCGACTTCTCGGCGGCAGAATGTCTGGTAATCTGTGGCAGTCTTGTCCTCGTAGGTTTGTAGATTCCATATGCAAGGGGGGAAAAAGAAATCCCCATGGATCCTTTTCCTAGTTCCAATAAAAATGTCTTTTCCCCGTGGAAGCTCTTTTACTCGCGGAAATTCTGGATTGGTCGCAATTCTTCCCGCCGTCCGAAATTCGGTCTACCCTGGCTTTCGAGTTCGGCTATGCCGATCACAATGGACCTCACACTTGGAAGATGCTCTATCCTCTGAGCCGAGGCTCTAATCAATCCCCAATTAATATCACGACCCGATTGGCCACCGTGGTGCAGCCTTGCGAGTCTCTTAAATGGAACGGCTACAACGCCCGCTCTTCGTCGATGAAGATGATAAACGACGGAAATTCTGGTATAATTATTATAATCGAGTCCTGTTCCCGGTACTTAATTTCAATAACCGATATTAATTAATCCAGTCATAATTTGCGGCTCCTGGCCGGAAGACTCCAAGCCCTGTCTCGAAGACGGTCCCTTCCACCACGTGTACGATTTCCACTCGATGATCTTCCACTGGGGTCCCTCCGACGACGAAGGGAGTGAACACACCCTGGACTTTGTCAGATACCCCATGGAGATGCAAATGGTCCACGTTAAACGTGGATTTAAATCCCCGACAGACGCCATTGTCCTCGGCGCGAAAGACGGCATGGTGATCGTCTCCTGTTTCTTCCAGGTCGAAATAAAATTAATAATTAAATATTAAAACCCTAATAAACATTTTAATCCATCAGTCGATATGTTTAAAACTCGCTTTTTTTCCATTCAGATAGGAAATGGCGATAACCCATATCTGGACCATATAGTGACCAATTTGTGGCGAGTAGCGTGTCCGAATACGAAGACGGCCATTCCGGCATTTCCGCTGGAATGGATACTTCCTACATTTCCAAAAAATTATTACACGTATTTTGGATCGTTAACCCAGCCTCCGTGCAATGAGATCGTTACCTGGATTATCCATCCAGAACCTATTGCCATTTCCGGCAATCAAGTGAGGCGCCATTATCACATTGCGACCGCTGACGTGAATTCACGTCATTTTGAAATTCTATTCCTGATATGCCGCTGACGTGAATTCACGTCATTTTGAAATTCTATTTCTGATATGCCGCTGACGTGAATTCACGTCCATGACGATACACGATACAAGTTTGCGGCAACCAGTTTCAGAATTTAATTATTTAGTTAATAATAAATAATAATTAATTGCTAGAAAAGGGGGATTGATTGATATAAAAAAAATAATCCCGTGTAGAAATTCTTTGGATGGAATGATTAATTAACGATGCAAAATGGTTAAAATTAATCCTATGATTTTTTGGGTATTTCTTAATGAACTATCAATTGCGTCTAATTAAGTCTAATGTTAATTGTTTTATATTGTCGAAGGAAGTCCCTGGGTCGGGTTCGGTAATTGTTATATACAGAAGTGGAATTAATCCGTACATTAAACTGTACCATTTACGGGTAATTGGGAGCTCTGTACAGCAAATTGCATCCGCGTCCGTACTCACTCGGATGTCAATTATCCGTCTCTCCCATTCGTGAATTATTCCATGCAACCTGCATCGGAGCGGCAATTCCGGGTGCAAGCCTTATTCCGAGTCTAATTACATTAATTATCCGTTCCAGATGGCCGAATTTCGTAAGGTGCACTCGATCGAGGGGCCATTGTTGTTAAATTCCCGACCGGTGCAAAAATTGAACGACCGAGAGATCTATTATCACGGCTGATATCAAGACCCATTGCCTTATCACTATACAACCCGTCGATAATAAATAAATCCGTATCGCAATGACATTATTATCCATAATTACGCAAAACAAGAGGTTCAGAATCCCTTCGCAATGAATTCTAAAATAATTATAAATTTTTACAGGTGTAAAAAATCCCGGTAATTAATTTAGTTAGTACACCTGTAGAACAACGAGTACACAGATAACCGCATTTATTATCTATCGTGGACAATGCATTGTACATCGATGAGATCCTACGATACAAGTACACCGACAGTATTATCTCCAATATTTGTATCCCCGAATAATCGCCTCTTGTTTTTTAAAATCAATGAAGGTTGTTTATAAAATATATTTAGCCAATATATACGCGGTCTGTATTAAAAATAATTTCACCCGCTACACGTGGGGGATTTTATCATTTTTTTTTCATTCCTCTTCTTCTCCCTCGGGAATCTTAGAGCATCGTCGTAATTAATCGCAATCGCCGACGATTAATAAATATATTTACAAATTATCGCGTAATTAGGAAATCATGTATACGATTTGGCACACTCGAGGACCGTTTATGAAGGGTAATCTCGGTAATGTTCCACCTCTTATTCCTCTTATCAATGCCGAAGCCGACTTATCGCGCTTCTATTCTTCCTCTTTGGAGTAAAACAAAGAACAGGAATTGAAACCGATGACTTTTTTTAATAAAACAATGGATTAGTCCCTCGAATCACCTACACGAAAACCATAACGCACTTATCACATAATATATACTATTTTTTTTCACATACTTTTGCGAATTAAGGTGAAGTGAAACACGTCTTGAGGAACTTTATCGACGTCGATAACGAAGATTATTATAAATACCTACGTTGGTTTTTTATATCGAATTATATTGGGTATTGTACCAAATGGCATACTCCACCTGTCGTTTTCCTACAATAATTATAAATAAATCCAAGTAAAACTATAAATCCTCTAGATTCATGATTTCTGGGGCCCTAATTGACTCAGAGGGACCCCCTGCGCCATCTGTGATTTCCAGGTGAACTAAATTTTCCCTCCTTTTCCCATATCAGCTTATAAGACACTTTTTTGTCTTTATCCCACTCAAATGCGAGTTTCTCGATTACCAGAGTGTTTTAAATTCTCGTAAAATTGTCCCGACCCTTTCTCATACCACAGCCTTCAATAATTGTATACATAAACCGAACGTCGGTAACGAAGGTATTTATACAAATTTCCTTTATCGACGTCGGTGAAGCCCAAGACGTGTTTCATTTGACTTTAATCGATGCATTACTTGCAAGAGACCTTTATAGCTCATTAGACACGGTAGATTGTGTGCTTTTATAAATATTATAAAGCACGAGCTTAATCGCCACCGATAAGGGTCTATAAATTGACAAATCTCTTCCTGATTGGCAGTTTTTAGGTGGGAGAAACCGGAAAGAAATCAATCAAGGTGTATGGAAATCCACTCAATTCATGAGAAGGTGTATGAAAAGTCGATAATTCGCGCGTACGAATATTCCGCCGTCCTAGATCTACGTCTTTCTGGTTTCTACGTCATTCTACCATGCCGGAAAGACCGCATCGCCGCAACCATTCCGCAATTCCGCCTTCAATCGATCTGCATGTCCCTTATCGTCCGGCACAGGAAAGCCGAGGTTATTATCCCGAAGGTCTGCAAGAGTAATATAAGTGTTAGGTGTACCTGAAGTGTTAGCGATATTAATATTTTAATTATTAGTTAATAACTCGCCTGGATCCCAGCCATGGCCATGCCCAAAAATACTAACGTTAAACTTTCGTATTGAAGCCAGCTAGTCACTTTCCCAAGGCACCCCTGAGAAGTATTGATAAGACATGGAAGTGATTAGTCCGAATAAAAAATAATTCCACCTTATCGGTGCCGCGAAATTAATATTAATTATTAAAATCCACATTGTAGGAGGTTGCGTGTTTTATCGCGATTTAAATAAAAATAATAAGTTAGACGATTATGATATCACAAAATTTAATATATGCGAAAAATTCCGCCTTATCAGTGCCTTGATTAGAAATTAATATTTAAATATTAAAATCCGCATTGTAGGAGGTTGCGTGTTTTATCGCGATTTAAATAAAAATAATAAGTTAGACGATTAGGATATCACAAAGTTTAATATATGCGGAAAATTCCGCCTTATCAGTGCCTTGATTAGAAATTAATATTTAAATATTAAAATCCGCATTGTAGGAGGTTGCGTGTTTTATCGCGATTTAAATAAAAATAATAAGTTAGACGATTAGGATATCACAAAGTTTAATACATGCGGATAATTCCACCTTATCAGTGCCTCGAAATTAATATTAAATATTAAAATCCGCACTGTACGTGGGGTGCGTTTTTTTCGTGATTAAAGGTGCTTTCAAAGAAGTCACCTGAGAATTGCAACTAGGCCGAGGCATACGTTTTTTACATGGGATCGCAAGTCCCTTGGTACGTATTTCTTTCTCGAGGAGAGTATTCCGCCTCCGGTCGATTCCACTTTCCGCATACATTCCGCGACAACGCAAACCCAGCCGAGCGGACGCGGATCCGTAAAAAGAGGGTACGGAGTAATTCCGGTAATGACATTTTAATTACCGAGTCCACTCGTTATTTCGACCGACCATTGTTCTTATGTATATATACCGTTGAAAGGTATATTGGATGATTAGATGGATATTTAGGATATACATACGTATATCAGACGTTGATTAGATGAATAGTTAGGATATACATACGTATATCAGACGTTGATTAGACGGATAATTACGATATATATATATATACGTATATCAGACGTTGATTAGATAGATATTTGGGATATACGTAGGTATATCAGACGTTGATTAGATAGATATTTAGGATATACATAAATATCGTTGAAAGGTATATTAGACCTTAATTAAAGATAAATCTCACCTCTTTGTGCCTGTACCCTTCGTGGCCCACCTCGTCGACGACCTGGCAGGCAGCTTCATCCCTCAGCTGGGGATGAAGCCAGGGCTTTTCGTTCTGACATATCAAAGGGAAGAAATGAAACCCTTCTCGGAGTAAATCCCAGACAACGAGGTGTACTTACGTTCATATGAAAGACCCTCGAAACGACGCTCATAGGGCTGCCGGTGTTTTTCACCTAAACAAAGATTTCATCGATTTTAGTCCGACATATCGATAAGGATGAAGATTAAGTCCTGGGGGAAAAAATGTTGATAATTACCTCGGAATTTTTCAAAACGCAGCACGTCACCGGAACCTGCCTCCGGGTCCCGGAAATCTGTCCATCCCTCCACCAAGCCGTCCCATTGTAATCCCCATCCCCGTGGATGCCGCAACAATTGAACTAAAAATTAATTTCAATTATTTAGAGGCAACTCCGATTTTTAATTATTAATTTTTTGGTACCTTGAACTGAGCAAAGTCGAGGCTGTGACTGAACGGAATATCGCTGGTGGGATCGGCGGGGTCGTGCCCGTAATTTTCGGCCAATTTGTCGGTAAGTCTTTCCTCCAGTCCGGCCAGGATGCGGAACGTCATGAGACCTCCTACGGCGGCTGTCACCAGCTCCGTCACGATCAGGGCGATCAGCATGCTCATGTACTGCAAATCGATCGTGACATCTCCTTAATTTCCTCATATTTTTAATTATTCCATTGAAAGTGCAATATAAAAGGATATAAAAAAAATTGCCAAATAATGCACTGATTCTCGTGCAAGGATAATGTACTGCGAATCGATCATGATATCCCCTTAATTTCCTGATATTTTCAATTATTCCATTGAAAGTGCAATATAAAAGGATATAAAAAATCCCTGGATTTGTTTTAATTTCCTGGTTTGCAAATTTACTATCGCCAAAATGCACTGATTCTCGTGCAAGGCTCATGTACTGCAAATCGATCATGACATCCCCTTAATTTCCTGATATTTTCAATTATTCCATTGAAAGTGCAATATAAAAGGATATAAAAAATTCCGGGATTTGTCTGAATTTTTGACTTGCGAACTTACTATGGCCAAAATGCACTGATTCTCGTGAAAGGCAGCTCGACATCCAAAAAAGCCGACTGTCAATACGGTGACACCTAGGCCGAGAAGGCTGTACGCGATCAGGTGAGTCGTCTCATGTGGCGTCAAACTTGGCACGAAAAGATTCAAAAGATGTCCCTTGCTCGGCTCCAGAAGCAGCCAAGCTCCTATCACCAACACCGTACACCCGGCCAGCTAAAAAATAGACGACCATGTCAAACGGAGTAACACGTGTACAGGGATATTTTCACTCTATGACTACCAAGAGTGCCCGACGTTTGGTCCAATATCGCCCGCACGGTCATAGGAATTTCGCCCGTATGTCGAAATGGCTTCAAAGGGCTTCGATGACTTGTATGCGATATGAAATAGAAGAAACACCTCGAATAATAATTAAATTCGCAATTACCCATATCAAGAGGTTGAAGGTGAAGAAAGCAACCTTCAAGTACTTCATAACGGGTGGCCGTCAACGCGTAAGGGGTCATCAATCTGGAAACATATTTAAATTTTTATCCCTTATCACTCCAGGAATATCATATTAGAAGTTGGAGTGATAAGGGGTCACAAGGATTAATAGATGATTTTCGGGTTATTAAAATATGAGGGGAACGTCAACGCGTAAGGGGTCATCAATCTGGAAATATATTTAAATTTCTATCCCTTATCACTCCAGGGATATCATATTAGAAGTTGGAGTGATAAGGGGTAACAAGGATTATTTTACGGGAGAAAATTGTTATCACGGAGAGAGGGGTAAAAAATACACCAGCGAGATGGCGAGTTTTCCGAGGGCTGGATAATTCATTTGATAAGCGAGAGTTCCTTATTTTCCCCCGAAGGAAAGTTACCGGGAAAGATTGAAAAGAAATTTCCATTTAACGGCTCGTTGGGTCTCATTCATGCAGGCGGGATGGCCGGAGCTCCTCTGGATGTTAAACATTTAAATTTAAACAGCAAACTAACGCGCGTCTCTCGAATAGATTTTCCGGAAAATGCGGAAACACCTTTTGCGCTCGTTCGTCGCCGGGGAAATATCGCGGAGGGGTGAGAAAACGAAATTGGACGTTCGTTCCCTCGAGGAGAGAGGAATACTCTGCAAGAAGTTGGGAAAGAAAATGGAGATCTGGAAAACCGGAAAATTTACCTTTGAGAAAATATTCCTATACTTCGGAAAGGGTTGATAAGGGAGATTAGGAAAATTCGGAGCTTGGCAAGGTAGTCGAAATCCCGCATAAAGCACTTTTTTCCTAGATTAATGCACTTGAGATGCATTTCGACCCCCTGCGAATTTTCCGAAATCTCGAAAACCCATCCCATCTCCCAGGAAGGGTTGATAAGGGAGATTAAGAAAATTCGAGACTTCCAGGTCGACATCCCGCATAAAGCACTTTTCCCTATACCAATGCACTTGAGATGCATTTCGACCCCCTGCGAATTTTCCGAAATCTCGAAACCAGGAAACCCGCCCTCGAGAAAAAATTCCCACGCTCAAGGAAGGGTTGATAAGGGAGATTAGGAAAATTCGAGACTTCCAGGTCGACTCGAAATCCCGCATAAAGCACTTTTTTCCTAGATTAATGCACTTGAGATGCATTTCGACCCCCTGCGAATTTTCCGAAATCTCGAAAACCCATCCCATCTCCCAGGAAGGGTTGATAAGGGAGATTAGGAAAATTCGAGACTTCCAGGTCGACATCCCACACAAAGCACTTTTCCCTAGACCAATGCACTTGAGATGCATTTCCCCCTGCGAATTTTCCGAAATCTCGAAAACCTATCCCACCCCCCAGGAAGTTGTGATAAGGAAAATTGTGAAAATTTTCGGCTTCCAGGGGATGAAAATCCCGCACAAAGGAGCACTCACCTCTTCCTTCTTCCCCGGTCCTTCCTCCACTTTTGCCCGGGCGCTCGTCGAGCGCGGATCGATGCACTTTCACGTTATCGAGCCGCACATTTGAACTCGCTATCAGCGCGTCGAGGCGGGTCCGATTGATCGGAAAAGAGGCGTCCTTTCCGTATCCGAGCGCGGCGGAGACGCGTGTCATCCGTGCGGAGGAGAACGCTCCTCTCCGGGTCGGCTGCGGCCGTTCCGTCCCTATAGCTGGAGACGCGTCTGCGTGCTCCGGAATCGACGCCGACGCTCTCTTGTCCGCCCCGGGCCTCCGAGAGACGTCGCGACGCCCTCGCATTATCGAAAAACGCCACCTTATCGTATCACAAAACCTGCGGGGGGGATCCAATAAATAATCGCCGGGATATCTGTCGATGCAACTTTTCTCCATTTTTTTTTTTTTTCATCCGGTGGAAAATCCGCAAAACGTCCCGCAGGGCCGGACAGATTTTCTGCGCTCTTCCGCACGCGTCTTTGCGACGGATTCCGCATGAAACGAGACTTGCCATTGTTTCGTCGAGGGCGCAATTTTCCTGGTTTAAATATTATAAACAAAACGCGCGGTATTTGTCCATGCAATTTTTTTTTGCGCTCTTACGCGTCTTGTGAAAATCGCACAATTGAAATATAATAAATAAACTGCGCGGTATTTGTCCATGCAATTTTTTTTTACGCTCTTACGTATCTTGTGAAAATCCCACGATAGAAATATAATAAATAAACTGCGCGGTATTTGTTCATGCAATTTTTTTTCTTGCGTTCTTACGTCATGTGAAAATCCCGCGATAGAAATATAATAAATAAAACGCGCGGTATTTGTTCATGCAATTTTTTTTCTTGCTTTCTTACGTCTTGTGAAAATCCCACGATAGAAATATAATAAATAAAACGCGCGGTATTTGTTCATACAATTTTTTTTTGCGTTCTTACGCGTCTTGTCAAAATCGCACAATTGAAATATAATAAATTAAACGCGCGGTATTTGTCCATTTAATTTTTTCCTCGCGTTAAAAAATCCGCGAAACGTCCCTCGATCGATGGGATATATTTCCGTCGCATTTCCGCAGACGTTGAAAGGTCTTTGCGACGGATTCCGCATGAAACGAGGGCCTACCACTTGTCATTGTTCCGTCGAGGGCGCAATTTCCCGGGCGCTATCGATCCCGGTGAAATCCTCGAGATTTTCCCATCCGCTGTAATCCGTCCCCGACTGCGTTCCGTCATGCGGAATTTCCCTAAAGAAGGAAAAATATAAAAAGAAATTGCCATCCGGAGCAACCGTGAAAATCCCTCGTCGGATTTCCCTTTCCGGCGCGTCCACCTCCAGCCAAATGATCGCGAGGAGTTTTGTAAATATAATAAATCTATTATTAATTATTAACAAGTTTTTACAGTATCTTTCGCATGGCGCTCACTTAAACATTATTCAACTGCGAGTAAAATTGCTTTACGAGAGTACATCCTTTCGTTTGTCTAGGAAGAGAGGAATTAAAAGGACGGTGGAAGAAGATTAAGATTTCGGATGAAATCCTGGACGGAGATAACGCAATTTCTTATCATTCACCGATATCGACAGCATTAACTAGCGGACGGAATTATCATTGAGCTGGTACACCTATACGGATAATTCAAAGGTGTCCATGAAAGCCATTTATCCCGAAGTCTTAATTACTCCGCGTAATTAAACGTTAACTATCTCCATCCTTTTCGGCTTTCATGGGACCCTGAATTATTTTATCTATGTTTATTTGATAACGATGTACCAAAGTCTAAGTACTTTATTCGTTGTAGCGAATCGCTTCACGCGATGGGACCCTATAAAAAAAAAATTCCCCGGTAGTTCTAGTGTTAAAAGTTACCCAATTTGGTACAGAGATGTAAGTCTAAGTCATGAAAAACGCCTTTCGACATCTACCGGGAAAATCAAGAAGTTCCGGACTGAACTTCGCAATGAAGCGCAGAAAATGGCGGCTCGGTCGCGAGTCGCGATTTTCTGCAACAGACGAATTCGGATATAAAAGTGATTACTTATCGTTGGATTTTTCTCATCGACGTCCATTTAAAAAAAAACATCCTCGGTTCCTCATTGAAAGGAAACATTTCTCTATGTCTAATGGAAGTACTTTTAAGTACTTCGGCGACGCTCTTAAGTACGACAGCCGTTCCGCAAAAATCGCAAAAATCGTATAAATGATACAAAAATCATGTCCGCATTCGCAATGTCTTTCTGCGCTTTAAAAAGAGAAAATACACTCGCCCAAGGTCGACTCTATACATACACGGTTAAAAAAGGATTGCCCCCCGACATCTACTATTCACTCCCTACTCGACAATAAATAAGATCACTATATAATCCCGGACCCACCAAACTACTCCGAGAAATAAAAAAAAAACATTCATCGCCCTAAAAAAGTCTTGAATAGGATGAAAGAAATGTATTTCTAATTCAGTGATAACTACCGCAATGTCCAAAGGAAAAGACGCGTTTAATTTGTTTAAGGGTATTTCATTATACTCCGAATTAACAAATTATTCCTTTCATTCTACTCGACGAAGTGTTTCGTTGATTCGGTAATCTTTTTCCTTAGATATTTAATAGTCCTTTCCTCGGATGCGTGATAGTCCTTCGATCTGGACCCAGGTCCAATTCTGATCCTTCAGAGTCACCATAGTCCTGACTTCCTAGGGGATTCAAGTCGCGGAACCAGAAGAACACCCAACTCAAATCCCCAGATCCAGGAAAGTCCTTCCTAGGGGATTCAAGCCGCGTAACCGGAAGAACACCCAGCTCAAATCCCCAGATCCAGGAAAGTCCTTCCTAGGGGATTCAAGCCGCGTAACCGGAAGAACTCCCAACTCAAATCCCCAGATCCAGGAAAGTCCTTCCTAGGGGATTCAAGCCGCGTAACCAGAAGAACACCCAACTCAAATCCCCAGATCCAGGAAAGTCCTTCCTAGGGGATTCAAGCCGCGTAACCGGAAGAACTCCCAACTCAAATCCCCAGATCCAGGAAAGTCCTTCCTAGGGGATTCAAGCCGCGTAACCGGAAGAACCCCCAGATCCAGGAAAGTCCTTCCTAGGGGATTCAAGCCGCGTAACCGGAAGAACTCCCAACTCGCATCGCAATAAAAGACCTCTACAATTCCGTAGTGGTTTCCACGGGGCTCTGATCCCCCAAGTAGGTGAACCCTAGATGAGAATAGTCCTTCCTCTCGCGAAAAGTGACGTTGTCATTGGAAGGGCTTGGACTTAGAAGATCGTTCCCATGGTTGTACAGGGGATTCAGGACAGGCGTGTCGACGGTGTTCGGAGGATTGCTTCCATTTTTTCTGCCCAAGGTGGATCTCCGCAAAGAATGGATGTTGGAGTCGTTGTGGTTCCCGGTTATACTGGATGCCCTTGCAGTTGTAGCCGCTTCCGAGCTCACAGGACTTTGTTGACCTAGAGACAATTAATTTTTCATCCTCATTCCGTGGACCCTATTAAAAAAATTAAAAGAAAAAATCCTAAACCTTCAAAGACAATTACCCGTGCTTCCGCCGTGGTCTTTGGTGATGTAGCTGACGTTGTCGAGGCTGAAGGCGTGGTTTTTGTTGCTAAAGTCCAGTTGCAAATCGTTGTAGCTGTCGTTGTCGTCAATTGGCACGCTCATTTGCAACACCTGAGTCTCGTACTCCTTTAAATTTGGCTCCACGTACACGGGGTCGTATCTCGGCACCACGTACATCCGTTGCATGCGTTCCTTGTATGCCTTGTACCTATGAAACAAACAATACACATTATAACGATGAAAAGTGAAGAGAGGGAAGGAATTAACGTTTTAACAGGCAATTTCTTGGATTCTTTCCCATGGTGGAAACGTGTTCTTCTGTTTTACGGGCATATGGCGTGGGCACCGGAAACTGGAATTAACGTTGACGAAGCTGATGTAGAGCAAAGTGAATTTATATGCGCGGTCGGCAAGCTAATTGAATGAATTGAACGAATTGAACGAATCTACACACCGTGCCGTAATATCGTTGGACGCCGAATGATACCCGCCATCATGCATCGTGAATAAAAAATGAATAAATATTAATAAAAATGGGAGATCGTTTACCTGGACCAGGAGACGCATATGTAAATTATCCCGGCGATGCCCAGGACCAGGATCACGCAGGCGATGATGATAAGAGCGTAGGGGAAGACTTCTCCACTGAAGGCCACCGCAGTTTGGGTACGCACTGGTTCCGGTACAGTAACCGGTGCGTGGATATCAATTGCGTTGGCCTGGATCAAGGTGGAGACGTCGAAAGTAATGTTCGACATGACGTGGTTCTCCAAAATGGACCTGAAAGCATAAGTAACCAAAGCTCTATAGTCCGAGCCATAGCGAGCCGCATCGTGACCATCGGTGAGGTTGAATAAATTATTCATGGCATTTGCATTGGAGTAACAAGTGTTCCCATGAATGAAGTACCGAGGTTTCGACCGGCGGATAGACGTATAAATTTATTATCATCGACCTCGGGTAGATAAGGCAGAATTATCGCGTTACACGTGCCCCCGCGTGTTCATCGAGGATCTAACGGGTGCCTTCGTGCCATTACCCTCCATGCTACCGGTAGGAATAATTAATCTCGGCTAATATATCCATACATTATGCATACCGCATAGGTACAGAGGGTCTTGAATTAAATGTACCGAGTTTCGATGGGAAATTATTGATAACGAGCGTCGTTAATATAACGATTGGGTGATGCAAAGTCGAGGGAGTAGCATAAAGTACCGTGTACTCCATATTCGAATCGGTAATTATCGATTATGTGTACAATGGCGGACGTGAATGCGTCCCCTGCAGATGCGACATCGCCTGTGCAGGGTGGGAGGGCATCGATGTCTCCCAGTGTATAGTGCTGGATATGAATGGATCTCTTGCAGATACGACATCGCCTATGCAGAATGGGAGGGCATCGATGTCTCCCAGTGTACCTGGGTAGGGCGATGGACAACTTCCAAGAGGAGTTACCTCGACGTAATTCACTCACCTCGATAGGGAAAGAATTGTCGACGATAACGGATTCCGATAATGGTCCATTGGAATGAGTTTCTACCGTAGGATTAAATGTCGTTAGAAATGGAGACAAGGATTACCTGTACATCCTCGTGCTGTTCCTGTCGAGTATCAGCTCGGTTTCAGGATCCACCGCATAAAACCAGATGTCGGAGTCCTGGGGGAAGGACTCGACGCTGCCGTTCTTCGTCAGACTCGTCCTGGCAGTTATTCTAACGATGCCGATCAGTAATTCAGTCTTTTTCTCCATGAGTCTGGATATCTTCGAGGTCTCCTTCTGCAGGGTGTCCGCCGCGGCGTCCTGGATTACCATCACCAGGAGGTTCTCCTCGCCGATGAGGTTGACTATCACGGGAGCTTCCGCCGAATTCGAGTTGGACGTCGAGTGAGGATTGTCGCGGACGCGTACTCCGAACTTGAGAGGAAGCTCCAGCTTGTTGACGTTGTCGAAAGTGGTGGTCGTCCGGATGATACCGGAAGAGGCGTCCACGGAGAAGTAATTAGACCCGGGTCCATCCAGCATCCCGTACTCCAGTTTCCCAAACTTCCCATTATCCTTATCTAGGGCCTCCACTTGGAGAACCGTCGTCCCGAACTGCGCCGTTCTAGGGATCGCTGCGAAATATCGACCTCTTATCAGGTCGCGACCACCGCTCTCGGGGAAGATGAACTCCGGCTTGTTGTCGTTCACGTCCAGCACCTGGATCTTGACCTGCACAAGTCAAACATACCGAATGATAGCGTACTCGTACGTAAGCTTCTTAAAAATCGCCTTAAGGTGAAGTGAAACACCTCGAGGAACTTGTCCGACGTCGATAACAAAGATTTTTATAAATACCTAAGTTGCCGACTTCACCTTAAGGGGATGTGAAAGTGGCATCCGAAAGCTGAATCGTTCATAAAACTTTTCATAGAACCGGGGGTCTGAAATCCTTTCATACTTTAAAACGTAAATATGGAGACCCTATAAACAAAACCTCTTCGACGCCACTTTCGCACCACCTTAACCATACGCACCATCGTAGTGTTCCTATCAGCGTTAAGGAGACCGGAAAGGGACTCCAGTTTGATTTTGATCTGGTAAGATTCCCTGGCCTCGAAGTCAAGAGAGCCCTTCTTCAGTCTGAGGGCACAGTTTCGCTCCTCCGTGACATTAGCCACAAACAATCCCTCCTCGTTTCCGCTGTACACCTCGCACCTCAAGAGAGTAGCGTCATGGGCATGACTGTTGATGATCGTGAGGGTCTTTATCAGGGTGTTGTCGACAGCATCCTCGGGTATCTCCACGTTGTAGGAGTCCTCGGCAAACCCTAGCCCAATTTCCGGGGGTACGGTCGCAACGTGTCTGACAAAAATCGGTACGGTAGTTACCGATGACAATTGCGGTTCCCCCAGGTCATACGCCCTGACATCCACCTGGAGAAATCGGGAAAAAAGGAAAGAGGTACCGTCATAAAGAATCTCCCTAAATGAATCAACGGATTATTTACTAGGTGTATATATCTCTCTTGACCTGATACTCGGAATCGGTTTCCTTCCGCAGGTCATCCCGCACCCGGATGACACCTGTATCAGGATCAATGATGAAGTATTTGCTCGCAATCCCTCGTCCGATGATCTCGTACCGCACCTGGGGGTAAATGGACATATACCCGGGGCTCTGGATATTTTATATAATTTTATTTACCTGGTTCCCAGGAGCAGCTCCATCGGAGTCCGTAGCCACGAGGTCGATGACGGTCGCCCCGATGGGAATGTCGTCGTCCAGGGTTATGGGTCGAGGAATGGAGGTGAAGACAGGAGGGATGTCGTTCAGGTCCTGGACATTGACGACGACTCTCGTGGTAGAGCCAGGAAGGTCGCTGGTGTTCTCCAGAGTGCCGACGATGAGGATGTGTTGACTGTCCCTTTCATAGTCCAGTCCGCGGATCGTCTTGATGACTCCGGTCTTCGGGTCTATGGAGAAGAGGTCCGTGTCCCCCTGCTTGATGACGTAGGTGATCTGCTTCTTCGTGTCCGGATCGTCGGCCTGGAAAAGATCCTGTTAGCTTCCGAGTCGCCCTGGGGGACCAGTTCTCCAGGTTGGGAGGAGGAGGAGGGAAAAGATTAAGCTAAACGGGAAAGGAGAGACGAATTTCATTTGAAAAGTCTTCCAGAGACGGAGGAAGGACAAGAGGCGCTACTTCCGCGCCATCTGGCGGATCCCCGAGGAACGAGCCGGCTCGTCACCGACTCGACGAAGGAAAAGCCTCGACAAAAGGGCGACCAAGGGTTTCTTTTAACAAGTACTCACGGTTACTTGCGTGACCATGTAATCGGGTACATTTTCCTTGACCCTAGCCTCGTAGCTGCTCTGATGAAAGACCGGGACCTCGTCTTCAATGTCTAGGACTTTAACAGTAACCGTTGCGGTGGCAAGGCGCGGTTCCGGTGCGCCGTCTCTTGCAGTAACGACGAATTTGTATTCCTGCAGAAAATAATATAAATTAATTACCTCTCACCGTGATTAATAATCCATGGCTTACGACCTCGGTGCCAATTACGGGGTGATTACCCGGGGAAAGCACGGACGCGTGAAGCCGGGGATTAAAAAATAGTTATGCCCGGAGAGTAAAATTTAATTACGTGGTTCTGCTCGTAGTCCAGGGCGATCTTCGTCAGGACGTCTCCGGTTTCCGGGTCGACGGTGAAGGGGACGTCGTCGGGGGCGAAATAAGTAACCTCCGCGTTAATTCCCTCGTCGGCATCCTCGGCATGCACTCGGCCGATCAGCTTCCTGGCCTCTCCTTCCTTGACGGAGAACTCGTAGGGCAATCCGTCGAATTCGGGGTTCTTATCGTTGATGTCGGTCACTTTGATGTTGACCGTGGCGGTGCTGGACAGCCCTCCCGTATCCTCTGCCTTGATCAACTGTTAGGAGAGACGTTGAGAGATTCATTCCGAGGCTCGTGGGTGGATAAGAAGAAGAAAAGAGGAGAGAAACCCTTCGACTACTAAGAGCGTATAAAGGCGCCCGACGTTTGGTCCAATTTCGCCTGCACGGTCATAGGAATTTCGCCCATATGTCGAAACGGCTCCGTGTTCAAAGGGTTTTTTATTTTATTGTTTATTATATTAAGCAAACTGGGATCGTGTAAATGTAGACTGTGCAATCTTACCAGCTGATAACGAGTCAGGTCCTCCCGGTCCAACTTCCTTATAACAGTGATCACCCCGGACTTGTCGCCGATTGCGAACTGCCTCAAGTCGTTCCCGGAGACGATGGAGTAAGACACGGGATCGTTTTCAGGATCCACGGCCTGAGGAGGGAAAGACAAGGGGATACACTTTAATTCTCCATTTTTTCCCTTTTTTCTTCTTATCAGATAATCATACTTACAGTGATTGTCGCAACCGTAGAATTAATGGATGCGCCTTCGCTGACTTGCACCTCGTAGACGGCTTGCTGGAAGACCGGACTCCTGGTGTTGGGCCCGGGTATGACGTTCACCTCGACAATTGTCTGGGAGTACTTGCCGCCACTATCAGTGGCTTGTACAGTAATGCTGTATTGTTCCCCGGCATTGAGCTTCCTCACGAACTCGATCACCCCGGTTTTCGGATCGATCTTGAATTTCTGCTGGCCATTGTTCGACACGTGGTAGATGCTGTAAGTGATCTCGGCATTCTCGCCCTCGTCGTTATCGGTTGCCTCCACCTGGAATCATGATCGCGCACCTGAGTCTTTTAACATTTCGGATACTAAGAGCGCCTAGAGGCGAGAGACGTTAGGTCCAATATCGCCTGCACGGTCAGAGGAATTTCGCCCAATGACTTATGTGGTTCGGGTGGAAATGCAAATGGAACTCCTACCTTGATCACTTCCCTATTCGCTTCTCCAGCCTGGACGGTGATGGGAGCGGTCATGGGCAGCAGGGGAGCGTTGTCGTTGACGTCGTTCAGGGTGACGACGAAGGACAAGGGCGACGAGGAGGCCACTCCGTTTTTCTCCCTAGCCACGACCTGGAACCGGAAACGTCCCGGACTGGGAGGATCCCGGTCAAGGTTTTCCTCGTTGACGATCAGGACCCCGGAGGGGTCGATCGCGAAGAAGCTCGTCGTCAGCTCGAACGTGTACGTCGGCTGGGGATCCTCCGGGCTCTGGAACCGGGGAAAGCCAAAAAGGGAAGTCCAGTTCGTCCCGACCTCGGGATCATCCCCGGGAGCAATCTCCCAACCCATCCCCGTTCGAGATCCTGGAGGGACTCACCAGGTCGGCGTCGGAGACGGTCAGGACGATCGGGTTCCCGGCTCCGTCGATGACCTTGGTGCCGACGGGAGCGTTCTCGTCGACGAAGCCCTCGATCGAGGACGCCTCGATGACGGGAGGATTGCTGTCGACCGGCTTCACCGTGATCGAGAGCTTCGCCGTGGCCGACCTCTTGGCTTCGGACACCTCCACCGCCTGCGAGAGGACCAAACCCATGGATCAGACCCCCCTGTCCTGGGGAACTCCCTCCCGGGAGTTTACCTTGATGATGACGTCGAACTTCTTGGTGACGGTGGTATCCACCGCCCGGGTCTGCTTGACGGCCCCGGTCGTCGGGTTGATCTCGAAGAAGTCCCGATAGTTCGAGGGGTTCCCGCTGAGGAAGGAGTAGTGGATGGGAGCGTTGATGCTGTCCATGTCCACGGCCTGGATCTTCTCCGGGGAGATGTTCAGGATCCCCGACAAGACCCCGCTCGACACCTACGGAAAGCCACTAGGTGATTGTCCTTTCCCATTTTCTCCTTTTTTTAATTATTCCTAATCATCCAACGTACCGACGCAGAGTACTCGGGGTTGATGCAAGCTCCGTCGAGGAGCATGCACCCTTGGTAGATGAAGGAGGGATCCTGGTCGTCGTCGTCGCGGATGTTCACCGTCAGGGTGGTGGTCGAGGTGAACCTCTCCGAGTGGTTCCTGGCTCGATCCTGGAAGCAGAAAAAAGAAGGACACCGTGAACAGTTGCGCGTCTCGATTCCCTCAGACGGGAGGAAAAAATGAAAATCGACATTTGTTATCACTTTGATAAGCAATCTCGAGGAGTTCGCGGCGTCGGGAATAAAAGGGAAATGCAGAGGGTAATTTAATGGAAGGACGCGAAACGGAGGGGAAGGACCTCGGAATCGTAATGGACCTCGGTGGAGATATCAAATCCAATCATGGACCGCTCTCGGATATCATTAAAGGATCCGTGCCGATGGGATATCTCCCACGAGGGAGGCGAGCAAAATGGAGAAGTTCCGATCGTAGGTACGGTCGATAGGTAAATTTCCACCGGGTGATTCCACGGTGGAAACGCACCGGAAGCTGGCTATTTTCCCTGGAGGAGAATCGGATTTTCCTGGATGCAATGCCGCACAATGCGCATTGTGTACGATAAGGCCCGATGCGCCAGGCTTCCGGGTTTGATAAGGACGGATTAGAATGCATGTCCGTGCACCTCGAGGAACGAATGCACCGAGCCATTTTCCGAGGATAATGGAATAAAAGGGGTAAAAAGTAATTCCGTAAGGACGATTGGCCCGGTACACTGGGAGACATCAATGCCCCTCCATCCTGCACAGGCGATGTCGTATCTGCAGAGGAAGGATTCAAATTCACCACTATACACTGAGGGACATCAATGCCCTCCCATCCTGCACAGGCGATGTATCTGTAGGGAATGCATTCATGTCCAGAATGTACATTGGGAGACATCAATGCCCTCCAATCCTGCACAGGCGATATCCGTAGGGAATGCATTCATGTCCAAAATGTACACTGGGAGACATCAATGCCCCCCCATCCTGCACAGGCGATGTCGTATCCGCAGAGGAGGGATTTAAATTCACCACTATACACTGGGAGACATCAATGCCCTCCCATCCTGCACAGGCGATGTCGTATCCGCAGGGAATGCATTCATGTCCGCCATTGTACGTTCGACCGAATATACCGAGACGGTGCAATTGCGGCTTCCACCGAGATGACCGAGTTACCTAATAATTTGAGACCGCCGACTGGCCGGAGATTACATGCCATTATCGATAAGGACGGAGGGATCATTCGGACGGTGATGGGATCGAATCGGCTCGCGGCTACCACGGACGTTCTTCGGACCATTTGGACATTTTTCACCGACCTTCGAGATCTCTTCATTCCTTGACCTCCTACATGTCCGGTCGTTATTTAACTCTCTGGCTACTAAGAGCGTATAAAAGCGCCCGACGTTTGGTCGAATATCGCCTGCACGGTCAGAGGAATTTCGCCCGTACGTCGAAATGGCTCCGGGTTCCTGCTGAGATGGGTTCTTCCAGGATAACTTTCTGGGGCGTCGGGATAAAAAGAGGGGATATCCGAAGTGAGGAGAAAAGGAGGAAAGGTCCGTGGGCGGCGATCCTCTCTCCGAAGAAGGACAGAGCTATCTACCCACAGGGTGGAGAGAGAGAGACAGCGCTAGGAGGTGTTCGAGTCTCGAGCGCCCCGTAAAACGCCGATTACCGATTACCTATCGGCCTCTTCCGCGTCCGCGATCTGTCGGCCGCGTATAGATTCCGCAGCATCCCCCGGACGCGGCCAATAAGACAATCGCGAGCGAGTGTGGGCCGCATAAGATTACACGGGAATCGCGATTCCGGGCGACGATCTTATCGGCGGGGAGTCGATCCGCTCGCGGAAATAATCCGCATGCAGATTACGCGGGGTGCGGCCGTGTCCGGGAGATCAGCGGATCTCGAGATCATGCCGGAAGTCCTCTCGGCGGAACCGCTGCGGCCTGAAACACTCGATCGGGGACATTTCTCGAGGAATCGATGTGGAGTATCGACCAGGGCGGGGGTGCGGATTCCGCCGGGCCGCAATGCCGGACGGCGGAATCTCAACGGGGATTCCGGAATCCCGGCGATTCGGTGGATTTGCATTTTTTTAAAGCCCCGGTCGCATTGTATTCGGGAATCCAGGGAATGGCGGGATGTCGTCGATAATAATCTCTTATCATTTGAATTTTAAAGGCGCGTGACGTTTGGTCGAATATCGCCTGCCCGGTCATGGGAATTTCGCCCATATGTCATGGGTCCGACAATCCCCGTTTCGACGTGTAAAGCGCTTTGATAAGCATTCGAAGAGTGCGGAAACGCCGTTTATCCCTTATCAATCGCGAAACAGTGATAATAAAAAATTGAGGGATGTACCCTCGCGTAAGAAATTCAATTTCCCAAGTGCGACAATCCACTTTACGAGTGCTCGAGACGCGTAAAGCGTTTTAACGAGGGTTTCGATCCATTAGCGGGCTTGTAATCGAGTAAACCACCGCCCCCGATGTAACGAGGAACGAAACGGTCATACGTTACGAAAGCAACGACGCGGTCGTTAAAAGGCAGTCTCTATCGCGGGAGCTCGCATAATTTTTAACGGCCATAACTCGATAGGGCGGTATTAAACATTGCCCGATAATGGCGAGCGGGGAGCCCATAAGTCTCATCGACGTAAACCGGAGGACATTAATTCCGCGGGATCGCAACGGAACACGGCGGCGATTCCGCGCGATTCGTGTAAATCCATTAGCGTGCGTGTAAACGCGGATTGGTAGGAGGGGCGATTATCGGGTCCGATGTATCGATAATCGAGGACAAGCCCGAGGATCGAATAGAATCCTGTCCGAGGGTGGAATTGATAACGCGAGGTTGCTTATCAAAAATCATAGACTGATCAAAATCGGCGGAAATTTCGGAGGCGTCGTATATCGTTTCCCGTTCTACGGCGTCCCTAGTCGATGATAAGTGATAAGCGGTCGCGGGAGATGATCATCGTAATCTCGTCAAGGAGGGAACAGGGCGTAATCGCCGTAACGCGGATGTATTCTGATAAGCGGAATGCAAATAGCGAGGCCCTCGGGTACCTCTAATCATCGCGGGGTATCACGGTGCACATCGGACATGAATGCCTTCCCGGCTGATATGGCATCGCCTGTGCAGGGTGGAAGGCATTGATGTCTCCCAGGGTATAGTGGAGGATATGTTGTGTGTAATGGCGTATTGTTATGTACAATGGCGGACATGAATCCCTTCCCTGCAGATACGGCATCGCCTGTGCAGGGTGGAAGGGCATTGATGTCTCCCAGTATATAGTGGAGGACATGAATCCCTTCCCTGCAGATACGGCATCGCTTATGCAGGGTGGAAGGGCATTGATGTCTCCCAGGGTATAGTGGAGGATACGTTGTGTACAATGGCGGACATGAATCCCTTCCCTGCAGATACGGCATCGCTTATGCAGGATGGGAGGGCATTGATGTCTCCCAGTGTACATCGGACGAATAAGTTACGAGGCGTCGTGGATGTGCTCGCGTCGATCGGCCATAAAGGGGGGAGAAGGAAAAATCGGAGCCAGGAGCAGGGAGAGCACCTGTACCGGAGTAACGATCGTAATGGCGAAGAAACCTCTCGGGGTATATACGCGAGGCGATATGCAAATGAGAGTATGGCCGTCGACGGTGACTCACCGAGTGGGGCCCACGCGGCTCGACTTGTCCGACTTGTTACTCTAGTTTGGGGTACTTCCCTTCGACTTTTAGGCTCCCCTGCATTTCCCTGAATTTCCCTGAGTTTTCTTGAATTTTTACCAGGACGTTGATCAACTTCCGGATCCGTTCACCCCAACCCCCTCGACTTCTTCAAACCTCTCTCCTATCTTTATCTACTATTTTGGAGAAAAGTTTTATAAACAATTGGATTTTTTTATCGTGCCTGCATTGCTCGTTTATCACCGGGAAAAATGCCGCAATGGTAGTTCGTTACTTTCAGAAACATTCCCGACAAGATCTTTTTACGCGCGTTTCAGTGACTGGTACGACTAATTGCAATCGCGGGTAGAATTCAATTATGTAAGACTATCGTTTCCTACCAGATACCAGGTTCCAAAAGACCACCATCTAACGTTCACCAGACGTATAAAACGCGTATATCGACGTAAATACCCCCGTAAATCTCCTCAATCATGTTCGTCATATTCATCTAAGTTAATGAAAATGACAACGTAACGTTACATCCAATCCAAGTTAAAGTTTAGCGATACATCACTTTATCGCGTATGTAAATTTCCCTGGGTCTTTATCAGTGGGGGGCCCAGTAAAAGTTGCCGAACCTCGAGGAAGACGCCGATCATCCTTGACACCGTTCCCGGTGACGTCCACGTGGTCAGGGCTACCAGGTGGACATCTTTAACAGGCTCGAAAAGAGAAACGGGAAAAGGGAAAAAAAAACTATATTCGAGGTAATCACCGAGGCAAGGACGGTGACGAGGTACCGCTGGGTCCTCTCGAAGTCCAGGGTGCGATTGACGGTGACCTGGCCCTGGTGGGGCAGGTGGATGGTGAAAAAGCCGTATCCATCGGCAGTGGTGATCCTGTCGCGACCGACCCCGTCGTTGTAGCCGATCCCGGTGCCATCCCCAGGTGCGATGGAGTACTCCACGAGTCCGTTGACACCGGCATCCGCGTCCTTGGCGACGATGTTCTTGAAGATGGTGGACCCGATCGGGGTGAGCTGTCGGCAGGCACAAAAGATATCGATCAGCGACTCGTTACGTCAAGGATGATCTGGACATTACGCACGTACGTGGCCAGACTAATTGCTTAGCGGTAATTATATCACATCTCCAGGGACATACTCACTTCCGGGACGGTCGTCTCGTACGGCGCGTTAACGAAAATCGGAGCATTGTCGTTAACGTCGGACACCCGGACGATTACTGGAATCGTTCGCTTCTTGTTCGTCGACTTCACCGTGCAGGTCAGCTGGAAATCCATGAAAATAAAAAAAAAAAAAACCAGAGAAAATCGGATTAGCTTTGGCTTTTTATGAAAGCTTGGGGGCGATTCAACGTGAAAGGGCAATTAAATCGTCCAGGAATCGAATCGATAAATCCCATAAAATATATATGAAAAGTTTAGGGGGCGATGCAACGCGAAAGTGCAATTCTAATTATGGACTAAGTCGGTAGTTTGCAAATCTTCGTTTTCGGCAAAAGGAATAAAAAAAAAAATGGCGAAACATTGGCGCGGATAAAAATTCCGGGATATGAGAATCCGAGAATCGAGAGCCTATCGCGTCCAGGAATCGAGTCGGATAAATCGCATAAAACACTCGTCCATATTTACGAGCCTGCCGAGGGATGGCCCTATGCGATTGCAAATTTCATTTTAACGAAGCGACGTGCTCGCCGCTCTCGAAAATAAAGTACTCGCGATTCCGATCTTAAGGAGGGAATTTACAGCGCGTCGCTACGTCCGCTTCCATACTGGTGCAACGGCCATTGGGCTTCGTTAAATGCACCCTCTTCTGCAGGATGCACTCCACTCCCAGGGAAAGAGAATTGAATTACCCGAGGACCCCCCCTACTTACAGGAAAATTAAGGTGAAGTGAAACACGTCGAGGAACTTGATCGACGTCGATGAAGATTTTTCTAAATGCCTACGTTGCCGACGTTGATTTTTATATCGACGACTGGGTCGAATTATATTGGGTATTGCACCAAATGGCAAACTCCACCTGTCGTTTTCGTTATCAGAGCCTTAGATAATTCTATATCGAATACCTAGTTTTCGCGATTTTTCCGGAAATATCGGGAAGCACTTCGTGGCCGAGATAATGGCGGAAGATCGTCGAATCGAAACGTCGATTTCACGCTCCGGCGATATCGCGAGAATCGATTCTAAACTAGTTCTCAGGCCGATCCTTTGGGAAATATTTCCTTTCGGAATAAGAGTCGCGAAAAAATAAAAAAAAATTCCTCGACGTCTTTCACTTCACCTTAAGGTGAATCATTATCGGAGAGAGGATGGAAGGATGCTGAAACTGAAAAAGCCATTGTTTTACCTGGAAGACGACATGGGAGAGGTTTTCCGCGTCCCTGTCGAGGGGTTCGAGGAGTCTGAGTTTTTTTCCCTCGAGCCGGAAAAGCGGTCGCCTTCCGGGGAAGATCAGCTCGAGAGTGGTCTCGTTTCGAGGATCTCCGGACACCGGAAGTTCCTCGGGGACGGTCTTCTGGTCGGTGGCTAAAACAGACAAGAGATGGGATTAGTCTTACCTGACTGGAAAATTCCATTTATACGGTATTCCAAATTTTTCTAAGTTCTTTTATCGTTGTAATTGTTCTATTTAAATACAATGAAATTAAACATTTCCTGACAAGGACCCACTTCTTCATACTTCCTTATGAGGGAAATGTCTTACCGGTTCCTCTGCTCTCCTCGATGTCGAGGATGATGTTCGACTGTCCAGTTTCCACCTCGCAAAGGCCTGCAACATACGAAAAGGGGAATAAGGATCAATATCGAGATATAGAGAATAAGAATCTACCTAGGAATTCGCCCGAGAAAGGCCGTAGATACGGTACATAAACGTTATACGGTATGCGGCATACAGTACGCGGGTTACGGTACACTGGGAGACATCAATGCCCTCCCGTCCTGCACAGGCGATGTCGTATCTGCAGAGGAGGGATTCATGTCCGCCATTGTACATAAAAATACGCCATTGTACATAACATGTTCGCCATTGTACATAACATGTCCGCCACTATACACTGGGAGACATCAATGCCCTCCCGTCCTGCACAGGCGATGTCGCATCTGCAGGGGAGGGATTCACGTCCGCCATTGTACATAAAAATACACCATTGTACATAACAAATCCTCCACTATACACTGGGAGACATCAATGCAATACAATCGCTCCCGAGGGGATTTCTAAGATCAGCTGTTCTCGTCCTACGAGTGGCGTCCGGCGTTGCCCCCAGAATTGCACCGAATGCACGTGGGTACCTAAACGTATATACATAAATGTACATATATACACTCGGGGGAGATATAACGTCGTGGTCGTTGGGTCGTTAGAAAGTATCGGCGAGGCATTAGAAAGCGTCCACGAGGAAAGGACCCTCCTTTCGGATCTCGGCACCGCGTCTTTCATCCGAGCGATTTCCCGCGTTCCTTTAACCCCTTTCCCGTAGGCGGGATAATCACGATTCCCGCGGGAAAGTTTCCCATGGGTGGAGGGGAAAGAAGTCCCGATAACAAGACGTAAGGATATACTTTTCACGACGGACGTTAACCCTTTTGGCTACTAAGAGCGCCCGACGTTTGGTCGAATATCCCCTGCACGGTCACAGGAATTTCGCCCGTATGTCGGAACGGCTCCGTATGCGAAGGGCCTCAAACTGGATTACAGGTTAACACGGCCCACCCTGCAACGTCGCGGAGGAAGTCGGCTTACTACCCCCGACCGATACCACTTATCACGAGTGGTTGAACGTAATGGGATGGATTAAACGAGGAATACCGTTTGCAAGACGATCCGTTAGTTAATACCGATCCCTTGCAGGATATCGTCGGAAGGGAGTCCATATGGCGGAAATTGTACGCCGTTACGAGCACCATAACGATCGAGCGGAAGGCCGTAGAGAGCTCATTGGTTAACACGCCAGAAGACCCGTCGCGTGCCAGCTGCACCTGCACTCCTGCACGCGTGGATGCACTATTGCACGCGTAGATGAGACCCACGACGCGAGTTACGCATTCTAAGCGATCGGCGACGAGGAGGGTCCAGAGACGTCGATTTCTCTCCGCCGAGTCACCGCAAGCGATTTCTCACCGCCGATATCAGGCCCTAGGGAAATCTCATCGAGACTAGATGTCAGAGGCAAATGGGGAATTCCACGAAAAGTTGACCGACCTAGGGGAAAAGAGAAAAATCGACGGGGTGGACCCTCGTTACGTACTACTGTCACATATCCCATAACCTTCAAAAGGGTAGAATGACCACTTTCAAGATTTTTTTTCCGTACCTTGGGCTCCTCGGAATGGGTTGCATTAATTTGTACATGTAAATCGAGGGGAGTACTTATGCCGAGAATTTTTCGGGACCAGTAGGAGTAGCCCTTGGCAATGAAAAAAAAGAAAAAAAAAGAAACAAGGCCTCGAAGGTAAGACTCACCTGCTTTGGAGAGGACCTCCGGTGCCAGGAGAGATGTCCAGAGGATGGCCAGGGCCCATCGGCAGCTCGTCCGCGTCTGAAAGGAGAAAAGCGATACAATTAATTAATTAATTAAATTCCAGGATGGCGTAAACGCCATTTACTCCATTTATTTTCCTCGGAATGATTTACTGGAGTTCATATAAATAAAATAATTATTCTATAAATTGACTTAGTATCTCTTTGGTTCAATGACAGTTCATTGAATGAAATTCTTTAAATTGCCAGGGCATTTATTTCCTCAGGGCTGTAAATGACAGGAAATATGGTCGCGGTCCCGAGACCGGACAAAGGGGGAAGAAACGAAGGGAACGCCGTACCGGAAACGAGGGAGAAACCCCGTAGAAACTGGGACGAAAGTGAGGAAACCGATAGCCGAGGGCTGTCCCCGTCCGAGGGGAATATCCAGAAGAAAGCCGAGAAGATCGTGGAGAGCCGAGGGGGCTTCGTGCTCTCCGGTAGATGTAAATGAACCTCTCGGTACCCATGCATTACCGGCTTGCTCCCTATCCCAAGAAACATCGATTTTCCTGGATTTTAATCCTCCGACTCCGAAAGAGAGATCGCGATTGCTACAGAAAGGATTTTTTAACTCTTTCGATGCCACGGGCATTATTTTAACTTGTACAATATAAATTGAAAAGATTATATCATATCATTATTATCATATATCATATCATATCATTATCATCATATATTAAATTAAAAATTTTGAAACGACAAAGACCTGCGAGATATATTAAAATGACGGTATAATCTTGCCGATAGTCAATAAAAAGTATAACCATAGCGAAAGGGTTAAAATACCGTCGACGTTGCGGGCTGATAAAAATATCACCCTGAGAGAGACCCTCCACCGGGTCGCCTCCATAGAGGCATTGATTACATCGATACGGTCCTAATAATAGTCCCTGGGATCGATTTTCTCACCCTCGCCCGGAGAAGTTCTACGAGGGGAACTCTTGGAACCATTTCGACATATGGGCGAAATTCCTATGACCGTGCAGGCGATATTGGACCAAACGTCCGGCGCCTTTAGGCGCTCTAAGTACCCAAAAAGTTAAATAATATATTTCTTCGGTTAAATGGATATTTATTTCCCCAGGGTAGAAGGAAAACCTCCGTTAAATCTGGATTTCGAGGTGTATCTTCTTTTTCATATCGCATACAAGTCATTGATTAATTCTTTGAACACGGAGCCATTTCGACATATGGGCGAAATTCCTATGACCGTGCAGGCGATATTGGACCAAACGACGGATTAGCATTTAATGCGATAACTTATCCGAGCACGTGGCACGCCAGGAAAAGTCGACGGAAAGACGGCCCCGTCTTGATTAATAACGAGGAAGCAATGCGTACCGGCTCGATATTCTCTCTCCCCCTTTTCCCTCACTTATCTCCCTCCGTTCCCAAGCTAAGAACGCAATAAATTATCCGTCAAGAGTATGAACCTAAGCAGAGGGTCGGCCTCCGGGACTCGTCAAAAAGAAGAATCGCCGTATGCAAATTGGCACCGGTACTTCCGCGCACCGCACCTTGAAATCCGAGTTCTAATCACCGACGCGACTTTTTCACTGTTATAAAAAAAAAGTATTACAATTTTATATACATATGTATATATAAAAAAAAATATATCGAGATCGACAGATCGTCCGCTTCCGCGTGATAGTGCCTTATCAGGGATAGACATCGCGAGTCTCGAATCGATCGATCGAGGTGCCTTCGAGAATATCGAATCGACGTGATAAGAGAATCGGCGAGACCCGCTGGTTATCAATTTCAACTTGACATTTCGCTCTGACATTTACGGCAATCCGATTCTAAAGCCGCGCGGAAAACAATGGCCGCATTGTATTCCGTATGCGGACATTAACTCGTCTATTGTGGACCGCGTTCCTAACCTCTCGTGCCGCGCATTTTGACGATCGCTCCTTATCGTTTAATGCTTGCGCCTCCACCTGACGATATCAACATCAGACGTAATCGTAAATCGATGATCGATGATTAACGACATTAATGATAGGCGATTAACGACATTAATAATCGACGATTAACGACATTAATAATCAACGTAATCAGGAAAACAGTTCGTTCCTTATCATTCCATGGTTGCGCCTCCACCTGACGATATCAACATTGGACAAAATTGCAAATCGGCAATCGGCGACATTACCCAGATAGAAATTCATGATCATCATACGAGGAAAATCGATTGAAAAACAATTTCCAGACGGAATTCGGTCAAGGAACTTTTTCGCGATCGATCGACCGGTCTCTCCCCCGTGATCGACCGTCAAGGTGCACCGCCATTTCGCATTATTTAATTACACCTCCGCAATGGCAAACCAGTTTTACAAAGGTGCGCTCTCACAATGCCGGAGCGGATTCCGCACTGCTACCGTATGCGGCCACGCGTGCCCGCCCTTTCCAACGCCGGTCGCTTTCCTCCTCGAAGGACTCCTTCCCGAATCGATCTCTCGATCGAGCCGGGAACGATTCTCGAGTTCGCGATGAAAAATTATGCACTGTTGAAAAATCGCGGAATTGGTCGACATTGCAAAATCGTCCAGATCGAGATTCGATATTTCGATAACCGGGAAAGGATTCGATATATCGATAACCAGGAGAAAATTCGATATTTCGATGACCAGAAAAAGATTTGATATTTCTACGATCAGAAAAAAATTCGATATTTCGATAACCAGGAAATAATTCGATATTTCTACGATCAGAAAAAGATTCGATATCTCGTCGACCATTAAACGATTCGATATTTCGCAAACCATTAAACGATTCGATATTTCGCAAACTTGCGTCGGGACGCCGCTCGCGAGCACGGCGTCTAATTGGAGGGCGTCGGTGCGCGTCGGTGAGAATTAGCCGCACAGCAGGCATAAATCGCATCTAACGCGGATTCCGCGCCGCGGAGGCGACCGCGTGAGAGGGTACGCGATCTTCCGGGGTTCCGCGTGTCTATTCCTCCTGATACACGGAGAACAATGCATCCCCAGAGGGCCCGATTTCCGCCTCGGGGTCGCGGGGTGCGGGCCCTCCGCGGCGACTCTGCCGTATGGTACTTGGGAATCTCCCGTAATTAATATAACTTGATTCAACTTAACACTGAACACGGAGCCATTTCGACATAAGGGCGAGATTCCTCTGACCGTGCAGGCGATACTGGACCAAACGTCGGACGCCTCTAGGCGCTCTTAGTATCCAAAAAGTTAAATAATATATTTCTTCGGTTAAATGCATTTGTATATTAGCAGTGTAGAAGGGAAACCTCAGTTAAATCGCGATTTCGAGGTGTTTCTTATTTTTCTTCATTTTGACATACGGGCGAAATTCCCCTGACCGTGCAGGCGATACTGGACCAAACGTCGGACGCCTCTAGGCGCTCTTAGTGGTTTAAGACCTTGCCGCGGATTTCAAACCGCGCGCCGCAAAGGATCGACCCGTCGCGGCGCCTCGAGATATATCGAAAGAGGCGTCCCGACGGCAGCGCCGCCTCGTCGTACCTTTTCCGCACCCTCGGCGTCCTCTCTCTCCTGCGTTTCTTCCGCGCGTTAACCTCTCCCACGCGGCGCATGCGCCGACGTGGTATTGCCAGCCCTGCGTTATCATTCGCGTCCCGGAAGTCGCGTCGCGTGGTTCCGGCGACCGCGTCGCGACGTCCAACCGCAGGTGCGTTGTATATCAATCTACCGGGTGACACGGAAACCGCAAAAACGAACCGGCGGCCTCGAAAGAGCCTCGAGTGATAAGAACACCTCCGGTGGACGGAGTCCAACCTCGACTCATCCTCGCGTCAGCGTTTTCCGCTATCTCCGCGCGCGGAAGGCGCGATATTCCGCGATTCCGCAACCCGGAAGAGCGGTGCCACTTCGCGGAAGCGTCTTTACTAAGCCGGAATCGCCGCGTTCGCGTGTAAACGGAGATAAGAGGTCCCTCCTTGACTCTTTGACCACGGAGCCATTTCGACATATGGGCGAAATTCCTCTGACCGTGCAGGCGATATTGGACCAAACGTCGAGCGCTCTTAGTAGCCAAAGGGTTGAATAATATATATATATATTTAATTACACGCTCTTTGCAGGCGACTTTGTTTCTTTTTTTTTTCCAGATCGACAAAGGATCGTCCTCGGCGACCGGGGACGAGGAAAGCTTCGCGAGATGGTGGCCAGGTTTCGTTCCCTGAGGAAGAGCCATCCTGGATTCTGGTCAGGACTTCTCAAGAAAAGAAACAGGCCGAACTCCTCCGAGGTATGAAACTGCGATATATGCATATATCTTATATAAAGTATATATAGTATATATAAATATGTATAAAACTGTTATTCAAATTGGATGCCTCGAAACAGGTGCTGACGACGTATTTAAAGCAGACCGGGGAGCCGCCCTGGACCTCGTACTTCGTGAAGTACACCGACGTGGTGAACGACCAGAGAGGCATGTCGCACTTCAACTGGCCCGTAGGTACGAGCAATTACCACGTACTGAGGACGGGATGCTACCCCTACATAAAGTATCATTGCACCAAGAGGCCAAAACAAGACCTGGCCATGGACGACAAATTCTTCAAGGCGATCAAGATTGTTAACCTCGGTACGCCGGGGTAACTCCCGGGGAAAAAGCGGTCCCGTGGCCCTCGGGTACTTACAAGGAAGTGCACCTCCCCGTGCTCGGGCCCTTCGTCCCATACGCGCAGAAACCGAGATTATATCGTAAATTTAACCCTTTGCACGCGGGGCCCATTTCGACATACGGGCGAAATTCCTATGACCGTGCAGGCGATATTCGACCAAACGTCGGCCGCCTTTATACACTCTTAGAAGCCAAAAAGTGAAATAATATATTTCTTCGGTTAAATGGATTTTCATTTTAGCATTTTTTTTCTATAATCACGCCTAAGTGATAACGAATAATCCATAAATCCTTATTTCGGTTTAATCAGGTATCCCGACCTTGATGTACGGATTGGCGGCGACGCAGCTGATCAGACACGAGGAGGTCGTCGCGACGCCCAAGGGAGACGTCACGATTTACTTCCTGCTACCGGAAGACAAAGGCTCGAGATACTGACCCCAGGATGGATCTCGATGAAGAGGATTATCGGTGCGGCCATTTTAATTAACATTAGATCATCGCGTGAAAATCCTAAATCGCGAACGATATCCCTTATCCAGGATCCGCGATCATTGTTATCCGCGAGTGGATCCGCAGCATCCGCCCCACGTCCTGGACCACGCCCTGGACGTTGAACCGCGGACGACGCGACCGTAACGCTACCACGTGGCCATTAAACCTCGTTACATGTAAACTCCCGGGATTTACCGACGTCAATCATCTGGTACTTTACGAGGCACCTCGTTGTAAATTACAGTCCGCGTATCCCCCGGCTCCGAGGATACTTGATACGGATATGACACGTTTTATCTCCGTGCCTTCCCCGACGTGCGGTCGAACCGCGAAGAGATACGACCGCGAGACCCCCGCGGATACTTGATCGATAAGGAAAATAAATAAATAAATAAATAAAAAAATGAATCGCGACAACGAGTGGATCGTAAAGAGTTTCCACCTCTCGGTGGCCATGAATGCCTCCCCTGCAGATACGGCATCGCCTGTGCAGGATGGGAGGGCATCGATGTCTCCCAATGTATAGTGGTGGATATGAATCCCTCCTTTGCAGATACGACATCGCCTGTGCAGGATGGGAGGGCATCGATGTCTCCCAGTGTACATTCTGGACATGAATGCGTTCCCTACGGATACGACATTGCCTGTGCAGGATGGGAGGGCATCGATGTCTCCCAGTGTACAATGGCGGATGTGAATGCCTCCTCTGCAGACGCGACATCGCCTGTGCAGGGTGGGAGGGCATCGATGTCTCCCAGTGGACCACTCTAATTTCTATTTTTTATATATCTTCGATATCTCGGATTAAATACCAGAGAATTGAATTACACACACCTGTCCACTCCACCGCGAGTGTACCTGTGCTTATTTCGAGTCTTACCGAGAATGAATCCAGGATGCATTGAACTCGAGGCGCCAAGGAATGTCGGACCGTAGGCGAGGGTGGAAAGATGGATTTTCATGGGAACCCATTGTGCCGGCACACAATGGCGAACGGGAAAGGATCCTGAAAATTCGCATTGCACCTGATCGGAAGAGACCGGATGCACTTTTGGTCGTCCTCGCCCATGAGATGCACTTTCGGATTCGGAGATCGCCACGCAAAGAGTCATCGACTATGAGAGCCTCCTCTCTCTCTCTCGGATGTCACGTTTAATTTTAACCCTGACCATTCGACCGGTTGACCGTCCCGGATCCCTCTCCTCTCGCCGTCTCCCAGGAGAGGGGAAATCTCTTATCCGTTTACACCGGTTGTTTACAAACGCGTACATCGTTACGGGCACCATCGAGTACATTTTTCCACCGTACGCTGGGAGACATCAATGCCGTGTCTGCAGGGGAGGCATCCATGTCCGCCATTGTACATGTCCCCTCTTTATTTCCCATTCTCTAATTTTTTAATATTCCGCTCCATATTTTCGAAAAAAAAAAAAATGACAATAGAGGTTAGAGACGAGCCACGTGGTTCTGATAAGGAGAGGAGCGATAACGTTCGATTCGGACGGAATCGAGGCGGCTTCCCCTTGGGCGCCGACATAACGGTCGGGCTCGAATGGCCTCCTTTCCGCGCGCGGGCAAGACGCGACGGAATCGCCGCACCTCTGGCTTTGCGTAACCGTTAACTCCCCGTAAATGCGTAAGCATTTACCTCTGCATTTCGGCATTCGAAGTCGCATCGGGTCGACTTTCTTTCATCCGACTATGCGGAGAGGGTCGCGGAAATTTCCGTCCACCGATTCCGCGCCCTAGCCCACGTGCTTCGCCTAGGAGAAATCTCGGAGAGTCCGTCTTATGAAAATTCTACGTTTTACGAAAATCGTCCGTCTAATGAAAATCGTTCGTACGAAAATTGTACGTCTTATGAAATTAGTCCGACTTATGAAAATCTTGCGTCTTATGAAAATTGTACGTTTTACGAAAATCGTCCGTCTAATGAAAATCGTTCGTACGAAAATTGTACGTCTTATGAAATTAGTCCGACTCATGAAAATCGTGCGTCGTATGAAAATTGTTCGTCGTATAAAAATTATACGTTTTATGAAATTCGTCCGATTTATTAAAATCGTCCGTCGTATGAAAACCGTCCGTTTCATGAAAATCGTCCACCTTAGAAAAATCGCCCGTCTTATGAAACTCGTTCATCTCATAAAAATCGTCCGGCTTCCGGTCCGCAATCTCCCCCGCAAGCGGTGCTCCGATTCGGCGGATCTCTAGACGCGGAATATTCCGGTCGGTCGTCCACCTGCTGAATCCGGACTCTCTCTTTCTCCCCGTTCGCCTCTCTCTCTCTCTCTCTCTCCGGTGCACCTGCGGCGTCCGCAAAACGCAGTTGCGGAACGCTCGCGGAGCCCCGGACAATGGCGGCGCTCGTAAAGTCGCGAGGAAGCGCCGTCGCGGCGCCCACAGACGCCTCTCATCCCCGCAGAGGTGAGCTCGCGTGTCCCCTCAAGACGAGAAGAAAGCCTTTCCTCCTTTTTTCCTTAACAAGTTTCATACGCGAATTTCGCCCATATGTCGACATTTCTCAACGTGTTTCACTTCGCTTTAACCCTTTGGCTACTAAGAGCGCCTAAAGCCATCCGACGTTTGGTCGAATATCCCCTGCCCGGTCATGCGAATTTCGCCCCTATGTCGAAATGACTCCGCGTTCAGAGGGTTAAATACTTAAGGGAAGTATTTTAGGTAAAGAAACCTCCTCGGGCCCCTTGCCTCGGGGAAATTGTACGTCTAGCGATAATTGGACGTTACCGGTTCGAGGGGCATTAAACGCCGATGCGGACGTCACTCGCGTTTCCGCCTCCAACGAATGGCAAGGAACCCGAGAGAGTCCCTCTTACCTCGACGAGGTTAATTCGCGATTTTATTGCGAACCGATACTCTTGGGCTCCGTGTCGCGAATCGCGAATCCGACGTTGCATAATTCCTACGAGGACGAGGCTCTTCCTGCTTGCGTAATTCCTCGGAATAAGCTCTTGGATATCGTGGCATTTCTTCAAGGAATGATCGCGTACATTCCCATGTCGGAAATTATTCCGAAGGAAAAAAAAAATTCATCGAGCCAAAGAAATATTCATAAAAATGTTCATCGAGTCAAAAAAATATTCCTAAAAATGTTCACCAAGCCAAGGAAATATTACTAAATATGTTCATCGAGCCAAATAAATTTTCCCAAAAATGTTTAGAGCCAAAGGAATATTCCCAAAAATATTTCCGCGGTTCGATGAGATTTCAATATCTCGATGCATATCGACCATACCCAGGGAATACCCCCGAAAGTCAAGAAATAGGATTAACGTCGTACTTTCTCCCTAGCTATTCGTGACAGCCTAGGCACGTCCACCGTGACTCTCCCTCAACCTTCATCGGCGAAAGTTCACTCGCGGAATGGCGGATGCACCAGGAGGCATCGCCATTCCCTAGCCAATATCTTCATCAAGGAATACCCTCGATATATTTATATATATCCTTTCATATCACCTTAACCCTTGCTACTAAGAGCGACTAAAGGCGGCCGTCGTTTGGTCGAATATCGCCTGCCCGGTCATACGAATTTCGCCCATACGTCGAAATGGCCCCGTGTTCAAAGTATTAAACGATTCCCCGTAACTCGGGTGACTTCTCGTCATCTCGCGGTGACCGCGAGACATTCCCCGGAAAATCGTTCGATTATTCGAGTTAGATCGAAGGTAGAAGGGTGGAGCGAGAAATTCTCTCGAGAGAACCAGTCGCCTGGAGTGCTCCTTCTTGCTTCTTATTTGTCTAAACTCGTACGGGAATACCTGTCCGGTAAGTCGAACAGGCTCTACCCGTTCCCTGCGAGTTTCCACGTGGACATCACCCCGGGACGGCCGGTCTACGGTTCTAATTTACCTCGTTGTAACTTCCAGGATTAGAGGGACTAGTCAGAATGACAAGATGGCCGCGGCGCGGCGAAAAACTGGAATAACCGCCACGTATAAACGAGAGTCTCCCGGGCTCTCTGAATCTCGGAAAAGCCGAAATATCGCTCTAGGTTGTTTCCACGGATGATTTTACATAGATTTACCTGCACCGTTCGAGCCGAGAAGAGAGGAAAAAAGGGATAAAGCGAGCGTATAAAACCGGAGCGTCGCGATATCAAACAAGATGGCGGCGGTATACCAGGGGCGCGCCCCGTGCTCGAAAAACTTGCCGTTTGATTTCTATGCTAATTCCACCCCAGAAACTGGACATCCAGATTCCTCGTAAATGCCGACTGGCTTGTTTTACTCGTCTCCGTTTATTTCGAGCAACATAGGAGTCGAGTAAACGCGATAAAAATGACCCGCACTGGGTAGGTCAACGACATCTCCCCTTTCTCTCTTCTCGCCATATTAAATTTAAATAACTCCCAGTAAATAACCTCTCTTATTCAATTAACCCGACTTTCGGTTAAAAAATCGTGCTCCCTCATCTCCAGAATCGCACGCGATTTCAAGCGGAATTTTTTTTTTCCCCGCGTATCTAGAGTCGCGTAACGACCGACGGGTTTAAATCGAATCGAAAGACTTTCTTCGATATCAAGTTTTTTCTACCGACCGCCCAGGTGCGTTCCGAGGTTTTACGCAACCGCAAAACGCAACGGGCTTAATGCGTTTCCGTTTCCCCCGCGGGTAACTCTCCTACATGGTTCAAACATGGCGAAAGGTTAAATTAACGAGGCCGACGTACCTTCTCTCCCCGAAGTCGAGAAATCCCGCGAGTACCACGGGCTCGATCTCTTCAGTGACGTCACCATTTTCCCTCGGTTTATTCGAAACACTTAATATTTATTCCGTGGTCGACCTAAGCTTCCAAAAGTGGTATAGTTCGTGCCACGAGGTAATATAACTATAGATGAGGCCTATGGTCGATTCCCCAGAAAGTGGAACCACCCCAGGGAGTCTATTACGTAAAGCAAATTGAGCGAAAATGTGAAAAACGAGTAGCTCACGGTATCACGGAACGTTTAGTCGCGGTGAAAATGCGAGACCATTCATACAGCGAATAAACCCACGTGAGATGAAAGTGCGAAAAGTGCAGCGCTCTCGTAAAAAAAAAAAACCGTAATAAACGCCATAATCCGATTTCGCTCTAATTTACGCGAGCGCCCCTCGCGGGAAACGAGGGAACCTCCGATCCTACGCGAGCAAAACATTTCCTACCGACGTAAATCACTTAAAGTGCCTTTAATTTAGTAATTAAGGTGCGCTAAGTGAAAGGCTAATCGGGATAATCACGATGATATACAGAACGCGATGATTTTAACGCGACCATAGACTAGAGGGGGATAATTTAAAATAGCGGAATTACATCGAGTCACTGGATCAAGAAAAATGTGGACAACTTCGATACATGGCGATCTACCTCTTTATACTACTTCGTGGCTCGTACTTCTCGATTTTCTATCTCCACGGTCCATTAATTCGATCAGCCTCGGGTATCGGGCGTGACGGCGCGGCGATCGCCACTTCGCTCGGTATATACATATATATATATATATCTATATTCGAAAGTAAAGGCACGGAACTTCGAACTTAATAGAAAAAATATTCGTTAGGGCTCTCACCATGTTCGGCGTGGTCGCGTCGTCGCGTCAGAGCGTCAGATGGTGCGACATGTCCCGCCGCGTCGCCGCATGCACCCGAGGCGCGTCGTTGCGCCGCCAGGTGAGGGCGTACGCGTGAACAATCTCACCGTAGGTGAACACACTCACTCACTCGCGCCCCTGGGGGGTGTCGCGTCGATCGGCGATCTACATAACCCCGCTACGTCACTTGCACCCCCGCCAGGGACAGTTAGGAATTAAGATACGCCCGAGGTAGGGAATTTCCGGGGACGAAGGAGCGTCGCGAGGCTTTACCAAAGCGGCCGGACACCGACTGAACCCGCGATCGGCACCGGCAGGTGAGCCGCCGTTCCACTCCGCGATTCTTCCCCCACCACCTGACTTTACACCGGCTTAGACGAACCGCTCACCGGTCTCCGTTCTCCTTTCTTCGGCCTGCCCCCCCCAGCGCCCCCTCGCCGTGCCAGAGGTAACGTACCGCTGATTTTTCTTTTTTTCTTCCCCTTTTCCTCACCCGATTTCGTCATTTACGATCGAACCGTTACGTGCCTTTTTAATGTAACCTATACGCGATGATCGACGATGCATCGAGCAGATATTCTGTTATCATTTTTTAAACATTATATACGAAATAATCAGGGATATTGAATGTCCTTTCTTTTTTCACAGATTATCCTGATTTCACGATTTGCAATCGACCCAACGGTTAGGTGTCTTTTTAATATAATGTATATGCGATGATCATTGTATTATCATTTTCTAAACATTATACACGAAATAAACGTAGATACTTCGTGTTTTTTTTTTCTTTCTCCTTTCCTCACCCGATTTCGTTATTTATGATCGACCCAACCGTTAGGTCTCTTTTTAATATAACCTATACGCAATGATGGACTGGATATTGCATTATCATTTTCTAAACATTATGTACAAAATAGTCTTAGAGATATTACGTATTCTCTTCTCACTGACATTGTTCCTTAAATGTTGGATCTAACTGCTGCGGACGTGTCTTCCTCTTCTTCCTCTTCTTCCTCTTCATCCTTTTTAGGGGCCTCGTTCTTTGTAGCGATGTATGGAGCAAATTCTACTTTGAAGGATTCTGACGCTGACAGAGTCCCGATTCGCGTCCTAAAAAATATAAACGAAATATATATTAAATTAATTGTTGACATTTGGATTGATTTTATGAACTCGGAATATTAACAACGCATGAGAAAGTACCTTGTTATGAAAGGTCCTTCGCGTTTTGGTCGTGCTGAATTGATATCCTTTAATACAGCGGCAAAATTTTCTTCCAAGTCACTCGTTTCCATCTCGAGCTAAAATTAATCGATAATGTATACATTTATATGTGTTTAGAATAATATTAGTAACATCATGGGCTAATTTAGTTTATTGCGTTCCTACCTTTCCAAAAGCAACGTCTACACGACCGTACTCTGGGTAGAAGGCGTTCTTTTTGGCTGAATAAGGAATTCCGTGCAGAAATTTATAAATCATAGATTTCATGTCGTTACTCAAAGTACCTATAAACATGTGAACATGAGGATTCTCAAATTGCACTCGTTAACACTTATAAAGTGATTTCGTAGTATTACGAAGAGTCGAACTAACCTTTTGAATTCGCAGGGAATTTCTTTTTCAGAAGACCTTTGATTGCTACCAATTCAGGCAAAATATCAGGGTACGCAACTACATGATCGAAGTCAGATAAGGATACTTCTCCTTTCTGAAAAATAGTAAATAATACACAAAATAGTAAATAATACAATTCAATGTAGTTTAGGCTTACGTCATTTCATGTTAAATGCCTTTACGTACCTGAATTTGTTTTATTATATCGATACCGCCTACCAGTGTTGCACCTGCAGCTTCCGCTTCTGCTTTTGTTTCTGGACATTTGCAGAAAGCCATGAGAGTCGGTTTCTGCGTCCTTTCAAACTTATGAGGGATTTCGGCAATCCGACTGAATTCATCTGCTAATTTTGTCTTCTTTACTCCCTGCGAAAGTTACGAGAGAAATTGAATTTCATTTGACACCATTCCGGTCAACTTAATACAGCTTTACAAGCATTAAATCATCATATAAAATATCTAACCTAAAATTGATATTACGCTCGACAACATAAATCATACTTACATGCATATCCAGCTCGATTACCGCAGTAACATACTCATTGGGTATGTTCATTACAGTCGGATGATGAGTTTCTCGATGGCATTGTACAGCCTCGGCGAAAGAATAACTTTTCCATGAAAAGTATCTCATCGGATAAACATTATCCACCGCCTTTGGTTTTCCGACGTCTCGTATTTGGAGTTTCTCAAGCTCCTTCATCAAGGCCCTTTTATCCCTTAAATATGAAAAACATACAATTTATCATCAAATAGAATGAAATAAATAAAACAAAGTAACATACTCACGGTTTTTTGCCTCGCTGTGTAATCGGTATGACTTCGACTTCTTTCACCACCCGTTTCGCTTTGGCCCTTCTGGCCTTTTCCCTCGTACCCTTTCTCGCTGCGTAATTTCTGACGTGCAATAAGGAACATATTCCATAATTCTTGCATAAATTGTAAGTATTACATGACAACCACCCTGAAAAGGACCGAACACAAAGATTATCGAACGTCTTCACACCCATTAAATGGCTTAAAATAATACACAGCATATTACAGTGAACATTCAAGTCAAAGGGGTAGGAAAATTTATTTCGCCTTCATTCCAATCAACTTTATTATTCTGTACAAATGTTTCGAAGAAAAATATCATATACAGAGTACCACACTTTCAATCGTAAATGCTAGTATCACGTTGCCTTACCTCCTATGGTACTTGCCATTTCAATTCCGTTTCACTATTCTTCTCGCCCTCTCGTTAAAATCGACTTCGGCACCGGGATTTCGACGTAGTAGGACAATCACCGTCTTCAACTTGCCTCAACTTGTCTTGACTTGTCCTCACCTGCTTCACCGCTCCTAACCTCTCTCCACGAACGACCAGGCCACATTGAAAGCACTATCGCCACGCGGTTTTATATATATAACTGAATTTTAGAGCTGCCATCTAGCGGCATTCTTAAGAACTCTGCAGGCTGGTTGGCTAGTCAGTTAGTATTAGTTGGTATTAGAAGCATTGTTTTGACGCATGCGCAGCACTACGACATTAGTTCTTGCCCCCATGACCAGATGACGCCGGTCGCGCACAATGTCGTCTTTTTTTTAGGTTATCAGCTATCCAGTTAGTATATATTTCAGTGGTGGTAACAGAACCGGGGTGGAGGAGGTATCTAGAGGATTGGAGGTCTTCTTTTGGGCCGTCCGTACTTTTCCACGGCCGTCGTCGGCCAATCTCTCGACGTCCTTACTCCTGGGGTTGGCCCTGGCCTTCTTCGCGAGCTGGCGACGAATGAACTGACAGATATCCGATGCGTACGAGAGTGCCGTCCCCGTGCACTCCAGGACGACGATGTCTGGTAGCAGCGACTCCGAGGAGTTCTTTGACGCAGAGGATGACAGCTTCCAACGGACGTCACGGTCTGTTCCGATTTTCCGACCTGGCGGACCTGATAGCAATTGCGTTTTACTCGTTAATTATATTTCAACTCGTATGGCGATTCTAGAACAACGTAATGAGATCCTATCGATGTTGGATTTAAATTGATCGAGAGAGATTTAGTTGATATCGAGAGAAAGTGACTCGACTGGGAACGTTAACTTTTCAATCTTCTCGCAGAAGGAGCAAACCTCGAGATTCGATTGCTACCGAAACATTGGATAAGAAAACGCCGAGCCCTGAGAAACAAGACGACGGGGGGACTTTTGTTAAGCCTGCCGACCCTAAACCGTTAGCGGAATTAAAGAATTATGTGGACGTCGAACAGAGGCAAAGTGTAGATAAATCTGTAAGTATTATCGAATGCATGGTGGTTGTGGTTGTTTTGATGTTTGAGAGGTTATAATTTACCGCAGGAAGAAAATGGGAAGGCGGACACGGACAAGACCGTCGGGCGAAGACGTTTTCGAGAACTACGCCAGCGCATGCAAACAGAAGACGACGACATTCCGGTTAATAGTTCTCCTCCTGACAGTCAAACATCCTCCATAGAAGGAGTTTATCCGACACCATCTAAGACATGTCATCCGTTTAGAATAATAGAACACGATACCCTCAGTTTACAAAGTATGACCTCCCTGGGACGCGTGGGTCGAATTTTGGCTGGGATTTCTGACAGTGCATCGGGTGTGCTCGCTCCCAATGCATCCCAATATCCTTCTACTGTCCTCCCTCGTGAATCTCAAGTATCCTCTATCGTTACTGTACCGAGCAAAGAAGAAGATACCGCATCTGGTAAAATTTCCCAGTCATCTAGCGTCCAAACCCTGTCCGGTGATATTCTTCAAGAGACCGCAAACGACAAGTCGGATTACCAAACTAACCTCCAAAGTAGTACCACTATGCTTCTCCAAGAGCCAGACGTAATTGCTAGTACGAAGAATAATGGCAAACCGATCAAGAATTCGCAAGATGTATCGCAGCCCGTGGTACCTGTGGCACCGCCAAGACGAAAGAAGAAATTAAAACCACAAACCCCTTCCGATCTTGCAGTAAGGATCAGTTTATTAATATCGTTACTAGGCAGTACTGAGTTTCTAGTTAATGGTAAGTCATTTATTTATTTATTTATTTATTTACAGCCTTCCGTTGCGGTGGCATCTGTCTCCACTTCATCACTGCCAAGCCCAGCGAGTACCATTGAATCGCTTACAAGAGAATTTGAACATTCGCTTGACATTCGATCAGCAACCAAAGGACAATACGTCGTTAAGCCTCAGGTAATTATTAATTCCATAGTCTCAAGTGCCTACCGATGAACATGTAATTTAGATATAATTTTTATTCCAGGATGAGGATAGATCAAAGGCTGAAGGACCGTCACTGGAGGAATTAGAAAGAGTGGAGAGAATGAAAGCGGAACTCTTGAGTCTACGGTCCAGTGAAATGTCCAGCAGCCCATTGGGATCGATGTCCAGCAACAGCATAGGTCGTTGTTCATTAGGGCCTCACAAGTTGTCTAACTATGCATCGCAGGGTTCAAAAGAGAGGCGTAAGTCAGCAGGTGACCAGGACATGGTGAAACAATTAAACATGTTTGTCCGAACGAGAACGGATTCTGGAAAACGTCTGACGGACATGGTGAGCCATAAAAAGTCCTTTATCAATTCTAAAAAGTAATCTCTGAGACGTGACGTGATTTGTATCTCGACAGGAAATCCTGGAACAGGTGACGGTGCTAAACCTGGACACCGGGGAAAGAGTGCCATTGAGTATAGCCGAAGACAAGTTACCGCAGTGCATAAACCCTTTGTCTCTGCACATCATGAGGCTGACCTCCGAGTACATAAGTAATTCTAGTCTGGAGAAGGAAAAGGAGAGCGACGAGGAGAGCGTAGACAGTAAAATGTCGAGCATACCCCCTGACGAGGACGTCACCGTAGGGAGGGTACGGAAGAGGACGCAGAAGCTGAAGCGGTTCCTGGGCTCGACGGTCAAAAAGACAATGGACAAGGCGAAGTCGATCGCCCAGGAGGTCTCCCACGCGAGACACAAGGAGGACGTGATGGACATCGCCGACGACGTGTGCACCGGTGAACAACAGTACATCAAGCTGAAGGCATCGAACAGCCACAAAGGACCCTACGAGTTCTCCTACCTCCAGCACGTCCAGGACTTAAGCGGGGAACACATCGGTCCCGTCTGGTGTATGAAGTTCTCCGCGTGCGGTCGCCTCCTAGCTACCGCTGGCCAGGACAAAGTAGTCAGGATCTGGGTACTAAGAGACGCGTTCAACTACTTCCAGGACATGCGAACCAAGTACAACGCGGAGAAGGTCAGCCCTACGCCTTCCCAGGAGTCCCTGGTCTCGCAGCAGTCCATGGAAGACCCTAACGTGGTGGCGGTCGCGTTGAGCGAGGTCGAGGGCACCAAGAGCCCTTTCATGCCGAAGCCCTTCTGCACGTACACGGGGCACACGTCGGACCTCCTGGACGTCTCCTGGTCGAAGAACTACTTCGTCCTGTCCTCTTCCATGGACAAGACGGTCCGGCTATGGCACATCTCCAGGAAGGAGTGCCTCTGCTGTTTCCAGCACATCGACTTCGTCACCGCCATAGTGTTCCACCCCCGCGACGACCGGTACTTCCTCTCCGGCTCGCTGGACGGCAAACTCCGCCTCTGGAACATCCCGGACAAGAAGGTCGCCGTTTGGAACGAGGTCGACGGCCAGACGAAGCTCATCACCGCGGCTAACTTCTGCCAGAACGGGAAGTTCGCCGTGGTAGGGTCTTACGACGGTCGCTGCATATTCTACAACACCGATCAGCTGAAGTACCACACCCAGATCCACGTTCGCTCGACCCGGGGGAAGAACTCGACCGGGCGGAAGATTAGCGGAATAGAGCCTATGCCTGGGGAGGACAAGATCCTGGTCACCTCCAACGACAGCCGGATTCGCCTCTACGACCTGAGGGACCTAAACCTCTCCTGCAAGTACAAGGGGTACGTTAACGTCAGCAGCCAGATCAAGGCGAGCTTCAGTCCGGACGGGCAATACATCGTGAGCGGCTCCGAGAACCAGTGCATTTACATATGGAAGACCCATCACGACTATTCCAAGTTCTCCAGCGTGCGGCGGGACCGCAACGATTTTTGGGAAGGCATCAAGGCACACAATGCGGTGGTCACTTGTGCGGTTTTTGCTCCCAACCCGGACAGCATCATCAGGCAGATCGAGGCACGCGAACAGTGGGAAGGCAAGGACGACTCGAAGGCCGCCGACGGTTCCGCTGCGGCCGCCGCACCCGTCGATCCCGTCGTCGAGCAACGCACCAAAGGCTGCGGGGGACACGTACTCATCAGTGCGGATTTCAACGGCTGCATCAAAGTGTTCCTCAACAAAACCAAACCAAAGCACAGCTCCTTACCGGCTTCCGCCCTGGCGTAACTCGACATTAATTAACCCATTTGCATCGTAAGGAAGTAGGAAGGAGAGGGTCCTTATCACCAGATTGCAGGCTGGATGATAGGGACCAGGAACACAGCGTATATGTACGATAAGGATGCAAATGGGTTAAGGTGATGTCTAGGTGGCATGGAGATGTCTCGTTTATGAAACTTCTCTACGAATTGAATCTATGGAATCGCTTCGAACTTGACAATGTGGATGTGGAAGCTGCGAAGAGGGTCCTGACACTCTCCAAATTTCAATTTTTTTTAAATTTGTCTGTAGATGTTTTTAAAATTATTTATAGAAAAATGATCGGGGAGATGTTTCATGAAGGATTGACTTCTAGGGTGCCACTTTCATATCGCCTTAAAGATGCCGCCTAATGAACTCGCACCTCCTAGTGTTTCGGCCGTTAATTGTAATCGACGAAAGAGTCAAGGCACTACATGCTAAAAGTATGCTCGATGCGCTCTCGAGGAAACCAAGCCTCTCGTTCGACGGAATTCAGCGCCCCTGGCGGACGCCGAGCGAGTTAAACGGACCGCATTTCCCGAGTAGTAGCTCATAAGAAATGCGCCGACGCTTTTTAGGGTGACGCTATCGCGTTCTTATCAGCTCGCTTCGAGTTCTCTTTCGCATCTTGGTTTACGCAACGTTCCGTTTCACTTTTTTCGCCGACTTCGGTCGAGGGTATCGCTATAAATGGATTTTGGAGGAGAGTGACCGTGAGAAAAAACCGTGTTATCCGTCGGAATAACGAAACTATCCCGCGAGAAAGTGATTTTCCGCACTAACGTCGGGTAGCAAATTTCTAACGCGAGCATTGGCGCGACTTTTCACCTGCGGGGAATCCGCGTCGGATAGGCGGAGACGCGGATGCGAGCTACTTTAAGGGCCCTCGCGACTACCTATGTAAATAATTGCGAGAGGGGCAAGGGTTAGGTGCACTGTACAAATGGAATTGTAAATATTTTCAAGTGTCACGGCGCGAGCGCTTATATATAAATATATCTCGACGATATCGCCATTTCGCGAGCTGCGTGCACAAAATGAAAAAAAAGAAAAAAAAAAAGATGCAAGGAATCATTGTTCGCGACGTATATTATGAACGAGGTGCGCCGAGACGACGCATCGATGTAACCGATTTTTTTAGTTTACCGATTGGTGAATAAACATCAGCAACGAGCCCGGAGGATCTTTCGAGAGCTTTTCCCGAGATAAGAAAATTAAAAAATCTCCCGTCGATTTTTCGGAGGACGATAAGCAAAGAATTCAAAAGTCCCATAGAAGCCCAGATCCTTTGTTAGCGCTTGATGCTCTTAAATTTGGTAAATAAACCAAAAGTAGGGTTAAAAGAGAGATTCCACGTGTTAACCAACGATATCCCACACGTGGGAGGAAGATAGACGCATGTAGAAAGGCAATTGTATGATAAAGAAACAATGCAATCCCCTGTATATCGCCACGAGGTGAAGAGGAGAGATGATTACAGCGCCGCCATCGGTTGGCTAACGTACTATTCGGCCAGCATCGAAGGTCCGTATCCTTCTGCGCTTCTATGGAGACTTCTGAATTCTTTGGAGGTGTGCAAAAAAGCCGGTCGCGTGTGCCGGCGACGGACGCATACTCGTCTGCAGGTCAGTCACACGGACGGCGCCGGTCGGTCGGTCAGTCGGTCGGTCGACCGCGTTCCCTCCACCGATCCATCCGGGTGCCGGTCCGACCCTCTTCGCCCGTCCTCGACACGATTCCGCCGATCCTTCCGCTAGGCGGACGCGAAAACCGCGTTTCCGTCCGAATATACACCTACGATGTAGGATGAAGATTTTTTTAAATGCCTACGTTGCCGACGTTGGTTTTTATATAGACGGCTGGGTAGAATTATATTGGGTATTGTATCAAATGGCATACTCCACCTGTCGTTTTCCTACAATAATTATTAAGAAATCCTCTGGATTCGTGCTTTCCGAGGCCCTAATTGACTGCAGAGGGACCCCCTGCGCCATCTGTGATTTCCAGGGCAATTAAATTTTCACTCCGAGACCTCGTATTCCCATCCTTTTGGCACAGAAGCGCACAACACTTTTTTTGCCTTTATCCCGTTGAAATGCGAGTTCATCGACTGCCAGAGTGTTCTAAATTCTCGTAAAACTCTCCTGACCCTTTCGATTCTCATATCAGAGCCTTCGATAATTACATATCGATCGAAATACCAGAAAAATGTTTTCCAAAAATCCAAATTTTCAATGTGTCGGGACAATTCCTAGATGATCAGGAGTGATGTGTCAAAGTTTCGGACGGCTTGGTCCGATACCCTTAAAAAAAAGTGTATTCGAATCGGCTGATTTGAAGGGTCTTAACAGTGTTGTCGAAATAGCGAACGCTGGAGTATGCAAATTAACCTGATTTTGATGAGGGCACCGATTAGCGCCCGGGGAGGGAGGTCCCTCGGGAGAGACGCGTCCCGATTAGGCCCGACCGGGTCCGATTAGGTCGGCCCTCCGGAGGAGGGGGTCCTGCCCCCGTCGCGACGGCGACGTCGGGCCCCGATATCTCGCCGGCGAGGGGACCTATATAACTGTACCCCGGGTCTGGGTCAGGGGGCGGGCCGCCGCGTTTATAGTATACTCCGTATATCGGACAGGTGTATCCCATTCCGAGTCGACGAGTTCTCGGGTACACCTTCCTCTCGAGCATCTAGCTACCGGGGAACCGCGGGCGGAACGTCGCTACAGCCGGACGAGCGCGGCCGCAGACCTCGGCGAGACGGCGAAGAGGGATGTCCCGATCGGGTCGCTAGTGCCGGTCGAGTCAGTGTCGCGACGCCCCCCGCGACGCCCTAAGCCCTGCGACCGACGACCAACAGGTACCGGACGACCCCCTGGGGATCGGGACGAGACGGCGCCCGTTTCCGTGGTGCACCTGTGTCTGTGTCGTGAATCCGACGACGGAAGGGTTGTGTGGTTTTTCGATAGCGACCCTCGCCTTGGAGGGATAAGGGACTTCGTCTTATCTAGTCGCGGTTAGGGTGCCACTGGGGCTTATCGTGTTCCCGAGGACGGGGTATGGCACTTGGGCCTGGGAAATCGCGTCGGGGAAGACGCGGCGGAACGCACGCGGCTGGGGATGTCACATTTCCATCCACGCGGTAGGCGCGTTAGGGTTTTGGGATGTTGTTGGTGGAGAAGTCTCCAGGCCATTCCGCGTTGATTCCGCGTGTATGGAAATGAAGCATAGGACTTGGATCGACCGGTCTCTTTTTACGGACCGGAACCGTCCGACTCCCTCTTCGTCTGCGTTTCCTCTGGATCGATCTCGACGGACGTGCGTTTTCTCCGCGATCCGTTACGTCTGTTCATGAAATTGCCTTTTTTCGAAAAAAATGAAATTTCACGGGCCGCGCTCTTAGAGCCTCCGTGATAATATTCATAAACATTATCAAGGAGGCTTATTAAATATTTAGATATTTTTTTTCCTATGTATATATCACCTTAACGCATACGCCGTTGCGTCTCGTCGACGGCGAGAGAAAAACGAAAGAAATGGGAAAGGAAAGAATGGAAACGCTTTAAGCGGCTTCTTACCCGGACGGTGACCTTTTGCTCCTCGTCGAAGGCCCCTCCAGGGGTCTAGGGGTCTCCTCTAGGAGTTCCGACTTTTTTCGCCTCCTCCGGATGAGTTTCCGCCACGTGAGCCATTCCGCAATTTCACGCACCCGGGTACTTAGCATTCGTCGTCCCGACTAAGCGCGGTAGAAGCGTTCACTGTTCGATTGTTTGAACAACGGTAGAATAAACGAGTAACTGGGTACATACCCCATGGGTACATATCCACATGGGTATCCAGTCGCCGAGTCGGAGAAACTACTATACCAATACTGTAATATAGTACCACACAGTACAGTGCCATATTACAGTACAAATACTACAATTACAATACCGTACAGGTCCCACGGTCCGATTGGCCAATCGGCGCCCTCCGCCACGCGCATGCGCGCGCCCACGGCCGCGCGCATGCGCACCCGGTCGGATTAAGAGATCGACCCAGTTGGCGGAGCTCGCCGCGAAAAAAGAAGCGGGACCTCGGGGACGTAGCGGTCCGGTCGATGGAAAGATCCGTTGGGTATGGGCCGATCGGTTTCGTGGATCGAGGGATCGATTAAATGGGTCGCGCGGTCGTTCCGTGCCGGAATTGCGGCGGCGGACCCAGAGGAGAGGCGGCCGAGATCGCGCCTCGTAAATCACGGCCGATATTATCGATCCCTATCCGCGGGAAATAGTGCTCGATATATATCGACGCGTGCCTAGATCGAGCGGGATCGATATATCGATCCGGCTCATATATGTATATTATTATTATTATCATCATCATCATCATCATCATTGCTGGGATATCCGGAATTACCGCCCAGGATCTCCCTGCGGAAAATCCACACCCAGGAGACGCGTAATTCGGGACGATTCTCGCGATTCCCCTCGTGCGGCGAATCCGGGCCGGGAAGGCCGCGGCGGAAGGGAAAGCGCGCGTAAAGTTCGTCCCGTCATCGGGACGGTCGTAAGTCGCACGCGGATTCTCGTCTCGAGGTCGACGAACCGCGGAGCCAATGTCCTCCGTGTCGATCAACGCGTAACGACGCGGATTCCGCATCCGGAGAGGAACTATGAATTTTCCGCACTCCTCCCGGGGATAGTTAGATTTACGGAAGTTTCAGCGCCTTTCGCGTGGCATCTTAACCTCTCCGGAATTCCGTCGGCCGTAATCGCGCCGGTTTCCGGGCCGCGTAGTCGGACGCGGAGAACGCGCGGAGGCCTCGGGCCTACTTGCCTAGATTTCGAGACGGCCCTCGGCGTTTTTCCCACCGTGCGGAATCCATGCCAGGCGGATCCTCCGCCTTGGCGAAAAACCGGCGCGTTTAGGCGGCGGTAACGATTCCGCGGCCGCGGGGCGAAGGACGGCCGCGAAAGCCCGGAATTTGGGACGCGGTTCAGAGGCCTTTGGCGGGGCTTCCGCAGGAGTTGAGCGATAACTGCCGATCAAACACGCCCTGCCGCTCCTAATTCCGGAACGAACGAGGCCGCGGCCCGGACGCGGATTTTCTTGGCCGCCTTGCGGAGGAACCGCAGGAACGAGAGTAAAGCCACGGACTTTACGCTGACCGATTGACACCGAGAAGGGTGGCCGGCTTTTTTACCGTAACCGTCGAGCACTCGGCTTGCCGACTTTTTTATTTAATCCCGTTTCATTTAAGCGTTTCCCGTTACGCTCGATTATAATTAAGTGGATGTCCAAGAGAGAGACCAGAGATTCGCTTGACATCAATCGGTCAACTTACTTATTCTAGTGGTGTCGTTAATAATTAATTAAATTAAACTCACCGCGTAATCTTGGGGGAAGGCCTCCTTTCCGAAAGTAACCGCCAGCTGCGACACGAAAATGCGTCACGTTGTATGCTTTCCATTTATTTTATATATATATGTTGAAAGATGTTAATAACCTCAAAAAACGCGAAATTGCCCAACCCTACTAGCAAGGGTACGGAGGATAAATATAATATACAACTGCGATATAAAAACCCATCACATTTTGTACTTACCCACCGTGACGCTTTTTCGTGTCGGGAGCTAGGCTTACCTCCGCCAACAGAAGTTTCATTTGAAAAGTATTCTTGATAATGGAAAGACTTCCTTTCCTTAATGATATTCCGCTCCCGAGGGGGTGGACTTATAGAGGAAAAATCGCGACACCGCTTATGGGAGCAATCGCCACCATGCGGATGCGCCGGGAACTATTGGGTTGATGCACAAGTCACTGCGGATTTTTATATTTGAAAAAAATCCGCAATGACTTATGCATCGACCCAATATATGTATAAGTGGATATCTCGGCGCGTCCTCGAGAAAGTGGTAGCGGCACTTCCGCTACGGACGTCTCGTCCTTAGCCAGCCGCTTCCACTTTTTTACCCGACGACGTTTCATTTTCGCTAAGAAAGTCGGAACTTTTCCCCCCGATTTGCGATTCGTCGCGACCGGAAGCTGCGGAGATTGCCCGCCGTCGCGGGAACAGCTGGTGGATCCGGAACGCGTCGAATCGACCGCGAGGACGAGTTCCCCGTTCCCCGGAAGTGCGTGAAAGGCATGAAATCATGAGAGGAGAAAAAGAAACGCATTAAATCTGGAAAGGATTAACCTCTAGAGGTTCCTTTTCGTAATCCGGTCTAATCAATGGGACACGTGGCACGTAAAGCACGTGATCGCTCCGGATGTTAGGTTAGAAACCCGAGACCGGTCTAAGTGCACGCGCCACGGTCATTCATCGTCCATCGGCGCTAAGTGCAGCTGCAGGTGCATCTCCCGACGTCACGGCGGTCGCGTCTCGTAACCGCAGGCTGGTCGTAGCGGTTTATTTTCCGCCTGGTTGGACACGCACCATAATCAATTAAACGCGTCCAAGGGAGACGGGAACCCCTCGGCAGACCCCAGGGACGTCTTCGAGAGCACCGCCTGCACTTAGGGTCGCTATTGACGAGGGAATCCCGGGAGTCCTCCGCATCCTAGGTCGATCGTATGAAATTCCCCTGGCTAACCTGAGCTTTCTCTTTCAGGGTACCAGGATCGTCTCACCGTGGACGCGAACGCGGGATGCACCTGCACATCCTCATCTTAGCCTGTCTCCTATTAAAGGGGGTAAGTCGTTGATGGTCTTCGAAGGACGTCGAGAGTACCTCTTGGAGCTGGATGATCCCTTCTGGACGGAGGGTCTCGGAGAGTCGCGGGTGGACCTGGGGGAGCGTCCACGAGGAACCGTTCGCGGCATCTCCGAGACCCCCCAGAAGCGCCGGTACTGGTTCGAAGCGAGTACGCGCGGGTAGGAGAGGGTTGGGTGCTCGACCTGGGTAATTACCGCATTATAACCCAGATATCCCGGTGCCGTTAACCAGTACCCTGACCCAGAGCCAAGGGCTACCCGTCGGCGACGCCGGTCTGCGGAATCGGAGTCCGCACCGGTCCGTATCCGCGACGTAACGTTCCACCGTGGACGCGTATGGAGCGGGCGACCTCCTGGTTTTTCCTCTACGCCGTAGCCGCGGAAATTCCGGAGAACCTCGCGCGTTCCCGTACGGAACGGTCCCGTAACGACCTCCTGGGGATAAAGAAGAACCAGGGCACTTGGGGGGGCCTCGGGTCAACGTGGGATTGAAATTCCGTCGCGGGAGACGTCGCCGACGGTAGGTAACGGGCCCAGACGGAGGCCCCTTCGTCGTAGAGGAGCCCAAGGTGGAGGGATCTTCGGCTTCCGCCTGGGATAATCGATTCGGAGGAGCGGTCCAACGGTTCCGTTTGGCCCGGTTGGTTCTTCGGGGTCCCTCTCTCTCTTCGTTCCATATTCCCAGCATGCGCGAGAGGCCCGGGGCGTTCCCGGTGGACGTCGCGCCGGTCAAGGACACCCTGGTCCGGACTTTCGTTTCGCGGTCTAACGAAAATCCCGCGCCACTTTCCGGGTCGACCTGGATGGGATCCACGTGAGGTCTCGTTTCGGTTCGAGGTTGTGGACGAAGAGGCCGAGGGATCGGGAGGAGGGGCTGGCCGATCGACCCGTGGCGGAAGACCCGCACGCGGCCCGTTATGCCCGAGAGGGTCACGCCGGTCCCCGTCTAGGTGCTCTCGTTCCTGGACGCTCCTCGAAGGGCATCACCGATTCGGGCGAATCCCGCGTATCCGTTAACCCGCCGCGGAATTTCTACCGCGGTCGGCTGTCCGGAATGCCAAGCGGCGTCGCGGCGGATAACGAGGCTTTCTCGAAAAGAACCGTTCCCCGAAGGCGCGACACTTTGGTTGATCGATCCGTCACCGTTACAGCTGGCTCGCGCGGAGGAAGTGGAGGTCATCGAGGCGATACCCGGGGAGGAGAGCCGCAACGAGAACTCGGCCGGAGGTACGCGCCAGGGTGCGGAGATGAGCGGCTCGGATCAGCTGGCCCTGGAGTCGGAGAAGGACGCCAGCGCCGGGGGACCGTACAAGTCGTCCGGTCACCGAGGACACCCTCTGTCTCTTCCACCGAGTCGAGGGTTGCCCCGGCCACACCACAACGTCGCCTACCACGGTCCCCCGCCGCCGCCTCCACCTCCACCGGAGGCTATCGACAAGGTCTACTCCACCGGGGGCGGAGGTGAGGACGCCTGGCCGGCCCCCACGCCCGAGATGCCCAAGATCATCTCCCTCGACGTAAAGTGCGAGAAGAACCTGATGAAGGTCTACCTAGGGTTCGACAAGCCCTTCTATGGCATCGTCTTCAGCAAGGGCCACTACGGGAACGTCAACTGCGTGCACCTGCCGGCCGGGTTGGGCCGGGTGTCCGTCAACTTCGAGATCAGCGTCCACGCCTGCGGCACCGCCGGCAACACGGAGAACGGCCTCTACGGGTACGGGGCCGAGTCCGGGTCCGGGACCTACTTCGAGAACATCATCGTCGTGCAGTACGACCCCCAGGTGCAGGAGGTCTGGGACCAGGCGCGCAAGCTCCGCTGCACCTGGCACGACCTCTACGAGAAGTCCGTCACCTTCCGGCCCTTCCCCGTGGACATGCTGGACGTCGTCAGGGCGGACTTCGCCGGGGACAACGTCGGCTGCTGGATGCAGATCCAGGTCGGCAAGGGACCCTGGGCCTCCGAGGTATCCGGCCTCGTCAAGATAGGACAGACCATGACCATGGTCCTCGCCATCAAGGACGACGACTCCAAGTTCGACATGCTCGTCCGGAACTGCATGGCTCATGACGGGAAACGCGCTCCCATCCAGCTGGTGGACCAGCGGGGATGCATCGCCAGGCCCAAGCTGATGTCCCGGTTCACCAAGATCAAGAACTTCGGCGCCAGCGCGTCCGTCCTCTCTTATGCCCACTTCCAGGCGTTCAAGTTCCCGGACTCCATGGAGGTCCACTTCCAGTGCACCATCCAGATCTGCAGGTACCAGTGCCCGGAGCAGTGCTCCGAATCAGGACCCCCGCTCCTGGAGGGGCCCAACAACCTCCTGGAGAGCCATTTAGGAGCTGGCCACCCGGACACCGGCTACGGCCTCCCGCTTCCGCTGCCTCTGGAGGCCTACCTGCAGACGGCCGCAGCGGGTCGACCGCGGGACGAGAGGCGTCGGAAGTCCCGGGAGGTCCAGCCCGACGGCGATGGCGTCGCTCCTCAGAAGACCGTCGGCGTCAACAGGGTCATCCGCGTCGTTTCCACCGGCGACCTCACCTTCTCCATCGACGACTCCGGGAACGATCGCGCCGGGTCCACGATGATCTTCCCCGTCAGGGAGACCATCCCCAGCTCCTCCATGATCTGCATGACCACTCCAGGCTTCGCCGTGACGCTCGTCGTCCTCTTGAGCGTCCTCCTGGCGTCTTGCGTCCTCTCCACGTATCTCTGCGTGCGGTTGAGACCTTTTGCCAAGACGAGAATGGACGTCGTCCCCGGGGCGAGCTACGCCGATCAGGCCTCACCAAAAAAGTCTATCAAGACGTGCTTTTACTCCTAAGACCTACGTCGCGACGCCTAGGCGTCGCTCATGTATGTACTCTTGAGGCTGCGTCGTCGGTCGGTCTCGAGGATGACCCGGGGCGACAAGGCTTACCCTCGACCCCGACGACGACGCCAAATCGTTAGTCGTGCTCCTCGTCAACGTTGTCGAACCTTCTGCTAAGTCCTCGGTACTTCAATGAAGTACTTAGAGTGCAAACGAAAATTCTCGAGCACCGCGTTTATTTATACATAATTGTTTATACATAATTAATTACATATCTATACCCGCGATAATACACAGAGAACGATCAAAGGAGCGTAATAGTTTACATAGAATTTTTTATTAGCGTTCATACAAGAGACCTTTTATTTTATCCATATTACGCGAGAAGAGAATTTATTTATTTACCAGTTATTAGGACTTCCGATGTTACGGAACTCGATCTAGCTTTAATTTAATTGTTAAGTTTGATCAATTGTTGCGCAAACATTCGGAGTGCCGAGTTCGGATGTGAGACTTTGAATAATATAATCTTCTATTATTTATTTTATAATTTATATCGTTTATGTTATTATCAAAATGCGACCGACTCTCGTCGTTATCGATTTTCCCATCGATATGAATAATAAATAAAACGCGACGGCGTTATTCCCCCGGAATTAAATATCATGATAAGGCACGACCTCTAATCAAAGTCCTTTTTTTATCACCTTGTCCTCCAGACATGAAACTTTATATTCAATATTATTACATAATCTATTATTTATTTTATAATTTATATCGTTCATATTCTTATCAAAAAGCGACCGACTTTTATTGTTACTCCCTTAGAATTAATTATCAAGTAGTAAGTGACATCGATGATCCGACCTTCTTATCAAAGTACTTTCTTACCACCTTATCTTCCATCGTGGTGATAACCGCATGTAGTTCTGAAAGCAAAGTGACAATTTTCTATCCTTCGATCGTTTACCTGGAAGCGTCAGGAAGGAACAGGAAGTGGACATCGCGATTCCCAAGACCGGCGACGGGAACGCACCTATCGGGATAAACGCGAAGTTTTAGGCACATTATGCAAATTAAGGCTACGTAGGAGGTCTTCAAGGATTCCCACGAAGTAGACGCGAGGATCTTCTTCAGGATCGTCGGAACAAAATGGCGGCTGTCGCTCGCATTTTCCCTGATGATCCTCTGGATAAAAAATCCATCAAACGTCCCCTCATCTCGCAAGATGGCGGCCGATGTACTCTAGGGGATGTGATAAAAAAAATCCAGGAAAGTAAGGTGATAAAGCGAGGCTAATTAAGGTAACTAGAGTCGAAAAGTAGCCTCTTATCGTCTTATCGGTCGCTCGTGGGCACACGGCCCTAAACGATTGGAATTCTAGGAGAACCCCCCAGGTTACATGAGATTAACATATTATTTCCTTTACAAAAGTGATATCCATATAAAGTATCTTAAGAATTAGAAAACGTCGAAGCTATTTATAAGCGTAGCCTTAAGAAAATCGGAATGTCATTAGATTAGAATCTCGTCAGTTAAGGTGAAGTGAAACACGTCGAGGAACTTGACCGACGACGGTAAAGAAGACTTTTTTAAATACCTACGTTGGTTTTTATATCGATTTTAAGTTAAAAAAATCTTTTTAAAAAATCCAGATATTGTCACGTGTCAAAGATTGACAATTCGATTGAATACTTTTTAAAAAAGTGTTTCATTAAGATATGAGAGGGGTATCACTTCACCTTAAAGGATCATCCTCTTACCACGAGGTCCGGTCCTTCGACCCTTCTTCGCGCCGTTCCTCAACCTTCGCGTAAGGTCGCACCTGGTGAAAATGAAATCGGAAGTCGTCGAAGGAGTCCCCGCGTCGCTCGGTAACGGTGAAACTGACTTAATCGACCCGGATGGTCGGTCCTCTAGGGGCCCTTAACGTTAATAATACGGAAAGGTAAACGCCGTAGCACTTAGGGATCAAGGCGTTAGGTATAAGTCGGAAGTCTCGGATGCTCGTCTCCTCGGCCTCGGCCGATCCTGAGAGGCAGGGCCCAGGGGCGACGACGATGGAAGTCTTTAAAAAGAGCGTACAACCTACTCTACGCACTTACGGTACTTTGTACAGTATATTGCACATTGTCTCTCACGGCATTGGCGCGCGTCCGATACGGCTCCGGTCAGCCCTGCTCGACCGGGCTGGGAGTCGGTTTTTGCATCTGCTGGTGGTGGGACTGGACCCTGGACTGGCCTCCACGGGTCCTTTCCGAGCATCGGACCCGGGACAAGCCGTAGGATAGCCACCCGTTGGCCGTCCCGTTCTTCCGGTTCCCCCTGCCGACCCGGCGTTGGGTCTGGAGGCGGTGGAGCATGGCCCCGGCGACCATCGCCGAGACGACGGCGGAAAGAGCGACGATGACGAAGAGGGCACTGAATCCGGGCATCGGGAGGCAGATGCCATAGACGATCTCCTCTCGGATGCGGCCCTGGAAGACGGTGACAGCCTCCGCGTGGGCGTCCGGGCTGAAGGCGAGGTCGGCCTCGGAGATGACGTCGTAGATCCCGCTGACGCCGACGTCTGCGCTGCGCACCTTCCGGTCCGAGACGACGAGGGACCGCTTCCGGCGGGCGCCGACCGGCGAGACCGGCGCCGAGGTGAGGTCCTCCTCCAGGTTGCGGGGCCCGTGTGGGAAGCGGTCCTCGTTCTCGTAGCGACTCACCTGGGGCGGTTCCTGCCGAGCGAAGGACTCTCTCAGCGGCCTGGGATCTCGGGCGCGATCGGGGGAGTCCGCACTAGGACTTACCGGGAGGTCCTCCTCGTCCTTGTCCTCCTCCTGGGGCTCGTTAACCGGCGCCGGCTCCCGGTCGCTGGTTTGGGCCTGCGCCTTCGGGGAGGACTTCTCCACCCCCAGGAAGTGGCCCCCGATCGAGGTCGTGCCGTCGCCGTTCTGGATGACGTCGTCGTAGATTGGCGACTCCTCCTCGTGGACCGCGGAGGGTGGATAGGGTGGTCTGACCTGGTCCTTCCGCTCCTGGACGTAGTGCCCCACGGATCCTCCGGACTGGCAGTGGTCCAGGCAGCCGTGTCGGCAGATCTCGACCTTCGTCAGAGGGGATGCATGTCAGGGACGGAACCCGGGGCGGAATGGGAACCGCGAGGATTAGGAACGGCGGCGACAACGTTACCCCTCGCGCTCGGCTCACCTTGCACTTAATGTGGACGCTCAGGGCGTCCGGGAACTTGAACGCGTGGAAGAAGGCGTAGGCGATGACGGTGGCGCGGTCGTCGGAGCCCCTGGCCTTCAGGAACCGGCTGATCATCTTGGGCCTCAGGACGCAGCCGAACTCGTCGCTCAGCTGGATGGTGTGGCCACCCCCGTCCGAGGCCGCGCACGACTTGACCCTCATGTCGAACTCCCCTGGACGGAACGCGAGGAAGAGAGACACCATGAGAAACTCGTCCCCTGGACGGGCTAGGAGCTTCGAGTACCTTGGAACGCGCGTCCGCTCGGTTTACCTCGGTAATCGTTTATGGCGACGACCAGGGTCAGGGTGGAGCCGAGCGGCACGATGCCCGAGACCGGCGGCGCCCAGGGTCCCTTGCCATGTTGGATCTCCATCCAGCAGTCCACGTTGTCGCCTGCAAGTCGACTCCGGGTCAGCACCTCCCCCCAGGTCCCCGGGACGATAATCGCCCGCGGTCTACCGCAGCCTCTCGGTTTTCCCTTCTCTCCGGGCGCCTATCTTTGCTCCGGGTCCTCGACGGGGAGAAACCTGACCGAGTCGGCGCCCGGAGAGAGAGGAGCGGCTCCGAGAGGCGACCGACGCATCCAACGCACCTCGGAAGTCCAGCTGGATCACGTCCAGGTCCGCGATGACCATGGGAGGCTTCGACGCCGTCTTCTCGTAGTCGTTGAACCACTCGCACCGCAGCCTCTTCGCCTCGTCCCAGACCTCCAGCAGGTCCTTGTCGTACTGGACGACCACCGTGTTCTCGTAGAACTGGCCGTGCATGTCCGGCTTCGTGCCGCATCTGAAATGCATCGCGGAGCACGTGGTCGTCCCATAAGACGTTCGAAACGCATCCCCGACCACGTGGTCGTTCCATAAGACATTCGAAACGCACCTCGCGTAGGCTATCCGAAAGGAGAAGAAAGTCTGGCCGGTGGAGGGCGGGACGTAGACGCATCTAGGGTCGGCGTGCTGTCCCTTGGAGGAGACGATCCCCTCGAAGGGCTGGGAGAAGGACAGGTGCACGTCCATGTGGTCCTTGCCGCACATCACCTCCAAGGACCGAATGGCCGGCATGCCCTCTGGCCTCTCCAGCGGCCAAATGTCGCTGCTACTTTCGACGCTCCTTGATGCGGCCACCTGCGGATTCGAGACGCGGAACGTTAATCCTTCCCTTGCCCCCCTGGTGGAGGCGCGTGCCTTCCTCGATTCGGGGCTCTCGATTTGACAGGGTCGACCGGAGTCGTTGGTCGTCGCGACGGCGACGCGCTCCTCCGCTGTAACGGGAGAGGCGTCTTTACCGCTGCATTAACGGTCGGCGTTTTTCGCGCAAGTGAAAACAAGTTTTCTGCACACTCTTGCGATCGCACCGTTAAATGACAAGGTTTCGTTAGAAATGATTAGGACGCGGGGGGCACGCGTGCGTTCCGCACGCGGGTTTCAGGGCCGCGACTTTTCCTCGTAATCGATTATGCGCGGAATGGCGGGAGGTTAACGGCCGGACGCGGATGGTCCGATTGCGAGGGCTTATCGGTGGCTCTTATCGAGGCGTCTCCGTTGCGGAAAGGATGCCGAATTCTCTCCGGTATCCGGTCCCGCCGAGTTCTTGATCCGCGACCGCGGAATTCGGATTCCGGAGCGGATTCCGGAAGCTCTTCGGATCCGCTCTAGAATCTGGAGAAACGCGCAGACGGCGTGGAGGAGCCAGGGAGGACCGAGAGTGCTTCTTCGTGAACGAGGGCTAATTACCGCAATTTATTTCCGCTCTAACGCACCCTTGACGAGACGTTTTCCCGCTCCTTAACGAGCGGAAATGCTTCCGCTTCCCCGAAGCCGCGCGGCTCATCCGCGGAATTTAAGCAGGACCCCTCCACCTTGACCCACGTCTGCAGATACGACATCGCCTGTGCAGGTCGGGAGGGCATTGATGTCTCCCAGCATACAAGTGGTACCCTGATCAACATTCGCGGTTTGTCCGGATTTGTGTTGCAAATCGGGATGCCGGCTCGCGTATGCATATCGAACGTGCCTGTGCATTACCGCATGCGTATTTCGGTGCGTCTTTTCCGCGTCCATCACCTCCCGTTATCATCGTAAGGGAAATCACGTTTCGCGTCGTACATCGGGCACAAAGGCCCCGTGGTACCGAACAACGCGTAGAAAGTACCGGCCCGACGATTACGCGTAACGGTCTCCGGGGATTACGCATCAACGGAAACTTCCGCAAGCTCCGCACCGCCGACTTTGTCCGATAACGTCCCGACGACACTCACCATGTAGATTAGCGTGTGTAGCAACTTCCACAGCCCTGGCATCCTGGAGATCCCAGCCTCTCGCGTCGAAACGTACTTTCCTGGAACACGGAGATGCGTTAGTTCCCTGCCTTTTGTTTCTTCCTTTAGCGTTAAGGTGGCGCGACGGTAGAGTTAGAAATCTCCTTTTTGGAGCTTTTCTTCCGATAGGATGTACCGAATAGTTTGAAACTTCACAACGTGAAGGTGGAAGTGGGAAGGAAGGTCTCTACCAGCGTGAAACTTCAATTTTTTAACTCTTTGGTTACTAAGAGCGCCTAAAGGCGCCCGACGTTTGGTCCAATATCGCCTGCCCGGTCAGAGGAACTTCGCCCATAAGTCGAAATGGCTCCGTGTTCAAAAGATTAAGAAGCTTTCGGAACGAGGACGCGCGGTCGGTCTTTAATCGCAGTCCTCGATTTACCGCCGATTACGGAGACTCGGAGTGCGTTCTAGATGCACGATCGTATTCCTTCGAGGCCGCTGACGCGGCACAATACCATTTCCAGGACAAAGCTCAATCAGAGCGTGCGGATTCCACATGCGGCGCATGGCCGACTTGGGCTTTTTTCCCCGGCACGGCATTAACGAATTGATAAGCGCAACGGTACCGGATAACGTGTCTCTAAGACTACTACACGCAATGCACCCGGACGTGGACGCGTGTCTAAAGCCCTTTTAAACTTTCGAGGAGAGCGCCCGACGTTTGGTCCAAAATCGCCAGCACGGTCCGAGGAATTTCGCCCATATGTCGATATGGTTCCATCTTCAATTCCCAACATCAATTAATTCCACCGGTCATACGAGGTATCGTTACGCGGTATTCCTCAATTTTCTCATCCGTCGTTTTATCGGCCATTACGAGTCGAGAGAGAAAGGGAGATGACGTCGCGCGTCTCGACGCGTCGTCCCAGTTCTCTTGCCTCTCGTCTTCGTCGCTTTATCGGCCTCGAGCGATTTAATCCCCACTGGATCTAGGACGTTTTCCTTGCAGGCTTAGAGTGATCCTTTGGAAGCGACGAAGGAGATTAGGCGATCCTTCGCTCGGGAAATGATAAGGAAGTCGCTGCGATACCTAGGTCTCTCCTCTTGGATTACATGATATACTAATTTTATGTAATAATTTCAAATAAGATATATAACACGTGTCATGAATTTAATACACACGTATGTAAAAAAATTATCAAGGATATTAGTAATTTTATGATGGACAGGGTGCGCACCGCGGTTGCGCAATAGAGGATGCACCTGCGGCGAAGCAGGATGCTCGGAGCTTCGTTCTCAGCCCCGGACAATACATTCCTGGGATGTTTCGACCAGAGGCCGGTGTACACCTTCGTAACGGTTGTTTCCCCACTATCAGCCCAACACTCGCGTGCGATAGATCCCACGCTAATCATATCTCCCGCTCTTCGAATCCTCTCTTTGGCTCTTCTGTACACTGGGAGACATCAATGCCCTCCCAACCTGCACAGGCGATGTCGCATCTGCAGGGGAGGGATTCATGTCCGCCACTATACACTGGGAGACATCAATGCCCTCCCAACCTGCACAGGCGATGTCGCATCTGCAGGGGAGGCACTCATGTCCGCCATTGTGTATAACAATGGAGTTATAACTGATACGATACTTATTGATAATATAGACCCCACGCACCGATTACCCCGGCACCGGGGTCGGAAGAGATCCTGAAGAGAGTCCCCGTTCCCGCTTCGTTTCGAGGATTCGCGCCGACGCACCTCTGTTACGGTTTACTGTTTAATTAGGTCGTTAGGCCATGCTTCCAATTAAGGAGAATGATAGGTAACGCTATCGACCTCCTCGATTCCTTTCTGCGAGGCGTGGATCGAGATTAGGGATTTAATTCCCATGCGACTAGATTTTCGATAAAAAAAATGTCGCACCGTGGCGAAGTCGCATCATTGATCAACATTTAAACGTCCTATGGGAAAGTTGATCGGATGAATTCCAAAATAGATCCCAGGACCATGGGCGTGACGATGGCGGATCGATCGCGTGCCTCCTCCTTTTTCCCCGAAAGAAATCCCCCACGTCCCTTATTAATTATTAATCACCGGGAGATTCGTTCTCGATTACGCCGAGGTGGGGACTTTTTGCGGGAAATTTACCCGAAGGTACACACTTTGGTGCCAATTATCGATTATTAATTGGATCCATCCCGAGGACGACGGGAATTCTTGGAGGCCTTCTTCGGCGACGTTTCCGGTCCCGAATTTCTCCCTCGGGTTTTTCGAGGCCCTTAATGGGTTAAGATAGAAGCGGCCCATAAATCGGACTAATTGATTTAACCCGTGGGTAAATTCAATGGGAATTAAACGGCCACCGGAAACTCGAGAGATGCTATCGTCACGGAGTTACCGTAATGGCGACCTCGACTTTATCGCTCTCTTTGACCAGGGACCGGAAACCGCGGAGGCGCCTTCTTGCTTCCGTTTTTCTCCCTGAGGAGGTTCTCTTTCCCTCTCGGAATCGATCGACCGGAAAGAGTCGTCTCTCCTCCACTTCCTGGATTTCGGTTCCTCGGCCATGGAGAGGGAAAGGATGCTTTACTTTCTTCCGTCGTTATCGCGGTACTCTTTTTCCCTTATCTCGTCCCACGGCGTTATGAATAATAAGACACGTGTTATATATTTTATATAAAACTATGTTACAAAATTAGTACACCATGTCTGAATATAACTTCCAAGAAAATTGTTATAAAATTATAATATATTTTTTTTTTCAATAGTACAGCCCATTCATTACCGTACGTACTACGTCCCATTGAGCCGAGTAATCGTTCCGGATTCCTGCTCGGAGAGCCGATAAATCATGAATCCGCCTCGGCGTCTCTCTTCCTCGACTCTGCCGAGGAAAACGAAACTCCTCCGAAGGAAGTCGATCGCGATCATTATCTTTCCCTCTGATAAGAGATCCGTTTACACATCAGTAGATCTAACCGCGGCTCAGGTAATTATCGCCGATTACCGTGACCAAGATGGATTTAACCGAAGAAATATATTATTTAACCCTTCGGCTACTAAGAGCGCCTAAAGACGTCCGACGTTTGGTCCAATGTCGTCTGCACGGTCAGAGGAATTTCGCCCGTATGTCGAAACGGCTGTTCAAAGAGTCAAGAGCGTACGAATGAGTCCGGCCAAGTAATCCCGAAGCGTTCTTCGCGTCTCTTTCGTCTATTTCTTCCGTTCCTCCTTTCGCGGCCGGATTGCGGCCGACCCGCGCGGACGACGCGGCGCGGCGGCTCGACGGAAAGGTAATGGCATCGGGAATAATGGATAATGGGCACGTATCTATCGCTGTACCGGTTTTCGATTCCGAGTCATTACGGTAAACGACGACGCAACCCCTCCGGCTGCGGCTGCGATTACGCGCGACGGGGAATTCGGCACACGTCGGTACACGGACGGACGACCTGGATTTTAACGGGCACGTGAAATCGCCTCTTTCGCTCTTTGCTTTCGGAGCCGCGCGCGAAACGCCCCTCGGCAAGCGGTTTACGGCGCGATTTTCTATCCGCTTTGGAAGAGCCGACCTCGATCCGGCGGATTTCGCCGGATCTTCCTTCCCATCGAATTCCGCTTCCGCACGGACCCGCTGAACCCTAGGGAACTCTCCCGTCGGTTCCTGGGGACGAGCTAATCGGATCCTTGTCGCCGACTGACAAGTGGAGGCGCCTGGTTTCGGTCCGCCGTGATACGCCCGTCTTTTGGTGCTGGTGGGGACCTTTCGCGAAGAACGGAACGACGGAACACCTGTTCGAAAAATCGTTCCCGCTCGGAGCCCTTTCTTTTTTTCGACGTAGCCCGGTCCGCACCTTCATTTTTTAAGGGCGGATCGCAAACGATGACGCCCGGAAGATGCAAGATACAAGTCCCTTCTCTCTCGGGCGGGCGTGAGAAAGATTCGAGAGGGAGGCGGCCGATAACCGGCGGCGGCATACCGCGTCGCGGTGCATCCGTCTTTCTCACGGAGCGCCACGACGCGCTTTTTTTTTTTCGAGGTCAAAAAATCCCATTGCGCTAGGTAACCGCCGATTTCCCGGTGCCACGGAAAGGGGTCGACGTCGGAATCATCGCGGATTCCGCCGATTTTTCCGGAGCCGCGGAAGAGGGTCGGTCGACGTCGTCGATTTCCACGAGGTCGCGGAAGAGGATCGACGTCGTCGATTTCCTCGAGGACGTTGCGGAGTATCCCTTAGCCCGTCGTCGAAATCCGAAACCCCGAAATCCCCGGCAAAGCGTTCGGCGGACCGCTAACCGGAATGCTCGCTAACTCGGCTCGGCCTTAGCTCGAGGCGGTGGAGTGTCCGGTGCGTGGCGTTCGGTTGACGAGAGAGCAAGAGAGGAGCAAAGAGGTAGGAAGAGAGACGGAGCGAGATGGGCATGCCAGGCGTCCCGCTCCTCCACCTCGGTCCATCTCTCTCCCTCTCGCTCCGGGCCCGGAGCACGTGGGGCTGTCGAGATCGGCCGCGGGGCCTGGCACGAAAATTTGGTGAGGCTCCCGACCGACCGCATTCCCTCCCCTCCAGGAGGCCGAGGAACCTTACCCTCCGTCGCGTCGGTCGCGTCGGGGCGACCGGGGCGACCGGGGCGACCGGGCCGCGATCAGCTGACCGAGAGGAGCGGCTTACCTCGAGAGCGCGGGAGCCACGCGTCGTTACCCGGAGCCTGGGAGCTCCTCGTGGGGCATCCTCGGGGTCCGCTTCTTCCTCTCCTCTAGGGGTCCTCCTGGATCCCCGGACCGAGGTCGGCGCCGGGTCGCCGATCCGACGACGCCTCGGTCAGGCCTCCGGAGAGCGCATCGGGCGCGACCTCTACCCTCGGAGGACCTTCCGGAAGATCCTCCTCGACCCAAGACCTCTCCTACCGGGAGACTCCTGGTCCCGCTCCTCCTGGGGTCCGGGTGCGACGCGCGGGGCAGGAATCCGACGATCCCGTCGCGACGAAGACGTTGCGCCGACTGATAACCAGTCCACTTACCTCCGCCGAGCCCCTAACCCCGAAGTCGCCGGACGACAGGTGCTCCGAGGAGAGGGAACGCC